TGTACATTTCCAAAATATAAGATAAAAAAAACAAATAAAATAAAACTGTAATAACTACATACAGCAACAGTGTTTTGTGTTCTGTAGGCTCCTATGAAGGAAGTAATGGGCGCTGCCTGCTCCTTAAAATATCACTGGTTTGCTCATTTCTAAATATAGGGTGCCTACATTCTGCATGGACTGGTATATACTTCTTCTTAATTGTATTTCACTATTAATATACTTCTTCTTAATTGTATTTCAGTTCAACAATTACCCTGATAAAATACATATTTTGATATGTGCAAATGGCTTTAGTTACCTATTGTTAACAGAGAAATCTGAGGGCTCCCTTGGACAAAAAAACAAGGAGACCAGCCAGGAATACCAGAGCAAAACAGCAGCCAGTAGGCTTGGTCTTTATTGAAGACTGTCGCGACAGACTCCCACCTGCCACCAGGTGAAACAAAACGGAAGCCCCGAACAAAAGAAGACCCCAACTTTTATTAGTTAATAATCCCCCAAACTAAACCCCTAGAACTTCATCACAACCACATCATGACTACATCATTGACACATCACAAAAAGGAGGGGTTGAGGGAGGAGTTGTGGAGGTAACCTGAGTATCTTGTCACCTGACTGGTTCCTCCTCTCCCCCTCCCCATGAGTCATTTCCAGAGGACAAAAGGGAGTTGGCAGTTTCCTGCCCCCAGAGGGAAGATCTGATCATTGTCCTTTGTTCCAGTCCGTGTTGAATCCACTCCCATATGCAAGTCCTTTGTGACCTTGATGGTCTTCTGTCTAGGACCATCAGGGTTGGCATAGCAACTGGGCAGGGCTCCTGTGTATGTGCTGGTATGCTCAAGGGATTATGGCTGCCCTGTATCAAACCTTCCGCATTTTGTAGTCCTTCCTTCATGGAGTAAAATAAAAGTGGAACGGTGCAGATCTGATGTATGGTTGATTTTCTATGAATTTATAACAGAAGCGTAGTGTATGTCGTGTGTCTGTGTGTGTCGAGTTTGTACAAACTGAATGATGGGGGGGGGTTCCTGCGACACTATTAGGTCCATAAATTACCATATAGCATATATTCAACACAAAAAACAGCGACAATTTGTTGTTGACAAAGGACAGCTGGACATATAAAGGGCCCCATTACCTTCAGTAACTTAGGGCCTCATCAAACCTAAATTCGGCCCTGTGTCAGACATAAAACACAGGCACATCTGAGTTCAAACACCGGCATATCTAAACCACATACATATAAGGCGTGTATATCTGAACTGAAACGCGTACATATCTGAATTAAAGCGTGTGCATATAAACGCGTGCATATCACGAGTTCAAACGCGTGCACATCTGACTTTAAACACGGGCATATCTGAATCGAAACGCGCGTGCACATCTGGAGTAAAGAGCGTGCACATAAACGCGTGCATATCTGAACTGAAACGTGCGCAGCTCCGAGTTGAAGCGCGAGCATCTCTAACTTAAATCCCGCGCCTCTTTGCCACCTTCTAAGCCCGGAAATCCAGCGCCGCCTCCCACGCCTCCCCTCCCCCTTCCTCCGGGTTCTGACGCGACCTCGCCCCGCCCCTGCCCGCCCCTTCTGGGCTCATGACCGGATGTTGGGATCCTCTTGTTGTTACTTTCCGAGCCGGCCGCGAAGGAGGTAAGGGAGTCCCGCCGTCGTCCCCCCAACCCCCAAAAAACGAGGCTTTCATGTTGAACGTGTGCATGCACGCGCGCGTGTAGTTATGCGGGTCCGGCGTTGGGAATCCGGGATTGAGTGCGGGCGATCCTCGGAAAGCCAAAGGGCGCCTGGCTGGCTGTCACCCGAATTGGTGAAACCAGACGTGACGTGTAGGAGGGACGCGTGCCCGGGGGATCCCGACGACCTTTATTTTCGCTGGGGGAAAGCTGCCCGCATCGGGGGCTGGGGAGGCGGGTTGGATCGGGGCTGCGGCACGGAGGGAGGGAGGCGCGATCGTTTGCCCCCAGCGCCCCTTGATGCAGCCTCGCCTGGGGTGGTTGTGGGGAGGGAAGAATACGGATCCTGCGAACGGGGAGGGAAGGAGAACACGGGCAAAAAGTTGCCACACAATTGAAGAGGAATTGAGAGGAGGTGTTTTTGCCCCAGGACAGTTCAGAGAACATGAGATCCTATCAGAGCGGGGAGCAGGATCATCTACTGCTGACTGGCTATTATTATTATTACTCCACCTTTTTCACTGATAGGGACTCAAGGCACTCTATGCATAAAAATAAGAACAGCTAAAAACATAGTTGTGGGGAGCACCAATCATTTAATTAAAAACAAACCATTGATTGATTGATTGCATTTCTGCCCCACCTTTTCTCCCAAGGAGCCCAAGGTTGTGTACATAGTTCTCTTCCTCATTTAATCCACACAACAACCCTTTGAGGTAGGTCAGTGACTGGCCCCCAAGGTCACCTAGTGAGTTTCATGGCTAGAGCAGGGATTTGAACCCTGGTCTGCCAGGCCTTAGTCTGACACTCCAACCACGACATCACACCGGCTCTTAAAACTATGTACGTGGGTGTAAGATCTATTAAGAATGTACTGATAATTGCAATAAAAACAGCACGGCACCGACACTTTCATTAAAAGCAATCGGTTCCCGTAAGCCTGTTGGAACAAGAAAGGTCGTCTTTGTCTGGGAGCTGGTCTGACTTCTCTAGGGAGGGAGTTCCAAAGTCTGGGAGCAGAAACCGAGAGTAGCAGGATCAATAGTGTCAAGGATGAAATAGCTGAATAAAGAGGGACAGTTTCTGTGATGAGCTAGAAGGTCCCTGGATCTGCTGGGACCAAATTCGGCAGCATCACATTCCAGTTATTTTCTGCTTCCCCTTTACTAATCGAAAGTGTGTCCAGTCCTACCAATTTCTCTCTTTTCTTCTCTCTCTCTCTCTCTATAATTTTTATTAAATTTTCTGTTTTAAAATACTCATTTTGCATCCTTAAGATATCAATGACTTCCCTTCTTCTCTTTCCACGGTTCATTTTACATATCATAAATCCCTGCATATTTTACAAAAACTATACCATTCAACATTCCATTATTGCAGCCATCAAAACTTATTTACACAGTTGAATTTTTCTTGATGCTGCCAGCATTTTCAGCTGTACACAGTTATTTCCCATATATTCAATAAACGTTTTCCAGTCTTCTCTAAACGCATGTTCTTCTTGTTCTCTTATTCTGTATGTTAAGTCTGCAAGTTGTGCATATTCTGTCAATTTAAGTTGCCATTCTTCTTTGGTTGGGACCTCGCTCATTTTCCTTTTTTGGGGCTAACAAAACACGGGCTGCAGTAGTAGCATACATAAATAACCATTTTTGACACCTGGGAATTTCAGTCTCAATTATCCCCAACAGAAAGGACCCTGGTTTTTTGGCAAAGTACTTTTAAACATTTTTTTCAATTCATTACAGATCATTTCCCAATACTCTTTTACCCTTTTACAAGTCCACCATATATGAAAGAATGTTCCTTCCACCTCTTTGCATCTCCAGCACTTTCCTGATTCAGTCTTATACATACATCTTAGCAAGCCTACTCGGAGTTAAATACCATCCGTGAATCATTTCCCCCTGACTTTCTCATGCTGCTTTTTAATGTTTGGACCCCGATGGAGTTCCAAGTGTCCTTACCCAACCCTTCAAGTTTTCCGATTGCGTCCGGTGGAAACCTGAGGTTGCTCAACAGCCGTACAAACTGCTCTTGGAGACAGCTTGCCTTGCCAGTTCTCTCCCTCTGCTCAGTGCATCTGTTGCAAGTGGGTGCTTGGAAAAAAACAACATGTTCCATGGGGCTACAAGTCCTGCATCCCTTCATATGCGCTCCCTAGTCTCCACCGTGTAAGCCTGCCACTGCCCAGCTAATCTTTAACGGATAAGTCTAGGTGGGAAAGAGCTGAGCTTCTCCGAAGGCAGAAATAGAAGAATGGAGCAGAAATAGGTCCCAAAGTGCTTATCGAAGGGACCCCAGTGGTCATTTGTCTGTCAGCTAAAGCATGGGCGAGAGCTGTCTTCAAATCCTCACTTGAGCCATCAAGCTAACTGGGTGACCTTGTTAGCAAACTTTTTTTGCACACTTTTTCAGCAGAGGGCCAGTTCACTGTCCCTCAGACCTTTTGGGGGACCGGACTATATTTTTTTTGGGGGGGGGGTGAACGAATTCCTATGCCCCACAAATAACCCAGAGATGCATTTTAAATAAAAGCACACTTTCTACTCATGTAAAAACACGCTGATTCCTGGACCGTCTGCAGGCCAGACTTAGAAAGCGATTGAGCTAGATCCGGCTCTCGGGCCTTAGTTTGCCTACCCATGGGCTAGCTGCTCGATTTCATCCTAACCAACCTCACAGGATTGATTGAGGAAAAAATGGTGGCGGATGAACAGTGGGATATAAATGCAATGTTTATATTTGGTTTAGGGAACTCTCCTGCCTTCAGAGGCACGTGCCGTCTTGGATTTTAGGGGGGGAGTGCGCGCGCTGAAGCATACAACACTGTGGTTTCTTTTGTTCAGTGTGCTGAACTTTGTGTCTGTGCCAATCAGCAGTTTAGATCCCGTGAGGAATTTCCTCTTTGGACTAGTAACCAGAAACACAGGGTTGGCTCACTGAGAATGGTTCCTCCTTTTTGCAGTTCTGCCAGAGTGCTAGGTGCACCTCCCTCCTTACCTGCCTCAAAGGAGCTGGGAGCAGCTGTTTTGTGCTCACTTTGCACAACAGCATCACAAACAACAAAATGAGCTGTTTTGTGGCAAGGCCTGTCTTGCCTGCTCACATTTCCTAGAGCTGCTGTGGCTGATGTTGCGCGTAGGCATAATTTGCCATGTCTGCGTCTTCAAAGACATGCGCTCGTGTTGTTCTTAGGTCCTCACTGGCAAACAGAACGCCTTGAAGGGGATCGAAAAGCAGCAAGAAGTCACAAAGCCGGTCTTGTGAGAGACTCTTCTGATAGCAGCTGACTCCGAAACTGCGGGATGGGTAAGGGCAGAGGACATTGCTGTGAACGCTGTGAAGTTTATTTCCTCTTGATTGGTCAGATTCCTGGGTATCAGGGGATGTAAAATTGGGCTATGCTTTGATGGGGTTAATTGCTGTAACGCTGTATGTTTCAGCGCTTGAGTAGCCTAATCTGGCTAAACCACAGGAATCTCTGGATCACGCTGATGTGAACAGAAAGGATTTCAGTCCCCTTCCTTATGGCATGAAATCGGGACTGTAGAAACCTGCGCGCTTTCCCCCCTCTTTGCAGAGACACAGAAGCTGCTGACCCCAGTGAATAGCTACGGGTCCCAGGATGGGGACACGAGGCCAAACTTGGGCTTTGCTTCCATTCAACCAGAAGAAGAGGAGCTCCGCAGGCGTCTGAAGTATTTCTTCATGAGCCCCTGTGACAAGTTTCGTGCCAAAGGCCGCAAGCCATTCAAACTGGTGCTCCAGCTGATCAAGATCCTAATAGTCACCATTCAGGTATGTGAGACGCAGGTGGCGCTGTGGTCTAAACCACCATGACCCTTTCTGTGGCACTTAATATCATGTTTATACTTTATTTTGAAAGAGACAAAAAAATAGCTTTATTTTGATACCAAGATAAGCCCAATTGGTTGAAAAATAAGCGGAAAAGGAAGTTTTTTCTAAACTGACACAGAAATTGCATTAGCCTAAAACGTGCGGAAATTTAAATTTTCAAAATTCTCCTGCACCCAATTTTGGACCAAAAAATCTTAAAAAATTAACTTGAGGTCATCTCATAGGTATGTTCACACACAAAAATTTTGAACAATATCTGAGGCGTGAAAGCACATGGCACCAGGTGATTTGGTGTAGAATGACCCACCAAATTATCCTCTAATCCAGGGGGTTGTCAACTAACGGGCGTTTCAGGATTCGAGGTGGGTGGTAGGGGTTCTACGGCACAAGCTGAATCATCCTTCCATTGAGCACTGGTGGGCGGTAAGGAAATTTTACCATCAAGACTGCGGTAGGCGGTAGGTATAGAAAGGTTGACTACCCCTGCTCTAGTCAGTTACCACAGATAGAAAAGGCTTCACAGTTGTACAGTTGAACTGGGACTACCATCATATATTTTTAGGCACCAGGCAAAAAGGTATCTTCTATAACCAGGCCTTTGGCCTTTAACTCTCTTTGCCCCCTGCCTGCCCCCCAACACACACACACAGTGAGAGAGATTCGGAGCGGAAGACATTGCCTCTCTCCCTCTTTCTAGCAGTGCCCTGCGTGCATTTCCAATAAAAGGGGTGAAGGAAGAGGTGACATGTTTCTGGGTCCACCAGCAGGCACCAAGAATGAGGATGAAGTTTTATAAAAGGGGTTTTATTTTCTCAAGTGAGGCTCACCTGGTGCCTTCATTATACACCTTTAGGTGCCAAGCAAATGAGAGTAAGCTCTCCAGATGCAGGTGAGGGCCTCCTCCTCCTCCTTGCAGATGGTGTCCACCAGCCACACATTTTGAGGTGATTTTGGCACTTCTCAGTTGGAAAGCCTCTCTTCCTTTGTGTCAAGTCACCACTTGACTTTTTTAAACAGACAAAGGTCACAGCCGGTTACTTCTCTTTCCACACAGTGACACAATTTTTCATTTTGTGTGCAGAACTGATCCCAGGGTCCTCTCTCCTAAAAAGGACCTTTGCTCCACTTTCCACACTAGACAGTGAGTGGCTAGTTCTGGCCATTCACAGTCAGGGTCAGGACAGACTCCTGATTAGTTACCCAATGTTATGATGCTAAATCACCTTGTTTTATGTGTCCAAACCCTCCAGATGTTGTTGCTAGATTCCAACTGCCCTCCTCCCCCTACTCCATGACATCTGACACCCTGGATCTGCTTTCTAGGGCTGATAGGAGTTGGGAGTTGAGAAACCAATTCAAGATGCTGGAAATGCACCCGAGGGAGGGAATACTTAAGGGTGCGGGTGTGAGCCCTGCAGAGGTGGGGTGTGTATTTTAGGGTTGAGTGAAAAATGAGCACCTAGAAATTCCTATTTGTGGGTGGTAAAATTGGGGGTGGGGAGGATTTTACTGATGTTTGGGGGGTGGGGGAGGTGGCAATTCTTCTGACATTTGGATGGAGACAAATGAAAAACTTAGAAAATTAACCAGAATGCTCCCTAAGAGCATGGGATTTATGAAGGTCCAAATAACCAAGGAGCAACTTTTAAAACTGCCCATGGGGTGGGGGGAAGAACACGGCTTCAGAATGTCTCCCCTCTTCCCCGCTTACCTTACCTTCTGTGGCAGCAGGGGAGGCAGAAGACCATTCTCTGGGCTTTCAACCCAGCCAAAGATAGTTGTCGAAGGAGACAGATGTTTCCGATGCCAACTGACCCAAAAAAGACAGTTCTCTAAAGCAGCAAGACATCTCTGGTGTCAACTGATCTGAAGGAGACAGTTAAATGAGCTTTTAACTGATCTCAGTATTCTTTCAAACAACTCACCTGGTTTCCTGGGAAACAAAACATTCTGCAGCCCATTGTGAAGTCAGATCTTAGCCAAGGCTTTGCCCAATGCACTGTGGGCTCTCTCTCTCTCCATCTCAGGCCCATGTCAACACTTTGGTATCTTCATCCAACTTCCAAGCACCTAGCCTGCTCCTTAATTTACCCCTCACCAGGAGGGCCAGGGCATCTGGATCTGGGCTTCCATTTCAGTTTTCCCCAAACACCCACTGCCTCGCATCCCTATGGGAATCGAAGGAAATAAAGTGGGCCCTGGCTGTGATCCGGTTTCCAACACCTTATGAAAACTCACCTGTCTCCCCAAGATGTTGGCTGGCCAGCTGTTCCTCATTTAGTCATTGTGTGTTAGCGGTTCCAGTGGTTTGAAAGTTCTTGCCTTTTCATTTTAGGGTGTGGGCTACACCTTCTCTCTCCGCCTGGCTAACTCACCACATCTAGGTGCTTTCAAAAACACATTTGTGCTCTCAGGGGGTCTTCCTTGGTGCTTTATTTTCACTTGAAAAACCCACCTTTCCTCCAAGGAAGTCAAGGTGGTATACATGGTGTGCTTTCCCTGTCCAAATTATCCTGGCAATAACCCTCTGAGGTAAGCTAGGCTGCCTCCAATACTGGAAGGAGTATGAGGCTATGGTGGCTTTGAAGGATGCCCTCCACACCCTGGGGTGGGGATTGAGAGCTGGAGGGTGGGGGTTCACCCTGAGGGAGCCCCAGCCCCATTATTCAAAAATGTTATTCCAGAGCTTTTAATGTGTAGTGCAGATACAGCCAAAGTTTAACAATATGAAAATAAGACAAGCAGAAACAGAAGTTACCTCAGACCCAGATAAACTGCAACACAAACAGACTTACGATGCTGAAACCCCCTTGAAAAGGACATATAGCCCCTCGTTTACCAAATATTAAACTGAAACGTTAAAAAAAGAAATGAATCTGGAAAATTAAAATCTATATTATGTCCTATATCTATTGCCCAGTGTGTCATAGATTATTAACTGCTCCTCTGCTTGGTCCCTGCTCTCTGCCTCCCCTCCGCACAGCTCGTCCTCTTTGGGCTCAGCAATCAGATGGTGGTCACCTTCAAAGAGGAGAACACGATGACGTTCAAGCACCTCTTCCTGAAGAACTATGTGGATGGGGCAGAGGAGACCTATGCAGTTTATACACAGGCAGATGTCTATGAGCACATGGTCTACGCGGTGGATAAGGTGAGAAGTGAGTAGAAAGCTGGTGGGGAAGGGGAAGGCAGCTGGACTTGACCAGGATGACCATTGCAACTTCCCCCTGTAGTACCTGGCCGTTGCGAACGAGACAGTCGGACGCTATGCCTACGTGCATGCGGGGAGTGCAAACCAGTCGGCGCTCATGCTTTGCCAGCATTACTACCGGAAAGGAAGGATTGACCCGGCCAATGACACCTTCAACATCGACCCCAAAGTCATCACAGGTGAGCAAGTGCCTTTCCTAGAGTCTCCAGCATCCTCTATGCTCTGTGAGGGACGCGGGTGGCGCTGTGGTCTAAACCACTGAGCCGCTTGGGCTTGCCGATTAGAAGGTTGGTGGTTGCTCTGTCCCAGCTCCTGCCAACCTAGCAGTTTGAAAGCACTGCAGTGCAAGTAGATAAATAGGTACCGCTGTGGCGGGAAGGTAAACGGCGTTTCCATGTGCTCTAGTTTCTGTCACGGTGTCCCATTGTGCCAGAAGCAGTTTAGTCATGCCGGCCACATGACCCAGAAAGCTTTCTGTGGATAAATGCAGGCTCCCTCGGCCTGAAAGCGAGATGAGCACCGCAACCCCACAGTTGGCTTTGACTGGACTTAACTATCATGGGGTCCTTTACCTTTACCTTACCTGTGGAGAGTTCCACACTGGAGTTTAGAGTAGGGTTGCCATATTTCAAAAAGTAAAATTCCTGATACCTACAAAGTTGTTGAGTTTTCTGAAACTCACCAAAATTGTTGAGCTTTGTTTTCGGAACAAACCAGCTGCTTTTTTCATCACATTGCAAGTTTTCCCTGACATTTTGCCAATTTGGCAAATTTTTTTCCGATGCCATTTTTACACCTGAAAACCAGGACATGTCAGGAATTTTGCTGACATATGGCAAGCCTAGTTTACAGGAAAGGCAGGTGTTTAGAGTTAAGGCACGGTTCCTTGTACAGTGGTACCTCGGGTTAAGAACTTAATTCGTTCTGGAGGTCCGTTCTTAACCTGAAACAAGCTGAAGCACCACTTTAGCTAATGGGGCCTCCTGCTGCTGCCGCGCCGCCGGAGCACGATTTCTGTTCTCATCCTGAAGCAAAGTTCTTAACCCGAGGTACTATTTGTTGGTTAGTGGAGTCTGTAACCTGAAGCGTCTGTAACCCGAGGTACCACTGTAGAGTCAGGAAACTCTGCTCTTTACACTTCCTACTTTCCTGAGTTGTGCTTCTTTCAAGTTTCTAAGTTACTTGACTCGTGTTGATCTGTGACTCAGACTGAGGGAAGTTGCCTTGTTCATGCAGGAGCTATTGTTTATGGAATGCTATTTTCTGCGTTTTACCTTTTACAAATAAAAAATGAGTAGCTGCTGTAACTTTAGTTTGAGAAGATACCACAAAACTGCTGGCGTTTTTTCCTTTCTCCTCAATGCTGCCCCTACATATCTGAATGTGTCAAGGCCTGGAATCTGTTCCTCTTTTCTGTGTAGAGTGCCTTGGTGTGGATCCCCCGCAAAATATACCATCTGCCCAGGACTCTGAGGAGCCGTCTGGAGCCCTCCTGGAACCAGACCGCAGCTACAGGAACTTCACTCTCAAGTTTTACAAGTAAGTAGACACACTTCCTTGGTGTTTGCAATAGCCGGAAGGGTAAGACACACACTCCAACTGGAGGAATTCGCAGGAGGGAATTCATGTATTCCCTTGCAACTTTATTTTTAAGTCATTGAGGCTTCCTGCCTCTCATTACATTTTTTGTGGGGACGACAGCTTTACAGATCTGAAGGTTTCTGCCTACTAATCTTACATTTATCAATTGACATGTTGCATCTGTTGATTTTTGTACCCAACATGGTGTCAGGGACCGTGCTGAGGAGGGCTGCAATGAAGAGGAATGGTGGGAGCCTCTCCCTGCTCCTGAATTTTCCCAGGAGCAGGGAAGTAGTATAGATTTGGAACAGTGGTTTGCAGAGCGGCATAGTTCAGAAGGCAGAAGCTGGGAAGTACTGGGTGGGGAACAGCTATAATAATAATAATAATTTATTATTTGTACCCCGCCCATCTGGCTGGGTTTCCCCAGCCACTCTGGGAGGCTTCCAACAAAGACCCAAAATATACTAAAATATCACACATTAAAAACTTCCCTGAACAGGGCTGCCTTCAGATGTCTTCTGAATGTCAAGTAGCTGTTTATCTCTTTGACGTTTGATGGGAGGGCGTTCCCCAGGGCGGGTGCCACTACCGAGAAGGCCCTCTGCCTGGTTCCCTGTAGCTTTGCTTCTCGCAATGAGGGAACTGCCAGAAGGCCCTTGGCGCTGGACCTCAGCATCCGGGCAGAACGATGGAGGTGGAGACGCTCCTTCAGGTATACTGAGCCGAGGGCTTTAAAGGTCAACACCAACACTTTGAATTCTGCTCGGAAATGTACTGGGAGCCAATGTAGGTCTTTCAAGACCGGTGTTATGTGGTCTCGGCGGCCGCCCCCAGTCACCAGTCTAGCTGCCGCATTCTGGATTAATTGTAGTTTCTGGGTCACCTTCAAAGGTAGCTTCACATAGAGCGCATTCCAGTAGTCCAGCTAGGAGGAGAAGAACTGGGAGAGAGAGAGAGAGAGAGAGAGAGAGAGTTAACCGACCCACTTTCTCTGGAAAGCATCCATCCACTCAGCCCAAGGTCAAGAAGAGCAGATAAGGTGGCAGCACAGAAAACACAATGGTTGCGAGATCAGGTTGCAAGATGCGGGAGTGATTGGGGGGGGGACTAGGGAGGAAGTGGGTGAAACCCTTAATTGGGAGCACCTTCATTCCAAAAGATGGATTCTTTCTTCTCTTGCTGTGATCATTAGAATTTCTAACTGGCAAGAGACTCCCTTCGCTTTGTTCTGCTTAAAGGTAAAGGGACCCCTGACCATTAGATCCAGTCGTGTCCGACTCTGGGGTTGCGGCGCTCATCTCGCTTTATTGGTCAAGGGAGCCGGTGGCCAGCATGACTAAGCTGCTTCTGGCGAACCAGAGCAGCGCACGGAAATGCCGTTTAGCTTCCCGCTGGAGCGGTACCTAATTATCTACTTGCACTTTTGGCGTGCTTTTGAACTGCTAGGTTGGTTCTGCTTATCCACGGCCAAAAGTGGGGGAGGAAGCCAAGTCCCTGAAGCACATGGTTTTCAAAATGTGCAGGTTTTGCCTCCTTTTTTCTGAGTTTATAAGGCTCAGCTCCCTTCAGTTTTTCCTACAAGAGAGGCTCTCCATTCTGTTTGCAGTCATTCAGTGGGAAACTGTGACGTTCGGTGGTAGATTGTGACAGAGCTGACCCCCCACGTCTTGTCTCTGCCAGGCTCATCAATGTCACCATCCGCTTTAAGCTGAAAGCCATCAACATCCAAACCATCATCAACAACGAAATCCCGGACTGTTACACCTTTTCCATCACCGTGAGTAAGGATGCTTGAGGAGGTGTTGCTTTTGCCTCCTTTCCGCCTGTGTTTGAGGAGGCCTCATTCACACGCTGGACTGAGAGGGCCGGAGATGCTGCTCTGGGGCTTCTTCTGCTGTGCTGCCCGGTGGAATTTCCCCCAGGATGTACATTGTCATTCTTTTCTTCTTCTACTCCTCCTCCACCCTCAGATCACATTTGACAATAAAGCACACAGTGGCCGAGTGAAGATTCACTTGGACAACAAAGTGGATATCCAGGAATGCAAAGACCCCAGTGTCTCTGGCAAAGGTATTAGGGGGTTTCAGGGGGAGCAACACAGTACAAGCATAAACCTTTTCGAAAGCAGCACCTCACCTGTATAAGAGCAGCACTTAAAGCACTGCTCAGGGACCGTTTGCAGACTGATTTTTTTAAGGGTTTGGTCTTTAGTTCCTGGCTAATGAGAATCAATATCCTAATTGACTTAAAGGATATTTGGCTGTAAATCTGAATGTGTCCATAAGGGTAGCCTCATCCTGCCAAAATATGGACTTTGGAAAGAGAGATTTGAGTGTTACATGGGACTCTTTCTCAGCCTCCACATTGCTGACTTATCCCATTCATGAACCCATTGAATTGCATCTTTGATTATGGAAACCTCTCAGTTCCTTCTTAGTCGTCTAGTTTAATGACTTGCCAAAGCCTGAGACGATCATTTCATAAGCTTATGCTGCAGAAAGGAACATATTTCTTTAGTATCCAGTTTCACAAACGTCTCATTAGCTGGTGGTTTTCATTTTCTAAATTCAAAAGCCTCAACCTCTTTAAGATTTTCTTCATAGGGACAGATGTTTGCATCACTAAGGTTTATTTGTCCCTTTTCTGGACCTTCTCAAGCACATAAACTTTTCTTTGAATGACTGGGATGACCAGACTGTACCTTATATTCCAGGCATGCTACAGATTAGTATAATGGCATTGTGACACCTGCTGGTTTACTGTATTTTTCGCTCTATGAGACTCACCTAGCTTTTGGAGGAGGAAAACAAGAAAAAAAATATTCTGAATCAAATGTTTTTGAAGAGGCTTTGTGTGGCTATCCTTGAAGCCAGAACAGCAAGAGGGATTGCTGCGCAACAATCTCTCTTGCTGTTCTGGCTTCAGCAATAGCTGCGCAGCCTGCATTCGCTCCATAAGACACACACACATTTCCACATTTCCCCTTACTTTTTAGGAGGGAAAAAGTGTGTCATATAGAGCGAAAAATACGGTACTTTCAGTTCCATTTTTAATGATTTCTAGCATTGAATTGGCCCTTTTTACAATGGTCACAGCCAAATGGCTTATATTCTCAGTGATCCCAAGGTCCTTGTCCTGTGTGTTTTTTATCCCAATTAGGCTCGATCAGTCCTAAGTCCCTACAGCTCAGGCTATTCTCTCTTCCTCTCCCATATTTGCTTTTGGCAAACCCCCTTTGCCTCCTTTTCCCACAATGCTCTCTGTCCCAGCTCCAGCTGGCCTACTTTTCTCTCCAGAAACCCTAGGACTTCTTCCATGTGCCTCATAGCATCATTTTTGCTGCCTGTGCAAACTTCCGTCACCCCCACAACCTCTGGGCTCTCTAACCAAGCCTATTCGGACTGAAAATTCTGCGGGTGGGGAGTGTGACCATTTCCTTGTTCTCTAACCACCCCCCCCCCCGCATTTTCTAGAAACCCACCACTGCCTTCCTCCTTTCTTGCAGGAGACAACAGCTTCCGGATGTTCTTTGACGTGGTGGTGCTCCTCATCTGCGTACTATCTTTCATCTTGTGCGGCCGCTCCATCATCAGGGGGCTTCTCCTGCAGCATGTGAGCATTGCTGGGCCATCCTTATTTACAGACGTACCACCCAGGACTTTCTGCATGAAAAGTCTGTGCTCTTGTCACTGAGCCAGCCACACACAAATTTCAGGGTGCTGCTGTCTGCAGGCAGAAGCTTTGTTGCACTAATCTGCTTCATTAAAGAGCAGTAGCCGAAAGCGATTGTAGCATTGGTGGGGCAAGAAGACAAATATTCCAAAGTACGTTTGCATTAGTAAACCTGGAGCCCGTGCAACTCAAGGTCTGGCCAGGCCATGGCACGAGGACCTGCCACAGCAATAGTTGTGTGGAGTGCAGAAATAGGGAGGGGGAGGGTTTGGAAGGCACCAGGTGACTACCACCCCTCCAGAACACACACACAGACACATAAAATTGCAGGGAGATCTGGTGATTGTAGCAGGGTGGGGTGGGGAATAATGTGCCAAAACAACTTTTAAAAGAAGAACATGAAAAATGTTGTTAGGATGGGGTAGAACGTAAATGAGACGTTTGCCCAGGGATGTTAGCAAAGGACATTGGTGAAAACTTCATCGGCTGCTTAAGGCAATGCTTAATGTAGCAATCCAAAATTGCTTTCAAAATTAAAAATTCTGTGTTTGTGTGATCGAGCAGCTTTTATTCTGCAGAGACTCCAGTGCCGTATTCTTCTAGCAGTGGGGACTATGTCGGCCAGGTTTTTTATCAGGCTGGGTGATATAGCAATATATCATCCGAACCCGATTTGAATTCCGTATCTTGTATTGGTTTCATAGTTTTTGACCTGGTAATATATTGTGACTCCTGGTGTGTATGTGTGCGTGTGCGCGTGCGCTATGCAAAAATCACAATGTGGGGGAAAAACCGTGAAGCCAGTCAATGCCTCTACGTGGCTCCATCCTTATTTCATACATTGTGATATATCAGTATATCGCAATGTTTAGCTGTTATCGCGATGTTGGAAACCAGATATCGCCCAGCCTTAGTTTTCCCTCTCCACTGCGGAATAGCTAGCGGTTGCCTCGTAAGAACTGTGTTGCTGTCTAGGCTTGTGCATCGTGGTTGGGGTCTTCCAAGCTTAATGGTAGAAGTCCTTATCTCCCCCTTCTGGAGCAAGGGAAGCAGGAAAGGAGAGCAATCGAGAGCGGAGGGGACTTTGACAGGAGGGAACAAGAGGTCGTGTGTTTTTCAGGAGGTGGGAAGCTCACCAGCAGCTCCTTTTCCTTGCACAGGAGTTCAGCCATTTTTTCCAGCGCCGCTACAATCAAGACATCTGCCTGTCCGACCGCCTGGAATTTGTGAATGGTTGGTACATCCTGCTGGTGGTGAGCGACATCCTTACTGTGTCTGGAACCATCATGAAGATTGGGATTGAGTCCAAGGTAAGAAACAGTCCAGGTGTCGGGCTGGACTGAGGAGGAAGGGGGGGAGAAGAGGAGGGCAGTATAGATTTAGAACAGTGGTTTGCAGAAGGGCATGGTTCAGAGGCTGCAGAGGGGGAAAGCTGGGAAATATTGGGGGAGCAGCAGGAAGAAGAAATATCAGGGGAGAGACAGCTAACAAACTCAGTGTCTCTTGAAAGCATTCCTGATCCCCCCTCTTCCAGAAGCAGGTGTGCAATAAGAGTAGCAGAACAGAAATCTCAGAGGCAGAAAGATTAGCCGGCGCAAGGGTTACGTAGAATAGGAGGGACCGAGGGGGTGGGACTTTACTTGGAGCAACGCCATTATCTAAGAGAGAGCGCATCTTCGTCTCTCTGTGAATACAGTGGTACCTCTAGTTGCGGACACGATCCGTTCCGGGGTGCCATTCGCACCACGAAAAGTCCGCAACTGGAGCGGCGCAAGCGTGGAGCGCAATAGAGTGCTTCTGCATGTATGCACCCGGCAAAACGTTTGCCGCATTCACAAGCTGAAAAGACGCACCATGAACCTAGCGCAACTCTCTTTGTTTTTCTGCTTTTCGGCATCCCACCGGGGGAGGGATAGGATTTCCTAAAGCCTTGACACCAGGCAGCCTGAGGGCTAGAGCCCAGGAAAGAAGGTCTCAGATCCTGGGCTACAGTCTGAGCAGAAGAGACCCTGCTCTCACCACACCTAAAGAGCAACCCTGCACGATGTGTTGTTTATTTGCAGAACTTTGCCAACTATGACGTATGTGGAATTCTCCTGGGCACCTCTACACTCCTGGTTTGGGTCGGCGTCATGCGTTATCTCAGCTTCTTCCAGAAGTACAATGTAAGCTGAGTCCCTTTGCTTGCTTTCTCATGCCCTATACAGTATATACAGGCAGGAGCAAGATCCCAAAATGAATCCTTTATTTTATCTTTTTAAAAATGAAACCTGAGATTTCCTTTTTTTAAAAAAAAAATTATTTGGTTTTGAGATTCAGGTGTTCTGAGTTTCTCTCCACCCAGTGGAAATTTCCTTACAAATCCACATTAGGGATCCATATTTTTTCCAATCATACAACTCCTGTGCCTTTAATAACTGCATGAAATGCAAACTTTTACCAGATGGTGCTTCCTGGCATCTCCCTATCAGGAAGAGTTTCACCTGCTAAATGTTGACAAACAAAGCTGCCCTTGTTTTTGGTTTTTTTAATTATTTAATTTTTCAAATTTTGAAATTTACAAGCAATTATCAAACAACCAACATAGAAACAGAATTCTGAAGACTCCTGAACTTCCTTCCTCCCCTTTGTGGGTCCTTATATCAACCTTTTCCTCCTGCATTAATCCTCTATTAATCCAAATCTTTTAAATCTCCATTATACCCAAAATTCAACATTAAACTACAAGTTAAACTACAATCCTACTAATAATTGTTTACAATGGTTTTTAAGGTAAATTATATATTTTCCCCATTCCTTATTAAAATTTTGGTCTTCCTGGTTTCTGATTCTTCCAGTCATTTTTGCCAATTCGGCATAGTCCATCAACTTAATCTGCCATTCTTTTCTGGTAGGGACTTCTTTCTATCTCTGAGCTAATAACATCCGAGCAGCAGTGGTCACATACATAAATAGTCTTTTCTGATCCGTTGGGAGTCCAGCACCTAAAATTCCTAAAAGAAAAGCTTCGGGTTTTTAAGAAAAGGTTGTTTTGAACATTTTTTTCAGTTCATTATATATCATCTCCCAGAATTCTTTTACTACCTTACATGTCCACCACGTATGAGAAACCTGAGATTTCCGGGGTGATGGATTCTGTACCCCAAAACAAATGTTGTATTTGCATCTCCTGCCTGTTGCCCGATGCTCTTGCAGCTTCAATGTTCCTTATCTGGGTCACTACTAATTTCACCAAGACAAGAGCCGACCTGAGACTTGTAACCAGGTCTCCCTGATCCGAATTGTGGGCGGCATTTTCCCACTCAAGTTTTCTCGCTTGCTGTCTCCCTAGATCCTCATTGTCACCATGCGGGTTGCTCTCCCCAACGTCATCCGTTTCTGCTGCTGTGTGGCCGTCATCTACCTGGGCTACTGCTTCTGTGGTTGGATTGTGCTGGGACCCTACCATGTCAAGGTAAGGGGAGCAGGGGGGACAGAACTGTCATGGAGCCACCAGCTTCAGTGCAAACAAAGCAAAGAACTTTTCAGATCATTGTCACTGTTAATATGCGTCTTCCTTGGGGAAAGGGATGGTTGCCTAAATCTTGGAAGAGTTAACACTACAACAGAGCCAAGTGCTTGTAGCTATTATTATTATTATTATTATTTATTTTCAATTACAATCCAATAATAGCCTCATCATAACAATACCAAATTATAATACAGTGGTACCTCAGGTTAAGTACTTAATTCGTTCCGGAGGTCCGTTCTTAACCTGAAACTGTTCTTAACCTGAAGCACCACTTTAGCTAATGGGGCCTCCCGCTGCTGCCACGCCACCGGAGCACAATTTCTGTTCTCAGCCTGAAGCAAAGTTCTTAACCCGAGGTACTATTTCTGGGTTAGAGGAGTCTGTAACCTGAAGTGTATGTAACCTGAAGCGTACGTAACCCGAGGTACTACTGTACAATTGATAATACCAATCATTCAAATACCGAATTACCGTATTTTTCGCTCCGTAAGACGCACCTGACCATAAGTTTTTAGAGGGGAAAAGCAAGAAAAAAACCAATTCTGCGCAGAGCATGTAAGCGACTCTCGCTTTTCTTGCTTTAAAGCAAGCAAAGCGAGAGCCGCTTACATGGCTTCTCTCCCGCTTTGCGCAGCTCTCACTTTGCTCGCCCATCCCTTCTCCCGCCTCGCTGTAAAGCGCGGCGACGCCAGAGCAAGAAGAGAAGGAGGAGACACCGGGCAGGTGCTTTGCTTGCTTTACAGCAAGGTGGGAAGCCAGCAGGAGCAAGAGGTGCTGCACAGCTCTCACTGAAGCCAGCAGAGTAAGAGCGATAGCTGTGCAGCGGCTCTTGCTCTTCTGGCTTCATAGCGAAGCAGTAGGAGGGACGGAAGGGAGCCCTTACACAGAGCCCCTTCCGTCCCTCATCCCACTTCGCTGTGAAGCCAGCAGAGCTGTCAAATTATTGAAAACCTGAAAATCGTTGTCATCGTTGTCATAAATGGCTGTTTCTCCCACTCACCTATTGTCTCCAGATTTGGGGCCTCGCTTGTCCTCAGCTCTTGTCTGCTGTTTTGGTTTCAGTTCCGCACCCTCTCGATGGTGTCAGAATGCCTTTTCTCGCTCATCAACGGGGACGACATGTTTGTGACCTTTGCCGCGATGCAGCAGAACAGCTACTTGGTGTGGCTTTTTAGCCAGGTCTACCTGTACACTTTCATCAGCCTGTTTATCTACATGGTGCTCAGCCTCTTCATTGCTCTCATCACTGGCTCCTACGAGACTATCAAGGTTTGTTGTTGTTTAGTCATTTAGTCGTGTCCGACTCTTCGTGACCCCATGAGCACGCCAGGCACTCCCGTCTTCCACTGCCTCCCACAGTTTGGTCAAACTCATGCTGGTAGCTTCGAGAACACTGTCCAACCATCTCGTCCTCTGTCGTCTTCTTCTCCTTGTGCCCTCACAATTTAAATCACTAGTCAGTAGGACTTGATTTAAATCACTAGTCAGTAAGACTTGATTTAAATCATTTTTTTTTACAGAAAGACTCATTCTTGCTGGTATAATCTTAATATTTACAAGCAGATGAAGGTTTCATTTTTTGAATAATAAATTTTCAGAGTAGTTTTTACAGTTATATCAAAAACTACTGATTTGCTTATACTATTAGAAATACATTGTCAGATAATTATGAAATTATTGTGAGGTTTAATAAGTTAGCTGTTTATATTTGGACAACTTTTCTGCTGTACTTCATTGGAAGGAGAAAAATAATCAATTCCTTAATAACCATTTAAACTATTTATTTAACTAAAATGATAACATTATAGGATATGTATCCATGTTTGTTAACTGATGTGGTTAAATGACTTTTTTAAAAAAAATATCCTGAGTTTTAGCACACATGAAAAACTTAAATCCTTATTTCCTGATGAATAGCCTTTGGACTATACGTAATGTAACTTAAATAGAAAACTATCTTTAGAAAGCTATTTTCCTCCAAAAGCATTTTATTTTAAAAATCAAATTTAAAAAATCTGATTTAAATTTTAAAAAAATCCATTTTTTAATTTTTTAAAAAAATAATAATTGATTTTTATCCACCCTGGCGAGACCTACTGAGAGCGTTGCTGAGTGTGTGTTCGTTGCCTTGAATAAAGAAGGTAACTTCACTAACAGCTGGCTCTGCTTCTTCTGCTGAGCTGCATCTGACTCCAGCCCTGAGGCCTAGCACCAGTCCAGAGACACCATCTGAATTTTTGCATCTGATAGGAGTCCTCTCCTTCCTGCAGTCCCAGAACTGCTCTGACCCCTAGATAGTGCTATGCAAACCCTGTCTCTCGTCTCTTGCTCTTGCAGCATCAGTCTGAGGGGGAAGCGGCCATTACCCAGCTCCACGCTTACATAGCCGAGTGCAAAGACAGCCCCAAATCGGGCAAGTTCCGCCGGGATAGTGGTTCCTCGTGTTCGGTCTTCTGCTGCTGTGAGAGGTGAGTCTGCAGGGGATGGGTCTCGAGCGACTTTCCCGCTATTATGAATGTCTGTTCTTGGGCTCCAGCCATTTGAGAGAGCCAGTGTGGTGTAGTGGTTAAGAGCGGTAGACTCGTAATCTGGTGAACCGGGTTCACGTCTCCACTCCTCCACATGCAGCTGCTGGGTGACCTTGGGCTAGTCACACTTCTTTGAAGTCTCTCAGCCCCACTCACCTCACAGAGTGTTTGTTGTGGGGGAGGAAGGGAAAGGAGATTGTTTGCCGCTTTGAGACTCCTTCGAGTAGTGATAAAGCGGGATATCAAATCCAAACTCTTCTTTGGGTGGCCAGGCCCCTTTTGTACTCCAAGAACAGACCCCACCTTAAAAAAAACAACGGTAAAGGACCCCTGATGGTTAAGTCCAGTCACGAACAGCTCCGGGGTTGCGGCTCTCATCTTGCTTTACTGGCCGAGGGAGCCGACGTTTGTCCGCAGACAGTTTTTCCGGGTCACGTGGCCAGCTTCTGGTGAAACCACAGCAGTGCATGGAAACACCATTTACCTTCCCGCTGGAGCGATACCTATTTATCTACTTGCACTGGACTGCTTTTGAACTGCTAGGTTGGCAGGAGCAGGGACCGAGTAACAGGAGCTCATCTCGTCGTGGGGATTCGAACCGCCGACCTTCCAGTCGGCAAGCCCAAGGCTCAGTGGTTTAGACCACAGCGCCACCCGTGTCCCATAAGACCCCACCTTGCCCCTTCCCAAATCCCTCTTCTGTGCAGGGCATTAGGGCTGTGCCTCCGGAACAGGTATTAAAGGACTCATTGCGGGCAGAGAAGCCAGTGCTTGGAGCCCAAGACACATCTTTGGTTAGGGGGCACTGAGGCACAAAGCTTGGTGGTTCTCTCTTCTCCCTCCTTTTTCTTTCCCACATAATATTTATTAGTTTTCCAAATTTTTAACGCATCAATGCCAAATTACATCAAATTGGATACAATTTTTCCGAAAAGTTGTCTTCCCACTCTTCATCCTAAATGCGTCCCTACTTTCCCCCATTGCTTGCTATTACATATTTATTTCTAATTCGCATTTCATTCCTTATATTCAATTTACAGTTATTATTTCTTTTAAATTCCCTTACCCCTTATCCATCAGCTATCTATTTATCAATTCCTGCTTGTATATACAATATATTCCCTTAAATAACTAAAGTTATACATCCCCCTGCCTGTCCACTTTAAATCATTACTATTTCTATATTAATTTTACTTTCTTTTGCGTTTGCCGCCATTTTTATCTTCACCACCATATTTAGCATCTTGATAATAATTTTTATTAGTTTTCAATTACAGTCCAATAATAACCTCATTAAAACAACGCCGAATAATAATACAATTACTGATACCAATCATTCAGATACCAAATTATATAATTTAGGTGGCCCCTCACATGCTAGAACTGATGGGGTTTTTTTATTTCTGCATTTCATATTTCACTTTCCAGTAGTTGCTTGTCAGCAGTCAGCGCCCATTTTGTGTTGGGCCCCATATTGTTTTGCGATTCATGTTCTCTCCACAGCGTTTGCGACCCATTGTAAGATTATTTCTCAAGGACCCTTTTTTCCCTCCCTCCTTGAACCCTCCCCTCCCGCAAGAACCCCACTGCAGGAGAACGTCTTGGTGGTGAACTGAGCGCTGTGACAGAGAGCGAGAAGGACTGCCTTGACTGATCATTGCTGGGCACGGACCTGCAGGTGGACTTCTGAGACTGACGACGCCTCCTGTCTCCTGTCTTCCGGCAGGGACTAGGACGGAAGAGGGCAGCCTATATCCTTGCCTCCTGTGGGCTGCGACCTTATGTGCTGGTTCCACGGAGAGCTGTTGAGACAGTCCTTGGTGTCTGAGCAACAGACACTTGGGGGACCAGGGGGAGGGGGAGGGGACTAGAGTTTTAACCAGTATCTCCCCCAGTCTTGAACTGGCGCTGCAATAGTCCCGGCTGATTTATTGCTGGCCTGTGTCTACCGGCTTTTCCCAGGCTCCCTGTGGGATTAGCAGGTTTGCCAGACAGTTGCAGTGAGGGAATGCAGTTTTGCTTTAGTGTTTTTTTAAAAAAAGGTTTTATTTTGGAAGAAAAAAGACTTACAAAAGGTCACGCCAGGAGTGAGTCAAGGCAAAGCCCTTTACATCGCTTTTGAGGACCTTGGAGGTTTCCACACTGCCTGCGCATCAACTTTTTCAAGTGCCACATTTGCCTCCGAAGGACTGGCGCAAAGGTTCTGCTTTGTTTCCCTCAAGCACCTGACATCTGGCTGGCACCTGGAAGGTTTGGGATGCTACAGGATGGATTTTAACAAAGCCTCTGTGTCGTAAGGGGTGGGGAAGCTGTTTCAAAACACTGGGGTGAAGGGCAAGGCTTTTCCTGCCTCGTCCTGTGGAAGATTTGCTCTGGGGTTCGGCTAAAGTGCCCTTCCCATCCTCTTTCAGTCCGTGGCCTTGTTGCTGTTTTGGTTTGGAACAGATTCTGTTCTCGATCAAGCAGGTAGGCCTGTCTTAAGGATGACACATCTAATCCCATTTCTGCAGCCTCTGTATAGACAACTGTGCTGGGCATGGCTTGCGTTTCAATCAGGTATCAGTATATCAATTTATTTCCCCTGGATTGTTGCACAGGAAGATTGCAGCATGCTCACTGGTCAGGTTTAGGATTAAGAGAATATGGGATCTTAAATGAACTGTGAGTAGGCTAAGACTGGAATCTACTTTGGAGAATATGTTTTTCTGCTTCAGAAGAGGCACTCGCCTACAGCTAAGGCATGGGACTGCTTTCTGTGGGTAGTTTGATCTTCAAGGCAGTCTCTTGCACACAATTCCATGTTGTTTGGGATTTTGCATTGAGGCTAAGGAAGATATTGGTATTTATGCCAACGAGGGATCACCACATCCACTGATTCCCAAGAGTGCTCTGGCTCTACTGCGAAACAGTTGCTTTTATGAGTAAGGACACCATTTTCTCCTGCTTTCTCTGGGCCTCCTTTAGAAAAATGAGCTCTGTTCCAGGAGACGAGGGGGATTATTGCAACTCTTCACTTCAGGCGCAGAAATGTCTACAACCAGGTTTAGAATTTGCCTTACCGGACTCTGTCAGGAGGAAGAGGAGCTAACTGTGCCGTCTCTTCCCTTCCACTGTCTATAAATGAACTAGTGAAAAAAGAGAGAGAGGGAGGTCTGTTGACCTCTTAAGTATTGTCAAATAATGGTCACTTGTTTTAAAGCATTAATTTTATAGAACTGCTACAACAAATGAGATGTAACCAATTTTGAGTGTTAATATAATTTATGAAACAACGAAATTCAGTTCTGAATGACTGAAGTAAATAATTTACAGCTAAACAGAAATACAGGTATGAGAAAAGTGATGTTTCAGCGTTTGGGTTGTTTTTTGTTTGGCTTTTGTCTCCTGGAGGGTTTGCTAAAACAGTTATGGATCTTGTATTTGTAATTTCAAATATCAACTGCAAAAGCTTTGTTGGTTCTTAAGAATGAATATTCCATTCCCTAACATGGGAAAAGGCAGAGGGGGCTCCTTCAACATTAATTCCACAGCTCAGAGGCTTCTGAGCTCCCTGATGAACTCATTGGATCTTTCTGATCAGGATGCTATTCAGAGTCTTCTTCCGGCTTTATTGCGGCTGCCCCTATCCTTGTTGCAGGCCAGCTAGGGAGCTGGGAGTGAGGAGTGTCTTGAAGTTGAGGTTCCTTTTTCCCCAATTTTTTTTTATTGATTTTCACATTTATCACAGAAAAAGGAAAAAGGAAAAACATTACAAAACACACAACAAAAAACACACAAAAATAAACTCTTACTTCAAATTACTAATTTCATTACAATAATAACTGACTTCCTCAAATCCCCTCTAACTGAATTTCATTATATCACCTATTTAACAGTTCTCCAAATTAATATTTCTAATACAGTGGTACCTCGGGTTACATACGCTTCAGGTTACAGACTCCGCTAACCCAGAAATAGTGCTTCAGGTTAAGAGCTTTGCTTCAGGATGAGAACAGAAATTGTGCTCCGGCGGCAGCAGGAGGCCCCATTAGTGAGTGAGTGTTATGCACAATTTGGATCTGTTTTTGCTTTGGCCATGCCTGGCACTGGCATGCAGCCCTCAAGAGGATTGGGGCTGCCCTCCAGCTGAGAAAGGTTAGCCACCCCTATTCTAAGTGGTGGGTGTGGGTGTGTAGCCAGGATCTTCTCTTCCTTCTGCATCCCTTTGCCCGGTCTGCAACAGCAACCTTATGAAGTCCTCCGAGGGTCTTCTGCTGGTTTCCTTACTGAGAGAATCGAAGTTAGGTTGAATGAGGAGGAGGGCCTTCTCGGTAGTGGCACCCTCCCTGTGGAAAGCCCTCCCTTCAGATGTCGAGGAGATAACGAATTGCACAACTTTTAGAAGATGTTTGAAGGCAGGCCTGGATCGGGAGGTTCTTAATGCTTGATGTTTTTACAGTGGTACCTTGGGTTACATACACTTCAGGTTACAAACTCTGCTAACTCAGAAATAGTACCTCGGGTTAAGAACTTTGCTTCAGGATGAGAACAGAAATTGTGCAGCAGTGGTGCAGCAGCAGCAGGAGGCCCCATTAGCTAAAGTAGTGCTTCAGATTAAGAACAGTTTCAGGTTAAGAACAGACCTCCAGAACGAATTAAATACTTAGCCTGAGGTACCACTGTATTATATTTTTAGATATGCTATGAGCTGCCCAGAGTGGCTGGGGAAACCCAGCCAGATGGGTGGGTGATAATAATAATAATAATAAACAATAATAATACTGCTTATTTTTTACCTGATGGCACAATCATCTACAATTAAAATAGTAGATTGCCATCTATGTAAATAATTCCCCAGCTTTAAGAAATTGTTGGTGAACTAATTGACAAGTGTCCCTGCCCGTGTGAGCATGAGCTGATCAGCTTTCTTCTTATTGAAGGTCTAAAAAATTCATGCTAAGTTTTTCCCTGGTCTGCTGCGGTGACGGGAACAGTGTGTTCATCAAACATGTGCTTTTGCATGCAGATGTTTTCCCTTCCCCTGCCGGTTCTCCCTTGGGGTGATTTGGCGCCACATTAAAAAGCGAGGTAGGTTTTGCAGATTCTTTGCTTTTGTGGATCCTGGAGCCGCTGCAGCTTCTCAAGAACAGCAGAGGAAACCTCCTGATATGTTGGCTGGGGGGCTGAAATATAACGCATGTCCTCATCTTGAAGAGAGAGGGATAGAAGCACAAACATGGGTGTGCTGTGGTGTCAAGGTTGGAACACCCATGCTGCCGGAAACCTCATAGCCAAAAGCTGAATGCTGGTGGAAAAGTTGTTTTGATGAAAGGAGTTTGTTGGCACCATAAGGTCATGTGCCGGCTCCTGCCACCAAATACTAGGCAAGGGAGATAGGAGGAGCACATGGTGCAAGAGAAAGCAGACAAGAAGTCTGCAGTGTGAAATTGTCTAATCCCAGTTAGCTTAGACTCTGGCTCCTATGAGGAGGAGATTGCCCTTTCTACTGCTGATAGCTTCAGGAGCAAAGAATCTCCACTCCCCTTTCTCTGAATTGCTTTCTGTGAGCTTGTCCCTGCGTGAATGTGCAATATATTCAGCGATTCCACCGCAGTGTTTGGCACAATTTACCACTTGCTTTCTCTTCGCCAAAGGAGGCTTTGCAGCCTCTTGGAGAATTCAGGGTGAGAGCAGTATGCAGTGTCTGCTGGGAACTGGCCTAAGAGCAAACAGGAATTATTAAATGTGTTCCTGTCGCTGTTTGTGCTGAAGTTCAGGCAGTCTGTTCAAACACGTTGCATTGAACCATAGTCCATCACAGTCTAAACTAAAACAGGAATGAATGCTACCAAAGTCATTATAAAATAAAATGGGTGGGTCGATACGGTGCGAGAAATGTAATAATAATAATAATAATAATAACAATTTTTATTAATACCCCGCCCTCCCCAGCCAAGGCCGGGCTCAGAGCAGCTTACAAGCAATAATAAAAACAAGTTGAATGATTACAACTTAAAAACAAAATTAAAATACAACATTAAAATGTAGCCTCATCGCAGGAGGGGAAGGAAAGGAAAAAAGAAAGAGAGGGAGGGAGGGAATCAAATTGGCTCCAAGCCAAAGGCCAGGCGGAACAACTCTGCCTTACTGGCCCTGCGGAAAGAAATCCGATCCTGCAGGGCCCTGGTCTCGTGAGGCAGAGCGTTCCACCATTCCGGAGCCAGAATTGAAAAGGCCCTGAGTCTGGTTGAAGCCAATCTAACTTCCTTAGGGCCCGGGACCACTAGGGTGTTGCTATTTATGGACCTTGAGGTTCTCCGTGGGGCATACCGGGAGAGGCGGTCCCGTAGGTATGAGGGTCCTAAGCCGTGAAGGGCTTTAAAGGTCAAAACCAGCACCTTAAATCTGACCCTGTACTCCACCGGGAGCCAGTGCAGCTTGAAAAGCACTGGATGAATATGCTCCCATGGCAGAGACCCCGTGAGGAGCCTCGCTGCAGCATTCTGTACCCGCTGGAGTTTCTGGGTCAGCTTCAAGGGCAGCCCCGCGTAGAGCGAATTACAGTAGTCAAGCCTGGAGATGACCGTCGCATGCATCACTGTGGCCAGATCGGGGCGGGAAAGGTAAGGGACCATCTGCTTGATGCGGCGAAGGTGGAAAAATGTCGCCTTGGCTATTGCTGTAACTTGCGCCTCCATGGAAAGGGAGGCGTCAAGGATTACACCCAAACTCTTAACGGAAGGCAATGGCACTAATTGGGCCCCCGCAAGAGAAGGGAGTTGGTCCTTCCCTGTAATGAAATCAATAAAAAGCGACTTAGTAAAATCTGGGAGTTGACCCAAAATGACCAAACCCAGCTCAGCCAGTAATTTACCTAGTCTTGAGTTTTCATCATACCAGTTCCCAATCTTAAAATTATTGGATTATTGGCCATAATGAAACAAAAATAAAAATGAGACAATGTAAACACTCCAGCTTCTTCAGTCCTATCTTGTGTGTCTACCTTGTGAAATTTGACTAGTTCTTTTGAAATGTGACTGCTCTTCTTGGTATCTTAATATCCTTAAAAGGCAGAATGTTCTGCTTTCAACACATATTTGCAAGATTAACTTATCGGCAAGATGCATCTCTGTAACGACTTGTGTCAGTGATTAATTAAATAGATAATGGGGGGCTTTCTTAGGCACATCTCAACCCCAGTGGCGAGGGGGCATCCTGGCTGCAGTTCTTTCGAGAGCTGTAAGAAGGCATAAGATGGAACATAGCAAGAGAGTTCCTTTCTCCAACAGAACTTGCCAGTTCTCAGTAAATAACCCTCTGGGCCTGTTCCATATTCTTTAAAAAAGAGGGGGGGGGAATGTCCTTCATGGTTGTAATAGATGCATAGTCATTCTGCATAAACATTTGTACATCATTTGAACTTCAAATAAGACAAGACCTCTCTGAGGGGAAAGTTCTCAGCAGCCAATTGTTTCAATGCCAGGAACAGCTGAGAAACCATTACAGTGGTACCTCTGTATGCGAACAGGATCCGTTCCGGAGCCCCATTAACATCCTGAAGCGAACGCAACCCGGGTCGCGATTCGCCACTTCCACGCATGCGTGTGATGTCATTTTGACTGTCTGCGCATGCGCGAGTGGCGAAACCCGGAAGTAACGAGCTCCGTTACTTCCGGGTCACCACAGCACACAACCCGAAAATACTCATCCCGAAGCTACTTCAACCCGAGGTATGACTGTATTCTTTATGCCATAATTTAGCCAGACAATGCTGTCTCAACCCCCTACCTTTTGTCCAGTAATTACCAATTTGGCCAGTGTGGCGTTTGCCCATTCCTTGTGATTATGTTTGTACAGGGGGATGGGAATGGTTAATGTAGATTGACCAGTGAGAAAGCTCAGAGGTGGAACCTACCTGGTTTTGAGGCTCAGCTCAGCCCAGGGGTTTTGCCATGGGGAGATAGGAGAGTCAGAGTCGGACAGAGCGAGTAAAAGAGGAATATAGCGGTTGTGACAGGGTGAGAGACAGGGATGGAACTGAGAGAGAACAGTGTGACAATGTGAGATAGTGCCACATCTAGTTAAGGGCACGCATTTGAGAAACCGTTCTGAACATATTTAAAACTTGTTTGTTTTTCAATAAACTTTAATCTTCGTTGTTGACTTTACAACCTGACAGAGACTCAGTATTTCACCAGAAGAAACCTGGTTGGTGGCAGCGGAAGAATAAAGCAGTGGTGTAAAGGTCAATAGTCCATGAAACGACCAGGGGCTCTGTATGAACACCACAGCCAGTGGCGGCAGCTAAACTGGTGACTGGGAGCGGCCGTTGAGACCATTTAACACCGGTCTTAAAAGACCTACACTGGCTCCCGGTACGTTTCTGAGCACAATTCAAAGTGTTGGTGCTGACCTTTAAAGCCCTAAACGGCCTCAGTCCAGTATACCTGAAGGAGCGTCTCCACCTCCATCATTCTGCCCGGACACAGAGGTCCAGCGCCAAGGGCCTTCTGGTGGTTCCCTCGCTGCGAGAAGCCAAGTTACAGGGAACCAGGCAGAGGGCCTTCTCGGCAGTGGCATCTGCCCTGTGGAATGCCCTCCCACCAGATGTCTAAGAGAAAAACAACTACCAGACTTCTAGAAGACATCTGAAGGCAGCCTTGTTTAGGGAAGCTTTTAATGTTTAATAGGTGATAGTATTTTAATATTCTGTTGGAAGCCGCCCAGAGTGGTTGGGGAAACCCAGCCAGATGGGCGGGGTATAAATAATAGTAACTATTATTATTATTATTATTATTATTAGTGAGGCAAGGTGAGGCGGCCGCGTCAGGCGGCAGGATCCACAGGGCCAGCAGATCTGTCCTGCAAGGAATGCATCGCCCGCTGCCACAGTGGCAACGGTTTGGGCTTCTTCCTTGGAGGCCAGATCAGCTGCCTCCTTGGCTTCAGCCTCCCAATGCCACCTCTACAGTGGTCTCTCAAGAGGAGGAAACTGCAGGAGCTGCTCTCCTGCACCCACCCAGCATGATTCAGAGTGAGCCCCTTGCTCCCTGCACATGGCAGCCTTTGAATCCCACGTCAACTGTCAGGTAAGGTTGATTTGATTCCTCCTCTTGTTCCCGATGCAGATCTTCACCCTTCTTCCCTGGCAGGGGGGCGGGGAGTTATTTTGTGGTTTGCCTCAGGTGGCCAGATATCCTGGGCCAGCGTGGATCAAAGGCATAGCAACATAAGAACATTTCGCACACTGACTTAACTGCAACCAGCTGCTGTCGTGCTCCTGTATGTCTCACATGGTGTGGTGTAGACCAGGGGTCACAAACTTTTTCAGCAGGGGGGCAGTCCACCGTCCCTCAGACCTTGTGGTGGGCCGACGATATTTTGAAAAATAATATGAACGAATTCTTATGCCCCACAAATAACCCAGAGATGCATTTTAAAGAAAAGGACACATTCTACTCATATAAAAACACGCTGATTCCCGGACTGTCCACAGGCCAGATTGAGATGGCGATTGGGCCACATCCTGCCCCCGGGCCTTAGGTTGCCTACCCATGGTGTAGACAGAACGGACTAACTCGAAAAAATGCGATATCCAATCATGAGTGTAGGTGGGGGGCAACCCCCCCCATCAAGAAAATAAAAATATTTAACTAAATGACCAACTGCATTGCAGACAACAGTTTTGCCCCCCTCAACATAATGCCTGTTCCCCCTCCAAAAAAAAATCCCATATGTCCAATATGGTGATGTTCCAGAAGTACCTTCCTTTTGGTGAATTGCACAGCAGCAGAAGGGGTCACTTCCCTGTCCCAGCTACCGAACAATTGTTTAATTAATATCATATAACAGTGATCCTCCCCTGAGAACCATTTGACACCCACCTCAGAAACTTCACAATGCTGGATCTAGACACATCGAAGAAGTGTTTCCGGAAAATGTGTTGTAAAATGGAAAGAAGCAGAAGTCCCAGCAAAGGAAGAATGGATACAAAAACTTATGGAACATGCATAAATGGTGAAACTTGCCAGAATAAAAAGGTCAAGACAACAAACTTTTTATAAAGGAAAGGAAATGGTTTATTGAATATTTATGAATAAATTGCAAACAGATAAGAACATTGGCAGGATTATTGTAATAACCTGCATTTTCATAAGAGTGTATATTTAAAGTACAGTCGTACCTTGGTTCTTGAACACAGCAAACCCGGAAGTGAGTTTTCCTTGTTTGTGAACGTTCTTTGAAACCCGAACAGCTGATGTGGCTTCTATGGATTCCGATTGAGTGCAGGAAGCTCCTGCAGCCAATCGGAAGTCACGCCTTTGTTTTCGAACATTTTCGGAAGTTGAACAGGCTTCTGGAACAGATTCCGTTCGACTTCCGAGGTACGACTGTAGATGAACAAATGAGCAAATTTAAGTTAATTTGGATATGCAGAAGATATTAAAAATAAATTTAAGGAACCGCAGAAAGAGGAGGAAGTCAAGCTTTGAAATGTTAAAATGATTGTAAAATTAATGACATGTATAAATCTTAAAAGCATAAATAAAAAAGGGAATCGCGTTGTAAACTTTATATGAGAAATCGCGCTGGCAAAAATGGAACTCCGCAGCGCCATCTGGTGTCACAGTGTTGTAATGCACATATATCAAGCGCCTTTTCTTTACCCATCTAGCTGACTCCTTTCTAGAGAGCTCAGCTGGTTAGAGCATGGGGCTGATAATGCCAAGGTTCCAGGTTTGTTCGACTGCATCTTCCTGCATTGCAGATGAAATAAAATGTTCATAAATGTACCAACCAAGCATGTACATAAATATATAAACAACATGTCTGAAGCAGCACAGGAAAACAGTCCTGAAACCATTTTGACTCCCAAACTGACCAAATGTGTTCTCTGCAAGGAGGGAGGGGGTGAGGGAACCTTCCCATTGTCTCAGGAATTGGGTAAACACCATCTCAAAGGAATGGCCAGACTACCAGGAAAGGCAATCAGATAAGGCATTATCAGATAACCAGGCAGGCGGGAAAACAACAACATTCAAATTTCTGTTGTAGACCACCTTTTCTGTGATGTAGGTATGATGTATGGAGGGCTGGTCCTGAGCTCCAGGGCAGGGAATTTAAAATGTCTATATAAGGGCGGGCACACCTTCTGGGTCCTCCTCTTTCCCTGCATGTGAGGGGAGCACCCTGTTGCAACCGTTCAATAAAGATCAGGCTTACTAGCTGCTTTGCTTCTCTGGTTGGCCTCTGTTATTTTCTCCTACCGATGGAGAACCTACAAAGGACTCTATAAGGACTCTTGTGTTCCCCCATAAGGGAAGATTTTTGTTTATTACTCCGGGGGTTGGGACTAGTTGAGCCTCAGGGTCCCTTCCAACTTTACAATTCTCTTACAGTGGTGCCCCGCAAGACGAATGCCTCGCAAGACGAAAAACTCGCTAGACGAAAGGGTTTTCCGTTTTTGCGTTGCTTCGCTAGACGAATTTCCCTATGGGCTTGCTTCGCAAGATGAAAACGTCTTGCGCTTTTTTTTTAAAGCCGCTTGAAGAGGCGCAGTTGCGACGGACCGTGCTTCGCAAGACGAAAAGACTCGCGGAACGAATTCTTTTCGTCTTGCGAGGCACCACTGTATTCTCAACTTTAGGCCAGAGGAAAAAGTAGATGGGCGGGGTATAAATAAATTATTATTATTAATAATAATAAGAATTAATAATAATAATGCCAATTTGATTCCCTCCCCCCTTTCTTTTTCCTTTCTCCTCCTGTGATGAGGCTGCATTTTAATATTTTACTGTTTCAATATTTTAATGTTGTATTTTAATCTTGTTTTTAAGTTGTATTCATTCAACTTGTTTTTATTATTGCTTGTTAGCCGCCCTGAGCCCGGCCTTGGCTGGGGAGGGCGGGGTATAAATAAAAATTATTATTATTATATAGACAACAAGCCCTAAGCACTGCAACCTTCCTTCCTAGGGGTGTGGCTCCACACACACCCTTTCTAGACCCTTTTCTGACCCTTTCCCACAACCCTACGAAACCCGCTTCCTAGCCGCCGACGGCGTCTTTCCCGCAATGGCGCTGCCTCTCTGCCCCTCGCAACATGGCGGCCGGCTGCCAGCTCGGCGGCGCGGCGCGATGATGTCATTGGCCAGGGCGCCGCTACGAGCCGGAGGCAGAGAGAGAGAGAGGCATGGGCTTCAAAGGGCCGCCCTGCAGATCGGAGCCGGCGGCGGCGGCGGCGGGTGAGTCTTGGGCGGATAACAGCAATGCGAGAGGGCGGGGGAAGTAAAAGAAAGGCTGGAGCCCAGCGCTGGGGTCCCGCTCGGTAACGTGCGAAGAAATGAAGAGGCGGCAGTGGAGCCTCTGAGCATGTACAGAGTGCGAACGCGTATTCCCCGCCACCCGCTCTTCCTTCAGCCAGAAACACCACGTCAAATATTTATTCGCGTGTTTATTGCACTTGTAGCCCAGCTTTTTCTCGGTGTACATACCCCCCCCCCGTCCACAAACGTTCTTAGAAGTTGAAGGGACTACCAGGGTCATCTAGTCCAACCCCCTTTCGCCGCATCGCTCGAACCCATGACTCAGATCCATAGTCTCGTGCTGTACGGACTGAGCTAGCCACCCCCTCCAGATTGAACCCCCACTACAGCCCTGTGAGGTAGGTTAGGCCGAGAGACGAGGCAGTCAGTGGCTGGGCCAGGGTCACCTCAGGGAACTTCCTGGCCCAGTGGTGGGGATTTGAACCCGGGTCTCTCCCAGGGTCCTAGCCCGACACTGTAACCCTGAGGCCCTTATAGCTTGCGCCGGAAGGGGGAGAGGCTTTGAGCCCTGGTCCCTCTCCTTTTGGGAATTTTTAAAACCCCAGCCAGGCAGCAGCAGGGGTTTGAGGGAAGGCATGGACGAGCCGTGGCTTGGGCAGAAATGGGTGGGCAGGGGCATTGCCTGGCATGAAGCTGCCGAGAGAAAGGCTGGACCCCCAGCCAGGGAGTAGGACTTGTGCTGCAGACATTCAGGCACTGGGATGGAGACTGCCGTGTACCTGGAATCCTGGTTCGTTTTTGCCGCCCTCGTTTTTGGCAACTGAGCAGAGCCTCCCCACGAGAAACTTTGCCACTGGGGTCAAGACCTTCCCCAGGCCTGGGTCATGCCAATGGAGCATTGGTAAGAGATCCAGACCCACTCTGGATGAGGTTAAAGCCAGCCGGCCCCTTCCACCACCTGGCTGGGCTGCTGCATGGAGCACAAAGGTGGCGCATGCCCTTCTGGAGCTATCAGGTGGGCAGGACCGCTGGAGAGTCTGATGGCAGAGAGCGGGGCCGGCTGACTGTCCAGATGAGGGCCAGGACAGCTGCTGCCTTCACCCCCCCATTAAGTGACCCGGGGAGGGGTCCAGCTGACCAATCCCAGCCTGCTGGTGGTCCTGCCCAGTTGGGTTGGTGCCATCCAATGAGGGCAGGGGGTGTTCAGTGGGGCCCTGCACAGGAGCCAATATTTCAAGCAGGCTGCATTGCCTGGCAACCTGGACCCCTTCCAGCAACACGTGCCCAGCCTAGGCTCAAGGTCATCATCAGATGGGCACGAATTGGCTTTTGTTGGGGGCGCAAAAGGGGCAGAGCGTAATGAAATCAGACTTTCCCAACAGGCCATGAGAGGGTGGTATGTGTGCAGTAAGTCAGTAATTTTTAAAACCCCAGCAAAACAGAAGCAGAGGAAGGAGGGAAGGTATGGAAGGTATGGAAGAGCCATTGCCTAGGCAGAAATGGGGGTGGGCGGGCAGGGGGATCGCCTGGCATGAAGCCGCTGGACCCCCCAGCCAGGGAGTAGGAGTGATATAAATGCAGTAAGTAAATAAATACTCAGTGTCTTGTTTTCATTGGTAGGAAAATTAACATGCGCTTGCAGGGGGAGGCTGGTTCAGATTGACAACTCATGGAGCTGCCAATTAAACTTTACCCTGAGGACACTGTGGCTCCTCCCAGGGCCATCCTATTGTCAGTCTTGGAGGACTTGCCAAGCAAAAAAAAAGGTTTCTCTTTAATCATGCCTTGGGCTCATTAACATTCTACGGCTTTTTAAATGTGTTTGCGGGATGGGGGAGGGGGTTACCGGTTGGTCTTTGTTTTGGTTCTTTTTTATTAGGTATTTTGTGTTCTTGCTTTGTATTTTCATGTTGTGAACTGCCCTGTGATCTTCAGATAAAAGGTGATATAATAATAATAATAATAATAATAATAAAAATAATAATAATAATAATACAGTGGTACCTCGGGTTACATATGCTTCAGGTTACATACGCTTCAGGTTACACACTCCGCTAACCCAGAAATAGTGCTTCAGGTTAAGAACTTTGCTTCAGGATGAGAACAGAAATCCTGCTCTGGCGGTGCGGCGGCAGCAGGAGGCCCCATTAGCTAAAGTGGTGCTTCAGGTTAAGAACAGTTTCAGGTTAAGAACAGACCTCCGGAACGAATTAAGTACTTAGCCCGAGGTACCACTGTAGTTATTTGTTGATGATCGGGGGTATATTATTTATTAATTAAATTTCTATAACACCTTTCACCCAAGGATCACAGGGCAAGGTGTGTGTGTGGGTATTTATATTGATTTATACAAATTTATTACAAGACAGAAAGGCAGGAACTGGGTACCTGTGCTGAATGAGGAGAACGTCCTTGCCCTAATAGTACCCAGGGGCTATGTGCACAAACTGTCCCCACACTTATCGAGGTTTCCTTCTGTGTGAATGAGATCTAGAAGGCTGCCTGGGGGAATCTTTTTCAGGGATTCCTTGCCTCCTTCTGCATACTGTAGTGAAATTGTTGCGGCGCTGGTTTTTTGGTTACCTGTTTAAGGTGTGTTAAACAGGTGTGTGATCATTATCTGACAGTTGTTTATTGCTAGGGTTGATCCAAAACATTTGTGCAAATTGCACTGGCATGCATTTGCTCGTTTTACACAGTTTGTTCCTCTTCCACAAGTCCCAGTGAGGGGCAATGGCAATAAAGCCTTTTGGTTTTGAAGAGTTTGCCAAGCATGGACTGCACACTTTGAAATGGGCTCTGCCATTACAAGGACAAAAGGGTGTCTTCTCTTTCTTTAAAGAAAGCTGAGATTTCTAGAATCCTTATTTCCATTCCTGACACTACATTATATGATAGATGTTTATGCTCCTGATTATAGAATTGTAGAGCTGGAAGGGCCCCTAAGGGTCATCGAATCCAAATTCGGGACAGGGACCCTGGCAGCTCTCCATCTAATTTAATGCAGCCCTCAGATTAAGGTCAAAAGCACCTTGTGAGCAATCAATTCCCGAGCATTATATCTCTTCCTTTGCAGTCTTGCCAACTTTTGGACCTTGCTTCATTCACTGCCAGTTTGGGGTCCACCTACTAGTGCAGGCATCCCCAACCTGCGGCCCTCCAGATGTTTTAGCCTACAACTCCCATGATCCCTAGCTAACAGGACCAGTGGTCAGGGATGATGGGAATTGTAGTCCAAAACATCTGGAGGGCCGAAGGTTGGGGATGTCTGTACTAGTCGTATGTACAGCCTCTGCAGGGAGTTGCCCAGGAGGGAATGCAGAAAATGTAGCCTACACCTCAATGAGGGGCAAATGGGGTTCTTCTGCTTGGGAAGGGTGGCCCATCTAGGAGAAGGAAAACTCTGACCCTAAATTTCTGCTGCTTTGTGGGATATCTTCAGGGAAAGAAAAAGAGTAAATCCTACACAAATCTGGAGTGGAGTCCCTAAGACGGTTGGATGGCGCCTTGTACACCTCCTCCTGGCAACTCCTGCAGCCAGACTGGTGCCAAATGTATTGCTCTGCTTTCCTTTGGACTGGGGGCGGCGGTCTTGTCTGGGCAGCCCAAGACCTCCAGACACATTGCCCAGCCTTGCACCCCTTAGAGGTCACTTCAGTGCTTTTAACACAGCGGTTTGGCTTCATCCCCAGAGGCACACTCCATTGTCTCTCAAGACAGATGGATGCCACCTCCTACAAAAGTGGCCTCCCTCTTCCCCCATGTGAACTTTCTGCATGAAGTCACCTGGGGTGGAGATGATGTTTGTTGGCAGGGATCTCATGGGGCCTTCCTATCCCAGGAGCTCCTGAGATGTGGTGGCAACTTCCTAGCTCAGGCTTCTTCAAACTTGTCCCTCCAGCTGTTTTTGGAATACAACTTCCATGATCCTTAGCTAGCAGGACCAGTGGTCAGGGATGATGGGAACTGTAGTCCCCAAACATCTGGAGGGCCGAGTTTGAGGAAGCCTGTCCTAGCTGTCCTGCATTGTTGCCCAGCAGCTTTGACACTCAAAAGGAGTACAAGAGAGGGGGTCATTGCGGATTGTGCATCCTCTGGTCCCAATTCTCCCCTTGCCAGTGGGCCCTTTTGCAGGCTCAGAATTCCCAGGCCCCTTCATACATTACAAGAGCCAAGAGACGGACCCGAAAGAATAAACCAAAATCTATAAAGCTGGGGCCCTGAATCCTCTCTGTGCTTTGGGATTTTAAAAGCTGGCAAGTTTGCGTTGATTCCAGCTCACTGGCTTTACCCGAAGGTTGGTGTTCTCAAGTTCCTCTGATCAGCAAATGGTGTCTGATAAGCAGGAATTGGCGTCCACAGTGATTGGATTTCTTTGCCAGAGGGTATTTCAGATTCCTTCTGCTTTTGCACAAAAAGAAGAGAAAAAGAGCTTTATGACTTCATCCCAGTGTCAGTGTATGGCTGGGCAAGGGAAATTCCTTTCTCTAGCCCAAGGGTCAAGACCCTCAGGCTTTGTGTGCAGTCCTGCATCAGGGCTTTTTAGGCCACAGTCATCACCAGCCTTGCTTGGATGCTTTTGCCTGGCTGGAGTGTGTTGTAACTGTGATTGTGCTTCTCATTTCCTGTATGGAGAAGGGCAGGGTAGAGATCTGTGTGATGTGCAGAGAAACCTCTGACTTTTGTATGGCTAGAATGCAGCTCTTGCTTCACTGGTGAGAGTTCCATCCAGAGTATTGCCTCAGGAGGGAAGGCAGCCCTTGGGCCAGAAGAAGTTTCCCCAACCCTCCTCAAATTCAAAGTGCTGGTTTGGGCCTATGAAGCCTTAAATGGCTCAGGACTGCAATACCTCAAGGACCACCTCTTTCCATAGGAACCTACCCGGACCCTGAGATCATCTTCTGAGGCCCTCCTTTCTGTGCCTCCTCCACGAGAGGTCCAGAGGGTGGCAACATGAGAACAGGGCCTTCTCTGCAGTGGCTCCCCGTCTGTGGAATGCTCTCCTCAGGGAAGTTTGCCTGGCACCTTCATTATACACCTTTAGGCGCCAGGCAAAAACATTCCTTTTTAATCAGGCCTTTGGTTGACCTGATCAACATCCTATGCTCTTTTAAAATGTGGCTCTTTTTTAGGGGGGTGTTATTGAGTTATTGTTTTTATTTTATATAGTGTGATCTTTTCTGTGAACCACCCTGAGACCTCCGGGTATAGGGCAGTATATAAATTCAATCAATAAACAAGCAAGCAAACAAACAAATCATTATACACCTTTAGGCGCCCGGCAAAAATGTTCCAGGTATAGGGCGTGGTGACCCACAGAAGCCAGGTGAAAGGCTCTGGCAGGTGCACATGAGGATATTAGGACATGAGAGCTGCTGTTCCGGGCAAGAACTTACAGAACGAGTAACCCCGAGCTAAGCGCTTGTGAACTCACTTCGCCTCTGCTTTGTTTTGCACATTCAGCAGGCTGTGCGGGAGAGTCAACAAACAAGGTTCTTTGTCTTCCAACACACACCATCTTTCATCTTCCAACACACAACCCAGCAGTAGCAGGGTTTGCTTCGCCGGAGAGAGAGAGAGGTGTGTGTTGGCTGCACTCCCAAACGCACTTACTAGAGAGTAAGCACCACTGAACAGAGTAGGACTGACTTCTGAGTAAACATGCACTGTTGGCGATGTCCCTGAAGAGGCCAGGTTGACGCAGCCAGGAGTTCTCTGGAAGGAGGCTCCCATTTCCTCATCTTCCTTCTTGCTCCCTGCCCTGCTTCAGGAGCATGGCGAGCCACTGGATGTTTGAGAAAACAAAGCCATGGCCATAGGGGTCCCTGTACATCTTTTGGCTTTTTGCTGTCTGGGTATGGGGTGTGTGTGTGTGTGTGTGTGTGTGTGTGTGTGTGTGTCTCGCGGATGACTCTGGGGTTGCAGCGCTCATCTTGCTTTACTGGCCAAGGGAGCCGATGTTTGTCCGCAGACAGTTTTCCCGGGTCATGTGGCCAGCATGACTAAGCCACATCTTGCAAAACCAGATCAGTGCACGGAAACGCCATTTACCTTCCTGCCGGAGCAGTACCTATTTATCTACTTGCACTTTGACGTGCTTTTGAACTGCTAGTTTGGCAGGAGCTGGGACCGAACAACGGGAGCTCACCCCGTCGCAGGGATTCGAACCGCCGACCTTCCAATCGGCAAGCCCTAGGCTCAGTGGTTTATTGAAACATCCTTAAAATATCAATGACTTCCCTTCTTCGCTTTCCATTTTGCATACCATAAAACCCTGCATATTGTGCATAAACCAAACTGTTCAGTACTCGATTTTGACATCCATCCAAACTTATTTACACTGTTGAATTTGTCTTAATGCTGCCAACGTTTTCAACGTTTTCACAACCCTCCCCCCAATATATTCAATATACATTTTCCAGTCTTAGGCTATGGGGTTCTAATCTGCAGTCAATCGCCGGGCAAAGAAAACAAAACAGCAAAGCTCGATTGTTCCTGGGTCTTGCTCTCGGTGGACTTTTGCCTTTAGCAGAACTGATTGGACGAGCTCCACCCTCGCCCATCCCAGATGAAAAGAGGATGACTGAATAAATGGTTTTGTTTGGCTTCCTCCCAGGACCTCTTAGCTGCCTCTCTGCCTGGCCCTCTGCCAAGTCAGACATTAACACGCTCACTGCAATCCATCAGTCCTTGCTGGTTCCAGGCTTCCTCTTGCTTGTGCCTACAGGGCAGCTGGTGTATTTGCTCCATTGTTTTCCAAAATGGGTTTCCAGCGACTTGCCAGATGTGGGTCCTTCTGCCAGGGGTGTGTCCTGTGCCTGCCCCATTGAAGTGAGCAGGATTTGTAACGTTCTAAGCCACAGTAAGGCTCCGCAGCCATTTAGTATCCCCCCAACTATTCCTTGAAGCAGTTTGCCTGAGTCTTTGGTTTATTCTTTATCTCTTAGCATGACTGTCCCCTGAACTGGAAGGAGAGGTAAGCGCTGCCAGTGGACCTGCCTGTTTCCCCCCTTGGCTTTATTTAATTTAATCCTGGTTATTTCTCACCAGGTTCCCCCATGCCCCATCCGGGCTTATTTTGCCTCCTGGCTAACTGTCAGACTTGGGTGCTGCTGGAGACCCAAGTTGCTTCTCCCAGCCTTCTCCACATCATAACTTTCCCCTAGGGAGAGGGTGGGAACGGGGTATATCTTTTTGTTGTCCCACCCAAATCTGAGTCTCTGATCGGGCGAAAAAGGAGGGAGGGGTGTACTCTGCTGCCTCCTGGCCAGAACAAATAGATTTCAAAGGGTAGGGTGAATGTTTTCTTATTTCACTTCAAATTGAGTTCATTCACTTCATCTCTATACTGACCACAAGCCATGTGTGGAAGTCTGCCACGAACTTGGGGAGGCAACTTCTCTTTTATTAATATATATATTTAAATTAAATTTAGAATATTAATTTAAGCAACCTTAAAATATCAGTGATTGCCCTTCGTCTCTTTCCAGGGTTCATTTTGCATATCTTAAATCCCTGCATATTTTACCTAAACTATACCATTCAGTAGTCCATTATTACCGTATTTTTTCGTGTATAAGACGCCCCCTTTCGGGGGGGGGGACTCCAAATAACGAAAATGCACTATCCATGTATAAGACGACCCCTAATTTTAAACTTCAAAAAATTTAGGAACAAATATAGTCTTCTACATGGAAAAATACGGTACATCCATCCAAACTTGTTTACACTGTTGAATTTATCTTAATGCTGCCAATGTTTTCAAGTGTACACAATTCGCCCCCCCCCCATATATTCAATAAACATTTTCCAGTCTTCTTTAAATGTATGTTCTTCTTGTTCTCTTATTCTGTATGCTAGGTCGGCAAGCTGCGCATATTCCATCAGTTTAAGTTGCCATTTTTCTTTAGTTGGGACCTTGCTCGTTTTCCATTTTTGGGCTAATGAAACACAGGCTGCAGTAGTGGCATACATAAACAACCTTTTTTGACACCTGGGAATAGGGAAACAACTTCTCTGCACTCGTTAGCATAGGTGTGTGTCCGCTGTCCAGAAAGAACTTATTGCATCCTGTTTTATGCCACTTGTGTTTTTTGCCCATTGTCTGTTTAATCCTGCAATATTGCTTTATACTACCAGTCACCAGTAACTGGGTGGTGCCTCAGTCCTCTGCATTGTATAAGCCCCCACTGTTTTCAGTATGGCTTCCCCCTAGCCAAGCGTTCATAGGCTTGCAGTCTAAATAGCAGTGGCCACATCCATGCTGAGTTAGATTTGTGTTGCTTTTACTATGTGGGTGGGGCGTCATCGAGAATTCTGAAAAAATGAGCTGCTGCTTCTTGTCTGGCCCTCCGTGCTTGCGCTGAGCAAGTCCCAACAAACACGTGAAGGCAAGTTTGAGGAGTCCCCATTCCTTAATGGTTCTGCTTCCTAGAATATGATTGTGGGTGGTTCCTGCACTACAATAGTAATTGTCTCCCACTTGGTGACGTGGTCTATGGAAGCTGCATATTCATGCTTTGACCTTCCGGCAGAAGCTGGGCTCTGTATGAAACCCCTGTTTAGCACTGCCAGCTGAGGATGTTGTTTTCCTGTTGCCTCATCTGAGCAATGTGGTTTAACCCTTGGCTGTTCCTGTGTCTTTCTGCTGCCTGAGGCTAGCACAGCTACACTCCTTAGAGCTTCTGTCCACCTCCTCTGTCTCTTTCTGAGGTTGGCCCCAGAGGAGAAAAGAGGTTTCTGTGTGTCTTGGAGCAGGAGCAGTCTGCCAATGCTGCAATCCCTGGGCATGAAGCAACTGCGCCTTGGGCTCTCGCTATTGTGAAACATGCCAGAAGGAGAACATGACCCTGCTCTTGCACCGGGAAGCTGGCTAAAGACACAGTGCGCGACTTCTGCTGGCTGGCCTGTTGATCAGGGAAGAGGAGCAAGAATGGACCATTCCTGAAAGCTCAGCTTTAATGCAAAATCTACTGGGGGGGAGGCAAGTTCTCCACAAGTTGTGGTCAGGGGAACTGCCTGAGGAGGTTCTCTTGTAGGCTGGCTGCCTTGTCGAATACCAGCATTTGTTGTTTGTTTGCCTCCACGTCACAGGACAGGTAAGTGCTTTGTGTGTGCGCGCACGCATGTGCGCATCATGTTCCCCCAGAGTGGGAGAGCAGGGTTCTTGTGTGACTGCTGAGGAAGGCACACTCGGTGACTATTGATCTCCAGATTCCTGTGGGTCAGTAGGCACATGTTGTTGGCTCCCACTGTGCAGCCCTCGCAAACTTGTCTTGTCTTTGTGGCTCTGTGCACTGTCTTATGTGGAGTCTTCTTCTTCTTTGGCGATCCCTCGTAGCCGAGTAAGAGTGTCTTCCATAAACACGGTTTTCACAGTGAGTCTATAAGTGACTGTGGAGGCCATTTCTGGATCCACATGTCCTGGATCCACATGTGGGGACATAGGTTTCCGGGCAGGAGTTGATCACGGTTTGGATTTTCCACGTGTGCCTTCCTCTTAGCACGTTTCTCCCTTGCATCCTGAGTTTGAGTGTCTTCAAAGCCCATGACACCTTTGGTAAAGGCTGTTCTCCAACTGGAGCACTCGCAGGCAAGTATTTCCCAATTGTTGGTATTTATACTACATGCTTTTTAGCTTTGCCTCGAGAGAGTCTTTAAACCTCTTTTGTTGACCACCAGCATTACGCTTTCCATTTTTAAGTTCGGAATAGAGTAGTTGCTTTGGAAGACGATATACGTATATAGGTGGCCGCTGGTGTTACCTGAGCATTCAGGTGCAAATGGCAAATCCGACCTTCATTGAGAAGGGCTTTAACACATTTGGAAGGGATTAGGTTTCATCTTGTTCATCTTTGTCTGGTCCAAACCTACCGCCAACTAGTTCAAAATTTCTCCTGCCTCTTGGAGTTCAGAAGTTGGAAGCAAGAGAGTGGGTGCCCAGTGTCAATCATACGCATCGTTTTGGGGGGGATGGGAGTCGCCTTTCCAGCCACATCTGGAGGTCTGTAGGGTCCCAGAATTGAAAGTAGACCGGGGCGGGAACACTGGCATTCCTGATACTGTGAGTTGCCACCCGACATCAGCCCCAGCCAGCATGGCCAATGGCTAGGGATGGTGGAGCTTCAAGCTCGCAGGTACTTCATCCTTGACGTAGGGATTGAAAAGCACAGGGCCTGAGATGAAATCTTCTGGCTCCCTCTAACCCAGCGGCTATGGAGCAGAGCAGCAGCCTTTTGGCATCAGCTTCTGGAATCTACACTCTGGGTACTTTCGGAGCACCAAGAGGTCCAGGAGTATCCTGCTTTTCGCGTATTATCGGCACATGGCCTGTTTTGTCATTGCATGTACTGGTTGTTGTTGTCAGATCTAATACAGGGATTTACCTTAAGCATTTTGAGTGACAAGTTTTTATTTATACTTTTCTTTTTCTTTTAATTTTTTAAATGAATTTTATTAGTATTTTCCACACAACAACAACAGCACAAAAGATATCAAAAAATAGCAATACACAACACAAAAAAAAAACCATTCGAAAACTAAAACAAAAAACAAAAAAAAACCAAATCCATGTCTTACAAGTTAATATTATAAACACTAAAACAACGACAACAAGACATTGACTTCCACCAATCTTTTCAATTTTATACAATTTCATTAGTTTTACAATCAATTTAACATTTCAAAGTTTGACTTCCTTTCCCCTCTTTCTGCAGTTCCTTAAATTAATTTTTTAAATATCTTCTGCATATCGAAATTCATTTAATTTGCTCATTTATTCATCTATTTTAAATATATACTCTTATAAAACTGCAGGTTGTTGCAATAATCCTGCCAATGTTCTTATCTGTTTACAATTTATCTGTAAATATTCAATAAACCATTTCTTTTACAAGAAGCTTGTTATCTTGATTTCTTATTGTTCCAGTAAGTTTCATCATTTCCACATATTGCCTAAGTTTCTGTATCCATTCTTCCTTTACTGGGACTTCTGCTTCTTTCCACTTTGGGGCAAGTAACATTCTTGCTGCTGTAGTAGTGTACTTAAATAAATTTCTGTACAATTTAGGTAGTTTTGTCCATAAAAATACCAAAAGAAAGACTTCTGGGTTTGTTTGTTTTTTAATAAAACTTATCCTTTTCAATTCATTGTATATCATTTCCAAGGAAATGGGAAATTGAGTGGCAAGGACTCTGGTCATGTTGCTAGTGTGAAAGGAATGAGATGCTGGTGACAATTGAAATTTTAAAAAATGTGAAATGGGGTTTCAGCTTTGAGAGGCCTCTCTTCCCAGTTCTTCCTCCTCAGTAGCCTCAGAATGGGAAGGAAGGGATCTGTCTTTCATAATAACATAATAATAATTTATTATTTATACCCCGCCCATCTGGCTGGGCTTCCCCAGCCACTCTGGGCAGCTTCCAACAAAATATTAAAATACAGTAATGCATCAAACATTAAAAGCTTCCCTAAACAGGACTGCCTTCAGATGTCTTTTTAAAGTCTGGTAGTTGTTGTTCTCTTTGACATCTGGTGGGAGGGCATTCCACAGGGCAGGTGCCACTACTGAGAAGGCCCTCTGCCTGGTTCCCTGTAACTTTTCTTCTTGCAGTGAGGGAACCGCCAGGAGGCCCTCGCCGGAAGGCACCTCAGTGCCCAGGCAGAACGATGGGGGTGGAGACACTCCTTCAGGTATACTGGACCGAGGCCATTTTCAGCTTTAAAGGTCAGCACCAACACTTTGAATTGTGCTCGGAAACGTACTGGGAGCCAATGTAGGTCTTTCAAGACCGGTGTTAGGTGGTCTCAGCGGCCGCTCCCAGTCACCAGTCAAGCTGCCGCATTCTGGATTAGTTGTAGTTTCTGAGTCACCTTCAAACGTAGCCTCACATAAAGCACATGCCAATAGTCCAAGTGGGAGATAACTAGAGCATGCACCACCCTGGTGAGACAGTCTGCGGGTAGAGTCTCAGCCTGCATACCAGATGGAGCTGGTAGACAGCTGCCCTGGACACAGAATTGACCTGTGCCTCCATGGACAGTTGTGAGTCCAAAAAGACTCCCAGGCTGCGCACCTGGTCCTTCAGGGGCACAGTTACCCCATTCAGGACCAGGGAGTCCTCCACACCCGCCCACCTCCTGTCCCCCAAAAACAGTACTTCCGTCTTGTCAGGATTCAACCTCAATCTGTTAGCAGCCATTCATCCTCCAACCGCCTCCAGACACTCTGACTTCCTTCACCTGCTGCCCACACTCCTCTCCTCTCCTGAGCGATGGACCTGATTCTCCTCAGGCCAGACCTTCCTTGCCTAAATAATGCCTGACAGGCAGTTCTCCCTCTGCCTCTCTTGCTTTGTTATTAATTTTGAGGCATCTGGAGCTCCCCTTTCCAGCTGCTGCATCCCTGTCATTTGGAGAGCTCCTCCTGCTCCCTCGAGTGCTGGCCCAGATAGCACTGCAAATGGTCCTGTGGCAAAGTTTGGCTTTTCTTTACTCACACACCTGCTGGCTGGTTTGAGGGCGGAGGATCCCAGGCAGTGGGTGATAATTAAATAAATGCGCCCCAAAGAATTTGGGAATTATGTCCCAACAGTGGAAGAATGGCGGAGTAAGATGGTGGAATACGTGGAGTTAGCAAAGCTGACGGAGAAGATCCAGAATCAGCGTGATGAATTGTTTCAAAAGGACTGGAGCAAATTCAAATTATATATGAAAGAACATTGTAAACATTTGAAAACGTTTGTAGCTTTGACTTGAAATGTTTTGTAATGAGAATATAAGGAACTGATTTACATTTAATGAGGGAAATTTAAAAATAAGAGAGAAGGTAAAAAAGTGGTTATAGAAATGCTAAGAATAAAGTAAATATGTACAGAAGTCAGAAAGAGGGGCGGGAGGAGGTTGATGCTTGGATAGAGCAATGTCTGAGTTTACTGAATTATGTATGGAAATTGTGATTATGATAAAATTGAAAATGGAATAAAAATTATTATTAAAAAAAAAAAAAGAATTTGGGAATTATGGAGAGAGAACTACCGAAATCGTACAGTAATACTTCTGCAAACATCCGCCTTGTCTAGCGTCCATTCCAGTGAACGTCCGCAGCAAACCCAGAAGTATCAGAACATGTTACTTCCAGGTTTGCCGCATGTGCAGAAGCGCTAAATTGCGCACGTGCGCAGACGCAGCACTTTGCCCTGCGTCCTTTTGGGCTAGCGGCCGGGGCTCCAGAATGGATCCCGGCTGCAAAACAAGGTACGACTGTATAGAAATTTATTTGTGTATGCTACTGCAGCCCAAAAGTGGAAATAAGCAGAAGTCCCAGCAAAGGAAGAATGGATATGAAAACTTGTGGAAAATGCAGAAATGGCGAAACTTACTGGAAGAATAAGAAATCAAGATAACAAACTTTTTGTAAAAGAATGGAAATGGTTTATTGAATATCTACAGATCAATTGCAAACAGATAAGAACATTGGCAGGATTAATGTAATAACCTGCAGTTTTATATGAGTACAGAGGTCTCGTAGTACAAGCAGACATTTTTCCACTTTGCAAATGCTTCTTGGTGCTATGTTGAACACAGCCCAATGTTCCATAAAGAACAAATATTTTTGTAAATGATATTTCAATACTTCTTTGGCAAGGCATGCTAGTAGATCACTCAGAGGTTCATCATGCTCCCTATGAAACCATTTTTCTCTTAACGTAGAAAAATGACTCATTTTTCTCTCGTCAAACTTTGGAGGTTGTGAAACCAATTTGTTTACATATGTGTCGCCCATCATGGCCCACAGGCTAGAGAGAATATTGGCAACCTAAAATCAAGCCATATCCTTCTCTTGAAAGATCCCAGCCTACAAGTTTGTAAAATAATGTCTTGGATGAATGAGGGTGTACAAAGGCTGGTGTCACCTGTCCTTTTGGGGCCCTGAGTTCAAGTGAAGCCAGCAGTAGCAATGTGTTGAACACTTGCCCTGTCCTGAGCATCAGGACCCTGATATGACCTGCTCTGACAGGCTCTTACTCCCTGGAAAACCATAGCGGTATCTGCCGTGGAACCACCACTATTGACAGGCCCACCTCGATTCCTCTCCCACTGACCGTACAATACTTCAAGCCCAGTTACATGAAAAACACACGTTCTATATTGTCCTGGGTGCTATATATAATTTCTCTCTTGTATGCAGGGTCCTTAATGCACTGGGCCTGGAAGCAGCATCGATAGCCGTCATGGGGCAGAGTGAATCAGAGCCACAGGAGGAGCAAGAGGTAACGCCAAAAAACGAGAGACATTGCACACACTTTTGTAAATCAAGAAAATCTTTTATAATAATAAAAAGAATGGGCTAGAGCTGTTCTGCTTTCCCACCTGAAATTTGCCCATCCATCCTTTTTGCAGCTTTCCTTTATCCCTGTTAAGTTTCTGTTGCTGTACAGGGAAACAGCTTTGCTTCTAGACGGAGACGTTATTTTTGCTTGTTGGTTGGCTCTGTTCTTTTGAAGGCCTTGGGAATCAATGGGATCCTAGTTAATGAATGAATGAATGAATGAATGGGACATGGGTGGCGCTGTGGGTTAAACCACAGAGCCTAGGGCTTGCTGATCAGAAGGTCGGCGGTTCAAATCCCCGCGACGGCATGAGCTCCTGTTGCTCGGTCCTTGCTCCTGCCAACCTAGCAGTTCGAAAGCACATCAAGTGCAAGTAGATAAATAGGTACCGCTCCAGTGGGAATGTAAACAGCGTTTCTGTACACTGCTCTGGTTCGCCAGAAACGGCTTAGTCATGCTGGCCACATGACCTGGAAGCTGTACACTGGCTCCCTCGGCCAATAAAGCGAGATGAGCGCCACAACCCCAGAGTCGTCCGCAACTGGACCTAACCGTCAGGGGTCCCTTTACCTTTTAGTTGCTGTCAAAGGAACATTTCTTGTGTGAGCTGAATGGAAACTTAGGCATGACTGCTTGAAACATAATCTTTTTTATATAGTAATTTTTATTAGTTTTCAATTACAGTCCACTAATAGCCTCATTATAACAATGCCAAATTATAATACAATTACTAATACCAGTCATTCAAATACCAAATTATATAATTTAGATGGCTCCCCACGTGCTAGAATTGATGGTGTGATGATTTTCTTTATTTCTGCGTTCCAAAATCTTATTAATTTCAGTTACATTCCAGTCAAAATAATAATTCCATATACAGCAACTGCAATATTGATAACATATTTGTGTTCACACATTAAATGATTTATGAAGCTACAAGTGAGGCACTCAAACTATATCCTTGAAACACCCGCCACAACCTGGCCTATACCCGCTGCCCCAGGAAGCCCTCTAACCTCTTTCCCCCTCCTCTGCGCTGGAGTCCTCCATCCTTGATCCTGCCCTTCAGTGTCTGCTATGTTCTCTCCCACTGCAGGATGCAACCCTGACCGCTGTACTTTCCAACGTCAAGCTCTTTGTGGCAGATCAGCTGCAGGCCAGCATGGTGAGTAGAAAGGGGACAGAGACCACTTTTGGGGGGTCTGCCTCAGGGAGGTATACGATGGGTGCTGCCACCTGTGGCACACCTGTACAAAACCGCCTCCTAGCAGAGACACCAGGAAAGCTAGGTCTGTGTTTCCTGCTGCCAGGGACAGACACCTCTTTGCATGGGTGTCAAACTAAGTGGGGAGGGACACACACTGCTAGAGGATGGGTTGTGTAATTCTGAGGAAAGGGATCTGTTTCTTCAGTCCTTCGGAAAGCAGATTCTGGGCTTCACCTCCCCACCTTATAAGGTAGATGTGGGAACTGTCACCATATTTGCTCTTGCACGATAAAAGCAAAGTGCCATGCCTTTGTTTGCTTGTTTTATCTTGCTTCTCTGAGCAAGTTGGTGACCCAACCATTAACGCCTAATCGAAGTCCAATATAAAAGCAGCCAATAAAAATACCGTAATCTCAGAGTAAGCCACTTGAAGCACCTCAGAAAACAGCCCTGGAATAAGCCAGATTTATTTATTTATTGAAATATTTTTTATTTGATTTTACACATATAAAATTATAGCAATACAACCATACACATCAAGGGTTGAGAGATTCCTCTGAATCTCTGGACTTCCCACCTTCCCCCTCCATGGGTCCCATTATCAAACCTTCTCTACTGCATCTTTTTCAATAGTCCATGTTCCTAAAACTCCACTGTCTCCATAGTTCTTACTACATTACAAGTGTTATTGCAACCCTGCTAGTGTTTTCATCTGCTTACAATGGTCTCCAAGATAAGGAATAAGCCAGATTTAAACACACTTCAATCAGTAACATCTATCGCTGAGAATTCAAAGCCTGTCAAAGCAGTAGAGTCTTGGGTATCTTTCTGTAAGCAGGAAGAGAAGAAGATCTCTGAATGGGCGTCCCACAGTGTTGGCTTGCTAAACACACAGCAGCTAGATTCTGGGTACCGAGACAGGCGCCAGAGGCTTGTTTCGTTGCATTTACCAGTAGCGTCAAGGAAACAGACTTGGCTCATTGGAGGCTAAAATTATGCCCATTTAGTCACAAAATTATTATCCTGCTATTGCATTTTAAAGGCAGTGAAGTGGTTTGGACTGGTGAACTTCGCGGTCCATGTGGCTTCCTAAGGCCAGTCGCATTCTGGCTCTCCAGGGCAGGTGGATGTTAAAAGCAATTATCGCACACACCCAAACCCACTTTATCTGTAAATTCCAGTGATGGGCAAACCCCTGGGGCAACACCCACTACAGATAATTGACAGCTGCCTGTTCAAGGTTGGAATCTTCTATGCATCGACCCAGAACAGCAGAGCCCTGAGTGACTCCCACAGTAAAGTGAATCAATGGCCGGGCACAGAATGCCAGCCTGCCACTTTTCCAGCAGGCCATAACCCACACGCCAACTGGGCGCTAACCCTTCCCCACAGGTGCTGGGTGTCATGATAGGAGTCGGGCTCTCCGTGCTGCTTGTTGCCGCCTTGATCCTGGTGCTGATCCGCCGGTTCCGCCTTCAGAGTAAGTTCCTATGGGGCTGTGGGAAGTGGGCGCGCCGTGCCAGTGGGCAGCTTTTTTGCCAAGGTGGGGCCGGGCCGGGCCTGCTGACCTGACCTGATCTTTGGTCTCCTCCTTCCTCCCTTCCCTGCAGAGGTCCAGGCCCAGGAACAACCCAAATATCGGTTTCGCAAGCGGGACAAAGTGTTGTTCTACGGGAGGAAGATAATGCGCAAGGTAATTGGAGGAAAGGGAGAGGACCCACAGTGTGTGTGTGTGTGTGTGTGTGTGTGTGTGTGTGTGTGTGTTTGGCATGGAATGGTTGTGCTGGAGTGGTAGAATGACTTCTTTGAGATGAATTGGTTGACTTGGGAATGGGGAATTATGCGGCGTCCCAGCGAATGGCTTCTCTGCATCCCAAAGCTCACTTGAGCCTCCTGTTGTCTGGGTCAGTCACCGTGACCCTTCTGCTATTGCTTATAATTTTTATTACATTTTCTGTTTTCCAATTTAAAGTACAGTCGTACCTTGGATCCTGAACGCCTTGCGAGTCAAACGTTTTGGCTCTCAAACGCCACAAATCTGGAAGAGAGTGTTCCGGTTTGCGAACGTTCTCTGGAACCCAAACGTCCAACGGGGCTTCCGATTGGCTGCAGGAAGCTCCTGCAGCCAATCGGAAGCTGTGCCTTGGTTTCCAAATGTTTTGGAAGTCGAATGGACTTCAGGAACGGATTCCGTTTGACTTCCGAGCTATGACTGTACTCATTTTTACATCCTTAAAATATCAGTGACTTCCTTTCTTCTCTTTCCATGGTTCATTTTACATATCATAAATTCCTGCATATTTTACAGAAACGATACAATTCATTATTCCATTATTACATCCATCATAGCTTATTTACACTGCTGAATTTATCTTAACGCTGTCAGCGTTTTCAAATGTACACAGTTATTTCCCATCTATTCAATAAACGTTTTCCAGTCTTCTCTAAACACCTGTTCTTTTTGTTTTCTTATTCTATATGTTAAGTCTGCAAGCTGCGCATACTCTGTCAACTTAAGCTGCCACTCTTCTTTGGTTGGGACCTCGCTCATTTTCCATTTTGGGGCTAACAAAACTCGTGCCACAGTAGTGGCATACATAAGTCACCCTTTTTGACACCTGGGAATTTCAGTCTGCTTATTCAGGAAAATATCTTGGACAGTCAAGGCTTTGGCAGGTGTGGGAGCAGGGACTGTTGAGGGTGTTTGTGTGGCTGGGCCAGGATCAGTCCCTTCCTGTTGATATTTGTCATGTGGTTCCCAAGGGGAGAAGCTGATATGTAAAGCATGGCTCTTGGGAGGGTAACCTGAAGCCTTTGTTGAGGTGCCTTGATCCTGGCTAGTAAATGTGCGTAACAAAAGACCAGCAGCAGGTATATAGGGCTGGGTGGCTGCAGGGTTCCTCCTTCCACTTACCACATTTCCTTTCTTGCTAGGTTTCTCAATCCACGTCCTCTCTTGTCGACACCACCATGTCTGCTTCCCGACCGCGCATGAAGAAAAAGCTCAAGATGTTGAACATTGCCAAAAAGTGAGTCAGTCAGCTAGAGCAGAAAGCATGCACATGTCAGGGAAACGAAGGGCCATATTTGGGCAAAGTCTAGCTCAGGCATAGGCAAACTTGGCCCTCCAGGTGTTTTGGGACTACAATTCCCATCATCCCTGGCCACTGGTCCTGCTGGCTAGGGAATCGGGGAGTTGTAGGCCAAAAACATCCGGAGGGCCAAGTTTGCCTATTCCTCGCCTAGCTGCTGCATTCTGGATTACTTGTAGTTTCTGGGTCACCTTCAAAGGTAGCCCCACGTAGAGCGCATTGCAGTAGTCCAAGCGGGAGATACAGTATTAGTTGCTTATTTGCTTGGGGAATAAAGTCATACCTTGGGTTACAGACGCTTCAGGTTGTGTGTTTTCGGGTTGCGCACCACGCCGAACCCGGAAGTACCGGAACGGGTTACTTCCGGATTTTGGTGCATGTGCAGAAGTGCTAAATCGCGACCCGCGCGTGCACAGATGTGGCACTGCGGGTTGCGAACACTGCGGGCCATGCAAATGTGCCTCCTGCATGGATCACATTCGCAACCCGAGCATCCACTGTAGAGGGAAGGAGGGAGTCTCTGTCTTTATTTGCAAGAACAAGAAGCTGGTTGGTTGGTTGGTTGGTTGGTTGGCTTCCTTCCATCCCTCTGAGGAACCTCTGCCTTTTCCTCCCTCCGCACAGGATCCTGCGTATCAAGAAGGAGCTGCCCACCCTTCAGCTGAAGGAGCCGCCCCCCTCCGTCCTGGAGGCCGATCTCACAGAGTTTGACGTGGCCAACTCTCACCTGCCCTCCGAAGTGCTCTACATGCTGAAGAATGTGCGGTACGCGCCGGGGTTTCAGGTTGTGACCTGGATAGGAGGTCAAGGGGGAAGCCGCAGGAAGTACCTGGGCAGCTGGCACTGCCATTGAACAGAGCGTGCCTCTGCTTTGCCACAGAGTCAGGATCCTGTTGCCAGGCCACAACCCTTCACCAGAATGTAGGAAGCCAGATGATGATACAGTTAACAAAATTATTAAGAATATGATGGCGGTGGGGAAGCTGATGCTTTTGCATGCATGCTTCAAGCGGGAGAGAGGCTGTTTTTCAGCTTTTGCCAAAACGCTTCCAAATTTGAGGCTGCTGAACAGGCAACTTGGTGCCCTCCTCATATTGTGGACAACTCCCATCAGCCTCAGCCAGCAAGGGATTATGGGAGTTGTAGTCCGAAACATCTGGAGGCCACCATCTTGGCTACCCCTGAAGTAACAGCTACATCTCCAGCTTTCAAGTTTCCCTGCATTGTTTTCCTTGGCGTAGATTTGAGCAGTGTCGGTTCCACACAACATTTGGGGCGGCCGTTTACTAGCTTCTGCCATTCTTCTTCTTGCTGCTTCTGCTACTCTCAAGAGAATCCAACGAACTGCTTTTTAGAACAGTACACAGAAATGCCTGTCGGGGAAGGGAGGGAATTCAAGCAAATTGGATTGCTGTGCGTGGGGAATAACAAGAATTAATGTTCCTAACAAGTGGCCTTTGTGCACATTCACCACACCTCATAGAGGATGTGCATATAGCTTCACCGTGAAGAGGAAATTGTGCCTGGGGAACAGGTTGCTAAATCCTCTCCCCAGCTCCTTGGCTTTGCTGCTGCTGCTGCTGCTGCTACTGCTGCTAACCTTTTTTAAAAAAAAATTAATTATTATTTTTTCAATGCAAAATTACAACAAAAAATTCAAACATTGAATCCAAAATAAAGCAGTACAAGCAAGCAAAACAAAAAACAAAAAACCCCCCCACATCTACAAATAAAACCATATCATCATTCTAATCGTTACGTACGTATATACATATTGACTTCCTTCCTTTGTTCTATGACCTCGAAATTTTTACTCTTTCTAAATTGTGTCTAATTTAGATTACCTCTATCTTTATACTTTTTGCACCATTTATCTCTTTCTTTAACTCTGCAAAGCTTCATTCATTATATACCGATATACTTACTCCAGAACAATGTTTTTTCATATACTCTTTAGCACATCCCCATTCTTTTAATAATTTTTGGTCCGATTGTCCCCTTATGAATGCTGTGAGTCTTGCCAGATGTATATACTCACAAAATTTAATTTGCCATTCTTTCATTGATGGAATTTTATTCCCTTTCCAATTTTTTGCTATGAGCATCCTAGCAGCTGTTGTCACATAGAGGAATACTTTCCTTTGATTGTCAGGAATATCGTTTGTGATTATACCTAAAAGGAATGCCTTGCTGCTGCTATCCTTATGGGTTTTGCAGCCAGCCCAGAGCAAATAGCCAACATTGTTATTATTATTAGTAGTAGTATATTACCCTATACCTGCAGATCTCAAGATGGTTCTTAACGCAAAATCACAGTATAAAAACACAAAATATGTAATAAAAACAAAAACAACCCAATAATTCCCTATGCCCACAACAAATTTTAAAAGGGCATTGGATGTCAAATCAGCTGGGGGCCTAGTTGAAGAGGAATGTTTTCGCCTAATGTCTAAAGGTGTATAATGAAGGCGCCAGGCGAACTTCCCTGGGGAGAGCATTCCACAGACAGGGAGCCACTACAAAAAAGGCCCGTTCTTGTGTTGCCACCCTTTGGACCTCTCGTGAAGGAGGCGCACGATGAAGGGCCTCAGAAGTTGATCTCAGGGTCCCGGTAGGTTCATATGGAAAGAGGTGGTCCTTGAGGTATTGTGACCCTGAGCCATTTAAGGCTTTATAGGTCAAAACCGGCACTTTGAACTGGGCCCGGAAACTAATCGGTGGCCAGGGCAGTCAGACTGGGATCGGTGTAATATGCTCAAACCGTCTTTCTCCGATGAGCAACTGAATCCTGATGGTTTCTGAACTAGCTGGTGTTTCTGAACCCTCTTCCGGGGCATGGCATGGTGCAAGGAGAGTGTTGTGATGATGGTGCCCTCTTCCTTCCTCGCAGGGTGCTGGGCCACTTTGAGAAGCCTTTGTTCCTGGAGCTGTGCAAGCACATGACCTTCCATCAGTGCCAGCAAGGCGAGTACGTTTTTCGCCCGGGTCAGCCTGACACCAGCATCTACGTGGTCCAAGACGGAAAGCTGGAGCTCTTCCTGTCTGAGCAGGTGAGGGCAGCAGGGAGCTCAGTCGGGCAACATCAGGAAACTCCATGGGGACGATTCCATAGCCATGCATGGCTATGTGGCTCAGAGGGCAAGAGCTGGGCATGGCCTGGCGTTCGTCACGGCAGGGAACGAACAGAGCTGCACAAGACACATTGGCACAGTTGCATGCAGCTCTTGTTCGTTTCAGTGGGGCTTGTGCGGGAGACCTTGATTGTGGTTCCTGCAAAGGGTGACGCAGGGAGGGGTCCCCTGGTTGGCTCGGAGGACGGCTAGCCAATTGCAAATCTCTTTGGTTGAAGAAGACAGAGTCCCTACCAGAAAAGAATGGCAGATTAAGTTGATGGAAAATGCCGAATGGGCAAAAATCGGGGAGACCAACATTTCCATAAGGAATGGGGAACATTTATAATTTATCTTAAAAACCATTGTAAACAGTTAAAATTGTTAGCGTGACTAGAATAACACTTGTACAGTCATACCTCGGAAGTCGAACGGAATCCGTTCGACTTCCGAAATGTTCGGAAAGCAAGCTGCGGCTTCCGTTTGCTTTCCAATTGCGCAGGCACACCGGAAACAATAGCGGAAGCTGCACTGGACAGTCGGCTTCCCCCAAATCATCTGAAAACCAGAACACTCATTTCTGGTTTTTTGAACATTTGGGAGCCGGCATGTGACTCCCAAGACATTTGGGAGCCGAGGTTACGACTGTAGTTTAATGTTGAATTTTGGACAGAATGGAGATGTAAAAGATTTGGATTATTATAAGAGATGCAGGAGGAAATGATTAACAATAGGACCCACAGAGGGGAGGAGGGAAGTCCAGGAGATTCCTTGGAGTCTTGTTATATATGGATATGTGATTGTAAAACTTTGATTTGAAAACCAAATAAACAATTGTTAAAAAAAAAAAAATCTCTTTGTTTGATTCAGGATGGGAAAGAGACCCTTGTGAAGGAGGTCTTTCCGGGCGACAGCGTGCACAGCCTCCTCAGCATCCTGGACGTCATCACGGTAGGATCCTTGTCCACCGCAGCCTGTTAGAATCCTAGATACGGAAGGGGCCTGCAAAGCCATCTAGTCTGACCCCTTTCTCCACGCAGCGTCTGCAATGCAGGATGCAACCACAGCATCCTAAGCCTCCAGGGGAGGAGACCCCATCCCTTGCTGAGGCAAAGCTGTTCCCCTGTCAGACAACTCTTGCGGTTACGAAGTTTCGCCTCGCCGTCAGCCTAAATCTGCTTCCTTGCCATTTCCACCATGTGGCTCCAGGCTCCACATTCTTCTAGTTGTGGGCTCCAGCCTCATTCTTCCTTCTCCCACCCATTCCGCTCCCTCCCCTGGCTTGCCCCACGGGATGAGCTAAAGGTGGGAACCGATCTCGAGGCTAGCAGCGGCCGAGGCACCATGATCTCTTCTGTGTAGTGGAATTGGTGGAGCAGAAGGATCCAGATCCGTTTAAGTCCAGGGGGGCTGACCCATGGTGCTGCAGCTATTGCTAGTCTCCACCTACCATCATCCATGACCATTGGCCGTGCTGGCTAGGGTTGGGGTTGGAGTCCAACAACGCCCGGTGGGGCCCCACATGTTCCTCTTTCCCCCACCACTTCCCCGTTTTAAGCAGCTGCCTTCTGACAAAAAAGGCACGGTTGTCTAGGAGGATGGGCCCTTTGGAGTGGCGGCTGTGGGTCGAATCAGGGGCAGCCTCCTGTTGTTCTAAGATTGGTTTCCCAACAGGGTCACCAACGCCCGTACCGGACAGTCTCTGCACGGGTAGCTGAGGACTCCACAGTCCTGCGTCTGCCAGTGGAGGCCTTCTCGGCTGTCTTTGAGAAGTACCCTGAGAGCCTGGTCCGGGTGGTGCAGGTGAGTGCCCTGCCCATTGCTTCACTGTCTCCAGAGTGGTTTCTCTTTCTCTGCCTCCCGTCCTTTTCCCCCCTTTCCCTTTCTCTTTCCCCCCCATGCATTTGGCCTGGCATATATGCACAACGGTTGACCTCCAGATCAAGTTGTTGAGTATATTTCACATACTTGCCATGGGTGGTGGTTGAGCAGGGGTTTCCAGGATGTTTGTGTGTCTTTGTGTAAGTCATTGACTCTTGCCATGATTGGCAGAAGCAGGCCACGAGATGGTGATGATGATGATGATGATAAAAATGGATGGAAAAAGAGGGCTCATCCCCCACTTGTCACAATCTTCAGAACACCACATCTCTGAAAGTGTTCAGCCAAGGCATGCCCAAGAACTTAACAGCTGCTGGAGGCTTTTATCCTTTTTGGGGGGGGGGCGTTCATCTTCTGGGCATCCAAATGCCATTTGGATTTAGCCAATCCAAGGCAGAATTGTGGGGCTCAGTCTTTTTGATAACCCAAGCAGCTTCCAAGTCCTTGAAAGATGCGGTGGTGGAGAAGAGAGGTTTCTGAAACCTCCTCGCCAGTCCCTGCTATAGAGAACCCCACAAGCTTTGATCGGACTGAAGTGACCCTCGGACTGAGAGAATTGAAAAGGGAATTGAAAAGCCCCCCTTGCAAGGAAATTGTACAAGTGACCTGCCCTTCTGCCTCTTTCCCTTTCAGATCATCATGGTGCGCCTTCAGAGAGTCACCTTCTTGGCTTTGCACAACTACCTTGGCCTGACCAATGAGCTTTTCAGCCACGTGAGTTCCTGTCCTACCCCATTCCACCTTCTCTCCCTCACCCTTGTCCGGCTGGAATCTGCTTTCAGAGTGGGAAGCAACCGTACCTGGCTCCTGAGCATGTGCAGAACGCATCCCACCTTTCCTCCGCTGTGTTGGGGGTTAGGGCTTCTAAGCTAAGCAAAAGGCTTTGGCGGGCAGCATCTCTCCTCCACTACCACCCCCTTCCCCCCCCTGCTTATGTGATAATAATAATAATAATAATTTATTATTTGTACCCCACCCATCTGTCTGGGTCTCCCCAGCCACTCTGGGCGGCTTCCAACGAAGATTAAAAATACATTAAAATGGCACACATTAAAAACTTCCCAGAACAGGGCTGCCTTCAGATGTCTTCTAAATGTCAGGTAGTTGTTTATTTCCTTGGCATCTGATATTATTATCATATTATTTTTATACCCTGTCCATCTGGCTGGGTTTCCCCAGCCACTCTGGGCGGCTTCCAACAGAACGCTAAAATACAATAACCTATTAAACATTAAAAACTTCCCTAAACAGGACTGCCTTCAGATGTCTTCTAAAAGTCATATAGTTGTTTATTTCCTTGACATCTGATGGGAGGGCGTTCCAAAGGGAGGGGCCACTACCGAGAAGGCCCTCTGCCTGGTTCCCTGTAGCTTTGCTTCTCACAATGAGGGAACCGCCAGAAGGCCCTCGGCGCTGGATCTCAGTGTCCGGGCAGAACGATGGGGGTGGAGACGCTCCTTCAGATATACTAGACTGAGGCCGTTTAGGGCTTTAAAGGTCAACACCAACACTTTGAATTTTGCTTGGAAACGTACTCGGACAAACATGACTGTGTTCTCCATCCCCAGGAGATGCAACCACTCCGGCTATTCCCCCAGTCGGGCCACACCTCTCGTACCAGCCCCGTCCGACACAGCAAGCGTGTCATTAGCGCCTCCTCCATCGAGGATGCCAAGGATAGCTCTGGAAGGCAGGGGGAAGCTTCCTCCAGGGACCAAGGTAAGGGAATTTGACCCGCGTGCATCTGACTTAATCCATGGGGAGGCAGTGGTTGGGTCCTCTGTTTCCAGAGAGCCTGGTGCTCTGCAGGCCCCGGCTGCTAAACATTTAGCTCATCCCCAGCTTGACCTTCAACTTCCCCAACGCAGATAAGGCGAGGGAGGTAAAAACAAAGGATGCCGCCTCAGACGTGGATTTAGCTGTCCGTTCCGGGGGGAGGAAATAAGGGCTGTTCTTGGAATCAAAACTGGAGCTCAGGGGAGACAAGTATGGGTTGTCAGTTTTCTGAGCAGCGTGAGCCTGCCCTCTTGTCTACCGTGCCCCAGACAGCTGCATTTGACTCCTTCCGAGCTCGCAGAAATTTAAGCCGCTTCTCTTGGGTGCGCCAATTTTTGGGGCAGCAAAGAAGCTTGGCTTCTGCCTCCAGTGGCTTCCCCTCACTATGGCACCACAGGAGCTGGGAGGGAGGCTGTGATGCTACTGACGGCCTCTGCAGGTCTCTGTCTGAGTTACATAGCAGCCAGGAGAGCAGCACCCCACATTGTCTCGGCTGATTCTCCCCTCTTCGCTGTCCTTCCTCCTTTCCCTGCATACTCTTGGCCTTGACAGGTGGACGTATCTGTCAAGGCTGGAGCCAGATGCAGGTCAGCGCTAAAAGAAGCAGATCTCCGTTTTCAGTGAACTCTTTTCTCAAGGAAACGAACATACACTCAGCCTAGTGGTCTCAGCAACACTTCCCAGTAGGTCTTGCCCCTATGGAGCAGTTGCCAGGACTGAAGGTCCCCACATTCTGCCAGCCTTAAGGCTCCTCCTCTTCTGGGTGCTTCCCAAGCAGTCTCAAAATGCTTCTGCGCACCTCTGGCCTCTCCTCCGTTGCCATCATTATCCTGCGCATTCTTGGAGACCAGTGGGGAGGGGAGCTTGTCGCAGCAGGAGAGGGGAGACTCCCTGGGGTCTTCACTAGCCTCTTGACTGTCCTCCTCTGCTTCCGCCTCAAAGTCTGAAATGCTCTCTGTCACAGTTTCTTCCTGCTCACTAAAGCCTATTGCCCCTTCGGCTTCTAACAACACCTCCCACCAAACTTCTCCTTCTGACCTCTTCTCGGTGTACTGCCACCAATCCGCTGGCTCTGAGGCTTCCTCCTCTGGGTGTTCCCTTCATCCAGCCAGTCCCTGACAGTATCTGGATGGTTATCCCTGGGCAGAAATGTCCCCAGGAATGATTTTGTGGCACATGTGAGTTTGGGGGGTCTGGGTGTCCCTCTCATGGATGTGAGCATCCCACTTGGTCTACTGCAATGTGCTCTATGTGGGGCTACCTTTGAAGGTGACCCGGAAACTACAGTTAATCCAGAATGCTGTAGCTAGACTGGTGACTGGGAGTGGCCACCAAGACCATACAAAACCGGTCCTGAAAGACCTACATTGGCTCTCAGTACGTTTCCGAGCACAAATCAAAGTGTTGGTGCTGACCTTCAAAGCCCTAAATGGCCTCGGCCCAGTATACCTGAAGGATATCCCCATCGTTCAGCCCGGACACAGATGTCCAGCTCTGAGGGCCTTCTGGCGGTTCCCTCACAGCAAGAAATGTACAGTGAACCAGGCAGAGGGCCTTCTCAGTAATGCTGCCCACCCTGTGGAACGCCCTCCTATCAGATGTCAAGGAAATAAACAACTACCTGACTTAGGAAACATCTGAAGGCAGCCCTGTTTAGGGAAGTTTTTAATGTTTGAAGTTTTATTCTGTTTTTAATGTTCTGTTGGGAGCCACCCAGAGGGGCTGGGGAAACCCAGCCAGATGGGCGGGGTATAAATAAAGATATTATTATTATTATTATTATTATTATCATTATTATTATTAACATGAGGTGCCCACGTGTCTCCTGGGCCTGGTGAGTGAGTGATAGTCTTTTATACTTCCAGGTGACCCGTTGAAAGCAGGTCTGCTGGAACCTCCCGCTGCCCCGCTGCTGAGTCGCTGCATCTCCATGCCAGTTGATATCTCAGGTATGTGTCTCTCTCTGCCTTGACCACCTTCTGCCTTCCTGTGGAGATGCAGCATCCGCGGGCCTTGGGCTCAGTCGGCTCCATTTCTCTGGTGTTCTTTCCTCACCCAGGGATCCAGAGGGGCCCCCGCTCAGACTTTGACATGGCCTACGAACGAGGCCGCATCTCAGTGTCCCTTCAGGAAGACAGCTCCGTCTCACTGGCTGGCTTCGCCCGGGTGAGTCTCTAGCGATTGGGATGCTCTGCTGGTGCCTGTGGGATGCTGCTGCTGCCCTAGAGCGAGGGAGGGAATAATAATAATAATTTATTTATACGTACAGACAGACATACATACCCCACCCATCTGGCTAGGTTTCCCCAAGATGGAGCCTGTCAGGTGGTGATGTGTGGTTGTAGTCTCTCAGTCAGATGACTTCAGGTGAGAGAGAATTAGAGCTACCCTGCTTTTGTAGAAACTCTTACATTGTTTCGTTTTTCTTATTGATTCAATAGCAACAACCAAAGTGCAAGCATATAACCAAAAGAAGCAAAGAATCAGAAATTTAAACCAGAAAGCGTCAGAGCCTAGAAGGGCAAAAGGAGAAATCAGGAAGACCAAATTTTTAACAAGGAATGGAGAAAAAATTATCTTAAAAGCCATTGTAAACAGCTAAAATCATTCGTAGGATTGGAATAACACTTGTAGTTTATTTTTGGGTATAATGGAGGTGTAAAAGATTTGGATTATTCTAAAAGATGCAGGAGGAAATGGTTAATGAAAGGACCCACAGAGGGGAGGAGGGAAGTTCAGGAGAATCTTTGTAATCTTGTTTTTATGTTGGTTGTTGGATAATTGATTGTAAAACTTTAAATTGAAAAAGTAAAAAACAAAACAAAACCAAGGTTCCAGTGTATTTATACAGTATATAAAAAAAGGGGTTGTGCCTGGTGGAGATGGTGGGGTTCTTTCCTTTCCCTCTCGCGGGAGCCTTCCTCTCCGGTAGCTTCTTGCCCCCTCCGCCCCCTACCTGACCTTACCTTGTCACCATCCTTGGCAGTCGACATCCCATGAGCCCCGGGAGCGGAAGTCTGTGACGGTGGAGGAACAGCCGTCTGGGATCTACCACTACAACTACTGCGAGGACGACTCTGCAACGGGCGACTGTCCCTTCGGCCCCTACCAAGGATGCCAGACGAGCGCCATCTTTGAGGCTGCCAAGCGGGAGCTGGTCAAGCTCATGAAGATTGAGGTAGATGCCGTCTGGGATCCCTTGCTTCTCATTCTGCATGGGAATTGGTTCTTTTTCAAGGCCACATAATTTTTTATTAGTTTTCAATTACAATACATACCTCTGGTTATGAACTTAATTCGTTCCGGAGGTCCATTCTTAACCTGAAACCGTTCTTAACCTGAGGTACGACTTGAGCTAATGGGGCCTGCTGCGCCGCTGCCACGCAATTTCTGTTCTCATCCTGAGGTAAAGTTCTTAACCTGAGGTACTACTTCTGGGTTAGCAGCGTCTGTAACCCTAAATGTAACCCGAGGGGTTTGTAATCCAAGGTACCACTGTAAACCAATAATAGCCTCATTTTAACAATTCTAAATTATAATACAGTTCCTAATACCAATCATTCAGATGCCAAATTATATCATTTAGCCCTCCCAGCATGCTAGAATTGATGGTTGGATGATTTACTTTATTTCTGCGTTCCAAAATCTTATTAATTTCAATTAAACTCTGGTCAAAATGTCAATCCCTTATACAACAACTGCAGTATTAACGACTTCCATTCGTACTGACACATTAAATCAGGGGTCAGCAAATTTTTCAGCAGGGGGCCGGTCCACTGCCCCTCAGACCAAAATATAGACCAAACTATATTTTGGGGAAAAAATAATGAATGAATTCCTATGCCCCACAAATAACCCAGATATGCATTTTAAATAAAAGCACACATTCTACTCATGTAAAAACACCAGGCAGGCCCCACAAATAACCTAGAGATGCGTTTTAAATAAAAGGACACGTTCTAGTCATGTAAAAACACGCTGATTCCTGGACCGTCCATGGGCTGGATTGAGAAGGTGATTGGGCTGGATCTGGCCCCCGGGCCTTAGTTTGCCTACCCATGCATTAAATGATTTATAAAACTGCAGGTGAGGCACTCAAACTGTATCCTTGTTCTTCCTGTGTGTGGCTATTATTCTGTCCGTGATGTATCTTCCTGTCCTTGTAAAATATTATGTCTATCTTTTCCCGGTTGTTGCTGTTCTCCATCACGCCTTGGGCAGAGCTAATATCCCATTGTTTCAGAAATTCTCGATTGCTCTGTTTTCAAGGCTACATAAGAGGCTTCTGATCATCAGTAGCTAGTTTTGTCCCGTCACGCCCCTGATTTCCAGTTGCTGGGGATCACAAGTAGTGAGCTTTCTCTACTTGTTTGTGCAGAGGCTTTATAATATATATTTCATATATATTTCAGTGTTCATAGACGGAGGTTTTTTTTGGGGGGAATGCAGCAAGGCGTTATACAACATGCAAAATTACATTAAAAGGAATTTTAAAAAATCAATTTTAAAAACTGGTTAGGAAAAAGAACTTAAGCTTTCAAAGGCTATGCGTCTTTCCATCAATCAGTTGTTAATCCCACACTGTGTTCTTCCTACCTGTAAGAAGTTGGTTGTGGATTTGTTGGCGGCAGGGCCCATTATTTAATCCTCCTTAATTGCGGAAACCTAAATTTCTGACATGCGGTTGAATCACTCCCACAAAATACCGACAGTCTGGAGTCACTCAAGAACTTCAGTTGCAAAACTCATAAAAGCGCTCTTGCGAAACTCGTAAAAGAATAATTACGTTCTGATCTACACATTAGTCTGGGAGGTGCCAATCAGGTCAATTTGCATTGAAATTAACAGAAATTAAATGCCCTGTAAATTACGTAAACAATTGGGGTCAGGGCTTACATCCAACTGCTTTAAGGTTCAGAGCCTCTTGAGGCCTGGAAAGGAGGTGAGTTTTGGTGCCTTGAGACAACTGCAGTTCCCATGGTCTTTGAGGCGAGCCATGATAGCTAGACCGGTTCCGTATTAGTTTCATTTCTTGGGTTGATGTTTCTTTTACTATGCTTGGGTTGAGAGCCAGTGCAATGTTCACCTGTCACGATCAGGCAAGGGAATTTTCAAGAGTGCTGATTTCCTCACCTGGCCCAGCAAGTTGTTTCCCTTCTGGGAGCTCAGCTCCCCCACATCTGCCACTGCAGGAGCTGGGCTCTTCATGGGCTTTGACATGCTGAGGACTTGGCTTCTTTGCTGCAGGATCAGTCGCTGGCCTGGCTCCTTTTGCTCCGGGTGTTGGAGACCCTGGCTCCTCTTGCAGGGCTTGGACTACAGCCCTGCTAGCACACCCTCATCCCAGATTGCCCTCACCCTTCTTCTCTTTCCACAGGATTCCTCCTTGCTCAATAACCGGGTGTTGCTGCACCATGCTAAGGCTGGGACCGTCATTGCCCGCCAAGGAGATCAAGTAAGTTTTATGGGTGGCACCAGCAAAGTCGTCTGGCCAAGAGGAGGGAGGATGGAGTCCAGTGTTAAACACACACACACACACACACACACACACACACACACACAGTGATGGCCTGGGATTCGGACTCAGATGCTGAACCTGAGGGATCCCAGCCTGCACAGGATTCCCCGCCTCCAGAACCAGCATGAGCCTGAAGGGTCCTCACCTGTGCCGGATCCTCAGGTGCAGGTACCAGCTGAGTCTGCTCTGGCTCCTGAGGTGATGGAGGACCCATTGCCTGCAGGTGCTCCTCTCTCAGCCCTGTAGGAGGAAGTTGAGGTTGCCTCTGGGTCCGGTGACCCTCCAGCCTCTCCTGAGCTGCAGAGGCTCATGGCAAAGAGGCGGAGGGAACTAAGTTCCCGCAGGAGGAGTGCTCGCCTCCAGGCCAGGAGAGGCGAGTCACCAGAGGATCGGGGCCACCCTATGCCTCGGGGCAGATAAAAGCCGGCCAGCCCCAGTCCCAAGTTGCGGGAGCAACATTGTTGATTGTTAGTTCCTGCCTGAACCCTGTCCTGCTTTCCTGCCTGAGCTCTTGAGCCGCCCTGGCTCCCTGCTTGCAAGCCTGTTCCTGACTTCACCCGACTCCTTGCCCTGCTCCCAGCTTCAGCTCCTACGGACTGCCTCCATGTTGCACCTTTGACCACAGACCGGACTTGGACCTTGCCTCTCGGGTAACCCACAGGACCAGCACACACACACACACACACACACACACACACACACACTATAGTGAGAGGATGCAATGATGCAGCACAGGAAAGAATTGGAAAGTGCACATTCCCCTCTCTTTGTCACCCTCTCTCTCATAAAATAGTTGCCTTTACCAGTAGACTGCATCTAGTGCTGCCCCCCATGTTTGATGGACATGTTTCTTAGCAAATCCTGCCTCCCCAAGCCTTTCTCCACACCCTCTGCTTCCTTTTATTATTGTTTAATTAACTTTAACTTTAATAAAATATTTAAAAAAAAATAAGGCTGTGCTATTTCTAGAGCTCTGCTGTTGGGTTTCATGCTCCAAAGTGAGCCTGTTCCCTGCGCTGATCTCTCTTGCCAGGATGTCAGTCTGCACTTTGTGCTTTGGGGCTGCCTGCACGTTTACCAGAGGATGATTGACAAGGCCGAAGACGTGTGCCTCTTCCTGACGCAGCCCGGAGAGATGGTGGGCCAGCTGGCCGTGCTTACTGGGGAGCCGCTCATCTTCACCATCAAGGCCAACCGCGACTGCACTTTCCTCAAGATCTCCAAGTCCGACTTTTACGAGTGAGTGGCACGGGAATGCGGTCATGGAATTGTACTCAATATTGATCCAGAGCAGATTCCAGCGTACGGTTAGCAGAATAAAAACTTAAACACGTTGCAGGATTCTCAAAAAATAGACCAGAGGCAATTGTATTTCATCCAGCAGAGCTTTACTGCTACTGAAGGCAAATGAGCATAATGGTCACAGATCCAATACATTCAGGATTGGCACTGTCCATAAGGGATCCACTTGCAGCAGACTTAACCTAAGCTTACAGTAACTTATAATAAGACTAAACCTTAACACTATCTTTGTGCAGAACACCACACCAGAAGGAAAAGAGATAGAAAGTGAAACCCCGGCTCCTTCTGGACTCTTATTATAGTCTGAACAACCACAAGCAACACGCAGCTAAGAATGTACAGTGGTACCTCGGGTTACATAGGCTTCAGGTTACACACACTGCTAACCTGTTTCAAAGATGATTCTTCATCAGCAAATAGATTGTCCACACAAGTACATCTAATAGCAATGGATCAGCAACCACTTAAAAGTGTAGTAAGCTGATGGAACTTTTATTGGACTCCTATCATTTGTGACTTCATGCACGTTTACGTGTTTGTTGTTTATAAATTGAGGAACAGTATAATGTTATAAATTTATTGTTAATACATTATTAGCCGCGTGTTGCTTGTGGTGTTTCAGAGTTTTCTGCTTTGCAACACAGGGGATTTTCTTTGTTGTATACCCTTACTACAATCAGCATGACCTTGACAGAAAGAGATAACAGGACCAGTTTAAGCCAGCTGTACTCAGCTTCTTTGAAGGAATAACCCAAACATCAGGAACCTTCTGCTTGTTTATTTCACACAGAGAGGCTTCTAGAACCCTCTTGAATTAAGTAGAATAGGAAAGATCACACACATCAGATCAATGCTTTCTGCACTAAGAAATGCAACCTGACAAACACACCTCCGCCCACCCCTTGCCATGTGGTACCTGTTTTTTCCTCACCTGCCCACCTGTCATTGCTCACTCCTGGACTCTTGATATTGTTCCTCACCTCAAGTCTTGCCTAGTTACTTCCGCTCTCTTCGCCTTTGCCATCCTTCCTCCTCTGCTATGTGATCCAGGGAGGGTCAGGTGGGCAGAATGAAAATCCCAGATTCCATTCATTTCTTCATTCTGGTAATGTGGCTACAGTCCGGGGACAGGGGGAGGAGGGGGGCTTTCCTATCCTCCACCATTAAGGATTATTCTTTCTTTTCTTGCGTAGCAAAGCAGCCGCTGGAATCACTTTTTCAGCATGCTGGCTAATTTCTTTGAAAACAAAAAGATTGGCTGGGATGGTTGAAACTGGTACTATGACAGTCCCCATCTTTTTATTTTAATATTTATTATTCATTTACTTTATTTAGGGCAGTGGATTAAACTGGTTACTATATATATATATTTTAAAAAAATAACCAAATGTTGTTCTGCAAAACTCAAGCATACAGTAAAAAGCCAGTAAAAGCCACACCAGTTAATTAAAAATAAATAAATAGACCTGATGATCATGAAGTACAAAAGGTAAAGATGAGCACAATGTCATGAAGTTTAAAAGGGAAAATTTATAACTTACCTTAGAGACCATTCAAAGAGTTAAAATTGTTAGCCGGATTGTAATAACACTTGCAATGTAGCAAAAATTATGGATACAATGGAGATATAAAAATTTGGATTATTGTAAAAGATGCAGGAGAAAAGGATTAATAATGAGACCCGCAGAGGGGGAAGAGGGAAGTCCAGAGATTCGTGGGAATCTTCTATTTTTGCAAAGTGTGGTATGACTGGAATTTTGCACGTGTAAAATCAAATTTTTAAAAATTGAGAAAAAAAATAAAGTTCAAAAGGGCAGATCAAATTATGCGATCATAAAATCATGATCTTTAAGGTGATAAAAGTTCAAAAGGACAGATCTTAAAGCATGATCATAAAATTATTATCCTTACAATCGTAATTAAGATCTTTGCATTCAAAAGGACAGGGCCCACCTTTGGCAGTCAGTAAAAGCCTGAGGAAAAAAAACACATCTTCAGAAGAGTCCAGCTCCCCGTGTTTGGGGAGGGTTGTTCTGCCCTTAGTAGTGACTCGGTGCTGGTGTGTGAATTGGCCCTTGCGCTGAGCCCAGGCACTTTTCCAGCTAGCCTTGTGCAGTGAGCCCTGGCTGGCCTTTCCTGGGTCTCAGTCAGAGGTGCTTCCTGGGGCTGGCCCTGGAAATGCTGGGCTGGGCTGCGGGGGGAACCACACTGGGGCAACTTCCTCTACCACTAACCTGCGATTCTTCCCCCCCCCCCCCCCCCAGGATTATGCGGGAACAGCCCAGTGTGGTCCTGAGCGTGGCTCACACGGTAGCAGCTCGAATGTCTCCCTTTGTGCGCCAGATGGACTTTGCTATTGACTGGATGGCTGTGGAGGCTGGCCGGGCGCTTTACAGGTAAGGGGCAAGCACTGTTGCCACCCATGCCCACCCTGTGCCCAGAACCCCCCATTTCTCCTTGGCGCAGGGCTCTGAAGTTATCCTCCCCACGGGGCAGTTTCTGGTCCTTTCCTGCTGCTTCAGTGCGGGGAGTGGGGCAGGAGCTTCCAGGACATTGCTGAAGGAGGGACCCTCTTGCTAGGAAGCCCCAGTGGGCCCTTCTTCCCCCCCACCACCAATGTGCCCCATGTCACCATGCTCCCATCCAAACCACTCTACAAATGGCCTCGGCCCAGTATACCTGAAGGAGCGTCTCCACGCCCATCGTTCAGCCCGGACACTGGGGTCCAGGGCCAAGGGCCTTCTGGCAGTTCCCTCCCTGCAAGAAGTGAAGCTACAGGGAACAAGGCAGAGGGCCTTCTCGGTGGTGGCGCCTGCCCTGTGGAATGCCCTCCCATCAGATGTCAAGGAAGTAAACAACTTTCTGACTTTTAGAAGACATCTGCAGGCAGCCCTGTTTAGGGAATTTTTTTATGTTTGATGTTTTATCGCACTAAAGGTAAAGGTAAAGGGACCCCTGACCATTAGGTCCAGTCGTGGCCGACTCCGGGGTTACAGTGCTCATCTCGCTTTATTGGCCGAGGGAGCCGGCGTACAGCTTCCGGGTCATGTGGCCAGCATGACTAAGCCACTTCTGGCGAACCAGAGCAGCAGACGGAAACGCCGTTTACCTTCCCGCCAGAGCGGTACCTATTTATCTACTTGCACTTTGACCTGCTTTTGAACTGCTAGGTTGGCAGGAGCAGGGACCGAGCAACGGGAGCTCACCCCGTCGTGGGGATTCAAACCGCCGACTTTCTGATTGGCAAGTCCTAGGCTCTGTGGTTTATCCCATAGCACCACTTGCGTCCCTTTTTATCACATTATTATTATTATTATTATTATTCTGTTGGGAGCTGCCCAGAGTGGCTGAGGAAGCCCAGCCAGATGGGCAGAGTGTAAACAATAAATTGTTATTATTATATCTCTCTTTGGTGATGGCCTCTGCTGTCCCCTAAAGCCAGCCGTTGAAAGTGATGCCCTGCAGAGAGGGAGAGGGCAATTTGACCAGGGTTTCCTCCTCTTTCCATTTTTCCTAGGCAAGGCGACAAGTCCGACTGCACCTACATTGTGCTGAATGGCCGGCTGCGCTCCGTCATCCAGAAGGGCAACGGCAAGAAGGAGCTGGTTGGGGAATATGGCCGTGGAGACCTCATTGGAGTGGTGAGTTGCTATTAACGAGGATGGTTGCAGAAGGAGGTCTTGGAGAGGAATGCTGGGCAGCTTGCCTGCTCTGTGTGTCTAGCTAAGTCCCCTCCAACTCTGCAATTCTAAGTCATTGAATAGATGCTTCTGCTCCCGGGTACAGTCTCTCTCTCCCTCCCTCTGTCTCCCTCTCCTCCAACTTCCCCCACCAAAGACACTGGTAACTTCTAGGGTTTACAAACCATAACTGAGACCAAACTATGCCCACTTGCTCCTCCCTCCTTGCAAAGTGCTGTTGTTTGGTTGGGCAAATAGTGAGCAGAAAATACAAGTTCAAGGTAGGGGGTTGTCCCAGGGTGAAAGGCTCAGGGAGACAGACTGGAAAACAGAGTGATTCTACAAGTAGGGTTGGAGAGACTCCATTAACTGCTGATGGAGAATTTCACCACACCACCAAACTCTGCTCTCTTCCAGCGTGATCTGATGGTGTCTGAAAAAAGACCTCTGTTCCAGTGGAGCATTGGGACTTGCAGCAAATGTTAGATTCCTTGCAGATACAGATCCTTCTCTGAGCAGTCTCATGTAGTTGCTGAACTATCTGCAGCAACCTTGAGACCTGCTCAGGGGAGGTCTTGCTGGAACAGAGGCCTATTTCCTGGTAATCGTGACAAAGAGACCCATCCACCCAATTTGGTTCCCAAGGGTTGTTCTTAGGAGAGAGGGTACAGTGGTCCCTTTCTTCCCTTAAGCTGCACACAGTATCAGACTCTCGCTCTAGCCTAGTCTTGGACACACACAGTGAGCATCTCTACTTTTGCCCAGTCATGGCTCCTCCTAGATATCTGTCCTTCTGTGCCTGGAACCTAAATCATTAATGCCAACATATTATTTGTCAGGCACAGCTCTGACATCTGAGGAGCTCATCCGTTTTATGCTAGGAATCCTGCTTAATGTGACCCCGATGTTAGAATTCCTGCTCCGTGATTGCAGTCATGGGATTTTTGTCTATCACATGACGGTATATGTTTTGGCTCCACAGAGTGGGAAGTGACGGAGACAGGATGTTTGTGTTACTGTGTTCCATGAAGTGGGACTATTGTCCTTTGTTCCTTTTCTCTTTGCTGTCTGATGCTAGAGAGAGAGGGAGCCATGTTGCAGTGCTCCGTGTGTATTTATATGTAAATAAAGTAGATTAGCCAAAATGCAGAGTTGCTGAGGTTTGTCACGCATGATGCACAAACTGTGCGGATCCCTAAGTGTGCCGATGTCGGTTGGCATCAGTTGCTGTGATGTTTGGGCTGAAGAAAGCTTATGAAGCTCCCGAACGATCGACCAGGAGGGAGGGAACATGCCAGTCGGGCATGTGTCTCTGCCAGGGTCCTACTCGAGTGTAGGATGAACTCCTGACACCCCTCCCCCTCTTGCCCCTTCAGGTAGAAGCCCTGACTCGCCAGGTCCGAGCCACCACTGTCCATGCTGTAAGGGACACAGAGCTGGCCAAGCTCCCAGAAGGGACCCTTAACAACATCAAGCGACGGTATCCTCAGGTGGGTGGCGAGGAATTCTGTGCTTAAGAAGTACCAGATTCTGCCTTCAAAGTAAGTTCTGCAAGCCGGTTCATAACAGGTCCCGAACTCGCATACTTTAATTTGTGCAACTGGTTTGAGGGTTTATTTCACAATCATTTGTAATATGAAACTCCTGACATAATAAACATATGAGATAAGTGTTTGGGACAGAAGATGTACCCAGGCAGAGTGGTTTTATAAACACTCGAAGTAAAGAGAGCAGTGGTAAAAGCACAAGAGAGCGAAGCTTGGAGCCTTAACAAAGCACTTTACTAACATCTACCACACCATTGTAAGCAGTTACTGCCCAAAATATGTATTGGAAATTCCATGAGAATAAATTCACAACGCACAGACTTTCCTGGTGATTATAAAACAAATTAGCAATTTCTTTTTCTGCCTGCAAACTCTCTAGACAGTTTTTAATTGCTAGGCCCTCTGCTTGTTTCACAATGAACTTAATCCCAAGTTTGTTGAATATGCCCAGAGATGTTGCTGAGACCCACACATCTGATTGATGAAGGCAGGCAAACCCTCATATTGCAGTTTCTCCTGGACTGCCGTGAGCTTGCTGTGCCATGTAGCAGAAAGACCCTCTGAAACACACACATATTGCAGCGCCTTGGTGAGTGAGAGCAGCAACAAGAAGATGCTACTTCACACTTAACATAATGCCTCCTACAAATATTATTCTGTTATCAGGCTAGAGTTCATTGCCCCATAAATGGTAGCTGGAGAGAATCCTACCAAGGGGTACACTTTAGAATTGCTCTTTGGTGCCTGAGTGAAGCTATAGCCAGGAGTGATGACATGCAGGGAGCTATTTTTAAAAATGTGTGCAGGAAGATATTGTTGTTTTGTTTAGGACCTTGATGCGGGTGGCACTGTGGTCTAAACCACTGAGTCTCTTGGGCTTGTGGGTCAGAAGGTTGGCAGTTCGAATCCCCACGACAGGGTGAGCTCCCATTGCTCTGTCTCAGCTTCTGCCAACCTAGCAGTTTGAAAGTACACCAGTGCAAGTAGATAAATAGGCACCACTGTGGCGGGAAGGTAAATGGCGTTTCTGTGTGCTCTGGTTTCCGACAGAGTGTCCCGTTGTATCAGAAGCGGTTTAGTCATGCTGGCCAAATGACCCGGAAAGCTTTCTGTGGACAAACACTGGCTCCCTTGGCCTGAAAGTGAAATGAGCGCCGCAACCCCATAGTCACCCTTGACTGGACTTAACCATCCAGGGGTCCTTTACCTTTACCTTTTTTGTTTAGGGAAGATTAGAGGAAGGGCTGTCCTGTGAGCTTCAAGTGGCCCAGCCAGCCCCTTGCTCATAGTATATCCAATACGTGGCTCAGGGCCCCACATGAGATGAATGTGTGTTGCTCAGGAGCTGGCAACAACAGCTCATCCGGCGTTCTGCTTAACCAGGCTAAGCATGCCAGAGATACTCGCTGGTTTCTGTGTTTGCTTGACTTCCTCTGCCTTAAACAGGTTGTCACTCGCCTTATACACCTACTGAGTCAGAAGATCTTGGGGAACTTGCAGCAGCTGCGTGGCCCTTTCCCAGGTAGGAGTGTGTAGAGAGTCCCGTTTTCATTCATAGAATGCCTGTGCCAGCCACATGCTCACTGGGTCTCGCTCTATAGGTTCTGGACTGGGCATGACCTCCAGCTCAGAGTTGACCAATCCAGCCAGCAACCTCTCCACGGTGGCCGTCCTCCCGGTTTGTGATGATGTTCCCATGGCAGCTTTCACCCTGGAACTCAAGCACGCCCTGAACGCCATTGGTGAGCCCAACTACAGCGTTCTCTCGCTCTCACTCTCTCTGTCTCCCGTTCCCTGGCCCTGGCTCCACCAGTCATGACCACTTTTCTTCTGGCTTTTTCAGGCCCAACCTTGCTTCTCACCAGTGACATCATCCGGGCTCGTCTTGGAGCCTCTGCCCTGGACAGGTAAGTTCTCTGTGTGCTCCTGTGTGCCCCTGCACAGGGTCTGAAGGCAGAAATGTCGTGACTGCCAGATTCTTCCAGGGATTTAGAGGTTTTATTACATTTCCTGTTTTACAATTTCAAATGCTTTTACTTCCTTAAGATATCAATTACTTCCCTTCTTCTCTTTCCACGGTTCATTTTGCATATCACAAATCCCTGCGTATTTTACAAAAACTATACCATTCAGTATTCCATTAATGCATCCATCAAAACTTGTTTACACTGTTGAATTTATCTTAATGCTGCCAGTGTTTTCAGCTGTACACAATTATTTCCCATATATTAGGTTTTCTAGAGGTTCAGTAGGGTGGGCACTTTGCGGGGTCATGAGGGGATAGGAAGGAGAGAGGCGAAAGGTTGACTTCCCTAAATTTACTCTCCCACCTCCGTTCCTCACCTTGAGCACCACCTAGTGAGGAGGATACAGCAAGAACATGAACGGCTGTCCTTTTCTCCCCAATTATAATTAAACATTTTTCTTTCAGTTGAAATAGAATTCAAGCTTTTGAGGTTAGAGAAGTCTCGTTTGTACAAGTCTGAAAGTTTGCCTTTTATTTTTAATAGCGTTGTTGTAGCTTTTAAAACACGTAGTTGAATACTGCTTGTAAACCACCTTGGTAGGATTCACACCCTGAAAGGTGGGCTATAAAAAATGGCAGTAAATAAAAATAAATTTCCCATGTCCCCAAACACCCTCCAGCATCCATGAATACCGCCTGTCTGGCTGGCTGGCCCAGCAAGAGGACATCCATCGCATTGTGCTGTACCAGACCGACTGCACCCTGACCCCCTGGACTGTGCGCTGCATCCGCCAAGCTGACTGCATCCTCATTGTGGGCCTGGGGGACCAGGAGCCCACCCTGGGCGAGGTGAGCAGGGTCTGGGAAGCGAGGCGCTCTCTGCTGGGATCGGAGGCCCGGGAGGGAGGGATGAGGGAGCCCTTGGCAGGGGCAAGAGGACCTGGCCTGGGGAAACATATGGGAGAAACGTACGTTGAAAATGTCTATAAGAATCAAAGAAAATTACTATAAATTAGTTTGGGGATGGTATTTAACACCAGTCAGATTAAATCAAATAAACAAGGAATATTCAGTGTTATGTTGGAGGGGAGGCCAGGAAACAGGGAATTGTGTTCACATGTGGTGGAGGTGTAAATCTGTACAAATTTTTTGGCAAAGGGTGTTTAAGGAGATAACACAAATCACTGGGTTAAAGCTGAGCGCAAGTCCAGAGGTAGCATTGTTATCAATTTACGATGGGGTGGAAGGTTATGAAGGACTCGCTCGCAAATTTATTGACAGCTGCACGAATTACGATAGCTAAGAAGTAGAAGGGGCAAGCAGACTATAAAATGGAAGAATGGTATAAAGAGGTGTGGAATATAGCTCTTAATTATAAAGGTGAGGAATATGTAGGAGAAATGATTTTGAGGAGATATGGAGGGAGTTTGTAGAATTTGTACCGTTAAAACAGAAAGTGGTCAAACCATCGCAAGAGGTGTTGAAATATTGGGAGGTTGGATAGTTACAATGGAATGGCCTCGGGGGGTGGGGTGCACATTTTTATTCTTATTTATTTATGATTATTAGTTGATGATAAAAAGAGGACCTGCCCTCCATGTCCTTCCTCTCTCTGCTTTTCCCCAGCTGGAGCAGATGCTGGAGAGCACGGCCGTCAGAGCCTTGAAGCAGCTCATCCTCTTGCACCGGGAGGACGGCCCCAGCCCTGCCCGCACCGTGGAGTGGCTCAACATGCGCAGCTGGTGCTCGGGGCACCTGCACATCAAATGCCCGCGTCGGGTCTTCTCCAGACGCAGCCCAAACAAGCTGGTACTAGCCAATTCCACTTTCCTATGTGTGTTCCCCACCCAAAAGCCTGTCCCTTCATCCCACTGCTCTCCCTGGCAAGGCTTAGTTGCCCATTCCTAGGAGGATGTTACTGACAGTAAGAGCTGTTCGACAGTGGAATTTGCTGCCAAGGAGTGTGGTGGAGTCTCCTTCTTTGGAGGTCTTTAAGCAGAGGCTTGACAACCATATGTCAGGAGTGCTCTGATGGTGTTTCCTGCTTGGCAGGGGGTTGGACTCGATGGCCCTTGTGGTCTCTTCCAACTCTATGATTCTATGATTCTATGCCCGCCCCTGAATCCATTTTGATTGAGCTTAGAACCCCACTCGCCTTTGCACAGTGTTTCCCTTCACTCCAAGCCTCCCTCCCTCCCACACCTACCCCCTTCCCTGTTTATTTACCATATTTTTTGCTCTATAAGACACACTTTCCACCTCATAAAAAGTAAGGGGAAATGTGTGTGCATCTTATGGAGCGAATGCAGGCGGGAGGCTCTGCTTAGCGCTCCCTTTAAAGAGCCGCGTGGAGCGTGTGTGCGGCTCTTCCTCCTCGGGGAAAAGCCCCCAAGAGCCGCACACACACTCCGTGCGCTCTTTAAAGGGAGCGCAGCTCTTGGGGGAGCCTTCATCCTCTGCCCGGGAGAGGCTGCGCGTGGCTATCCCATAAGCCAGGACAGCAAGCTATTTGTTGAATAGCTTGCTGTCCTGGCTTCTGGAATTCAGATTTTTTTTCTTCTTGTTTTCCTCTTCCAAAAACTAGGTGCATCTTATGGTCTGCTGCGTCTTATAGAGCAAAAAATACGGTATTTGTTTGTTGTCACATTTGTACCCTGTCTTCTTCCCTCCAAGGAGCTCAAGGTGGCCTATGTGGTTCTGCCATTTAATCCCCGCAACAACCCTGTTGTTGGGTTGCGAGAGGTGGTGACTGTCCCAAGGATGCCTGGTGCCAACATCAGGCACCAGGCGCCAAGCTTAAAGGGGCACAAAACTCAGAGGAGCTGTAATTGAGATTTATTTATTTTATTTATTTATTTGTTGAATTTATATACTGCCCTATACCCGGAGGTCTCAGGGCGGTTCACAGAAAAGATCACACTATTTAAAATAAATAGTGTCTGGGTAGGTTCATATGGAAAGAGGCAGTCCTTGAGGTATTGTGATCCTGAGCCGTTTAAAGTTTTATAGGTCAAAACCGGCACTTTGAATTGGGCCCAGATACTAATTGGTAGCCAGTGCAGTCGAATCAGGATCGGTGTAAGATGCTCAAACATTTTGCTGCAATGAACAACTGAATTCTGCACCAGCTGAAGTTTCTGAACCTATATGTAGGCAGCCCTACATATAACGCATTTGGAGGGAGGGTGCCAAATTTTAGGCTTGCTCAAAGCTTACCAAAGTCCACCCCTGCCCTCGAGCTTCATGGCCAAATGTGGATTTGAACCCTAATCTCCTAGGCTGACGCTCTAACTATTGCACAACCCTGCCTCTCAGCTCCTTAAATGGGAAAGTGTGCTTTGTTGTTTGGGCTCTGCTGATAGGTGAGTGGACCTCCCTCCCCACCGGGTGCCTACCGTATTTTTTGCTCTATAAGACTCACATTTTCCCTCCTAAAAAAGTAAGGGGAAATGTGTGTGCATCTTATGGAGTGAATGCAGGCTGCGCAGCTATCCCAGAAGCCAGAACAGCAAGAGGGATTGCTGCTTTCACTGCGCAGCGATCCCTCTTGCTGTTCTGGCTTCTGAGATTCAGAATATTTTTTTTCTTGTTTTCCTCCTCCAAAAACTAGGTGCGTCTTGTGGTCTGGTGCATCTTTATAGAGCGAAAAATATGGTATTTTGAATGCCTTTCTCTGGATGGGAAAAGTTGATGCCTTGAAGCAGGCAAACTCTTGCGGACTCCCCTTCACGTTCTCCTGCTTCTTTGGAGGCTGGTGGAAGTAGCCCCCTTCCCTTCTTTTTCTGCTTCCCCCACTGCAGAGGGAGATGTATGAGAAGGTCTTTGAGAAGAACGCCGATCGCCACAGCGACTTCTCCCGCCTGGCGAGAGTCCTCACAGGCAACACCATCGCTTTAGTGCTGGGGGGTGGCGGAGCCAGGTAATTTGCCCTCAAGCACTCGGGGAAGGTCTGAAAAATTTATACGATTTGAGGAGTAGCGAGGGTATTTTGGGAAATTATACGTGATGAGATTTTTTAAAAATTGTTTAAAATGAGTATATATATAAAAAAGCCTGAAGCATTTTTGTTAGGTATTATTGGGGCAGAAATCCCCCCGAAAATGTTGAAGTTGTTTATGTATATAACAGCAGCACCTAGGATTCTTTATGCACAGAAAAGGAAAGAAGGAAGAAGTTCCTTTGTACAATCTTTTTTATTCAGTTTTACACTAAACATTTAAATTCAAACATTAGACACCATCAGCAGCATTTAGGATTCCCTAATCCTTTGACTCCCCTCCACCCTTCCATGGTTTCCATTTTCAACCTTTTCCAACTGCCTCACATATTTTCTCTATTTTTCTTAAATAATCCATTTTTACCTTAGTTTTTAGTACATTACAAGCGTTACTCAATTCTGCCCAAGTTTTTAGATGTTTACGGTGTTCTCTTAAGTACATTGTAAAATTTTCCCATTCCTTATTAAAGTTCCTCTCTTCCTGGTTTCTGATTTTCCTGGTCATTTTCGCCATTTCGGCATAGTCCATCATCTTCATCAGCCATTTGTCTCTGGTCAGCAGAAGAATTTCCCACCAAAGAAGAATGGATAAGTAAGATAGTGGGCTGTGCAGAACTGGCAAAATTAACAGCAAAATTAAGAGAACCTAATGATGAATGTTTTATAGAAGAATGGATATCTTTTTTTGGACTACAGTGGTACCTCAGGTTAAGTACTTAATTCGTTCCGGAGGTCCGTTCTTAACCTGAAACTGTTCTTAACCTGAAGCACCACTTTAGCTAATGGGGCCTCCTGCTGCCACTGCACCACAGGAGCACGATTTCTGTTCTCCTCCTGAAGCAAAGTTATTAACCCAAGGTACTATTTCTGGGTTAGCGGAGTCTGTAACTTGAAGCGTCTGTAACCTGAGGTACCTCTGTACTTGAAGAAATATTATCAGAGGATTTGAACGATGAGCAACTGAAGCAATTAGATTATAATTGTATGGTTATGATTAATAGCAGGTAGGGTACAGCAAAAGGGGAAAAACAACAACTCCGGAAAATGGGGGTGGGAAGTCGACAAATATAAGAGAAAAGGGGAAATTGTGTTTTGATTGAAGAAGTTTAAAATATTGAAACTTAAGAAAATATAATTGGGGCGGGGCGAAAGGGGAGGTCCGGAGGGTGCCCGAATACAGCTTGCCTGGGTCCTGGGAAGGCAGCTATTTGCCCAGCACCCCTGCCCCAAAGAGGAACCTAGCTCTTTCCCCGCCAAGCCTCTGGAGCCCACCCTTCCTCCACTCATGAAATGGGAGGTGGGATGCCTTTGAGCAGCAGGGCGGACCTTCCTTTGACCGTTCCCTGCCTCTGGAAGAAGAGGAGAGCCGTCCCGGTTCCCTTGGCCTAGGGAGGAGCGAAGGAGGGGCCCAGACTCTCTTGGAGCAGCCCAGGGCAGTAGGGCTGGGACATCGCGGCTGCCCTCGGTCCTTGCGCTCTGGCCTGCTTCAGGTGTGGCCCTTCCCTTCACCGCAGGGGCTGTTCTCACATCGGTGTGATCAAGGCTATGGAGGAAGCCGGTCTCCCCATCGACCTGATTGGCGGCACCTCGATTGGCTCCTTCATCGGCGCCTTGTACGCGGAGGAGAGGAGCGCCGTGCGCACGAAGCAGCGAGCCAGGGAGTGGGCCAAAGTGAGCAAGTATTGGAAGCGGCAGGGTTTGGAATGGGAGGGGAAACTCCAGCTGATTTGAGCCTGCCAAATTTCGGGAAACATAAGGACCTAGGAGGCTGCCCCAACCGGTATTGCCTTCACTGCCTGGCCGTGGCTCGCCAAGGTTTCAGACGGGTGGCATTCCCAGTCCGAACCAAAGATCCCAGAGATTGGACCTGGGGCTTTCTGCATGCAGTAAGTATCCAAACAAACCCCTGTGTTGCAAAGAGAACGTCAGCAGTGTCTAGGCAACACCATGACCATATACATACATAATAGACAATCTTTATAGAATTCATTCAAACCATAAAAAGTTCAAAATGAAATCTTTAGTCTCAAAGAATGAATGTATGTAAATGAAAATATCAAATGCTGCGGAACAGTGCCCGTGTAATAATGTAGTCGCTGCATTCATTCGAAATAAGATGGGTTTATGAAGCATTCTGTATCCACCCACCACGCTGACGAAGAATTCTCTGAAACAGTAGTCAATATCCGGAATCACTGTTCAGTGTTGGACGTCATATTTGTTGAATACACAAAACTTCACAGCTTGTCTTTCATCGTACAAAATTTGGTACCTTCATTTAGATTTTTAGAGGCTTTGAGACTAAAGATTTCATTTAGAACTTTTTATGGTTTGAGGGAATTCTATAAAGATTGTCTATTACGTATGTATATGGTCATCGTGTTGCCTAGACATTGTTGATGTTGGCCTTCTGCATTCAAGCAAGTGCCCTTCCGCGGAGCTACGGCACTCCCCCAAGCCGAGAGAGGCATTCCAGTGTGCCTTGCGGGAATTCCGCTTGGTACATCTGTTTCTCTCTTGCATCCCTGGTTCTTGACTGAGGGCTCCTAGGTGGAGCTGGGACAGAGCAACGGGAGCTCATCCCGTCGCAGGGATTCGAACAGCCGACCTTCTCATCAGCAAGCCCTAGAGGCTCAGTGGTTTAGAGCACAGAGCCACTGGCATCTCCCAGTTCGAAAGCACGCCAGTGCAAGTAGATAAATAGGTACCACAACGGCGGGAAGGTAAACGGTGTTTCTGTGCACGCTGGCACTCATCACGGTGTCCCGTTGTGCCAGAAGCGGTTTAGTCATGCTGGCCACATGACCTGGAAAGCTGTCTGTGGATAAACGCCGGCTCCCTCAGCCTGAAAGCGAGATGAGCATCGCAACCCCATAGTCACCTTTGACTGGACTTAACTGTCCAGCGATCCTTTAACCTTTTTTAGCCCTAGGTGGGTAGAAGGCAGTAGAGCCAGGCAATATTGCAATGCATCGTCTGAAATGGGTTCGAAGTTCAGATCGCAATGCCTACTTCAGATTTCTTGAGCTGGCGATACATCACGGCTCCCCAGCACAGGCCGGCAGGAGGGAAAGGCACGGTGCTGGTGGCGCCCGGGGAGCTGCAATGTACTGGCAGCTTAAATTGCCTGATTGCACATCTGCCTGCACGTTTGATTCTCCCAAGCAAGTGGGCTACATCTTTTCTATGTTCACTCCTCCTGCAACCCACCGGGAGGAAAGAGCCAGCCCTGCTTGCTTTGCAAAGGCAAAGCAACAGACCAGCAGGCAGGCAGATGGAGCAGCTTCTCAGGCTCCCTCTGCCAAGGCCAGGACTGAGCTAGAGAGGGAGGGAGCAAGCAGGACCTCCTTCGCCCAAGCAAGCAGGCAATCTCCTTCCCTTTCTCCTGGTTGTTCCCTATCTCCCCAGCCCAGCCACTTTTCCAGCCTTTTCCAGTGTTATTTCAGACATCGTGATCTGTCGCTGTGTCACGATGGTTAGCCGGGAAAACCTCACAATGTTGAAAACCAAGTATCGCCCAGCCTTAGAAGGTAGTAAATAAAATGGAGGAGGGCCAACTGAATTCTTGAATGTTTACTGGAAGGACAGATTCAGAGTTTTAGATGAGGTGGGTTCTGTCTCCCTCATGCTTTTTAATCTGTGTACGCAACAACACTTTCTTCCCGAAAAGTTAGCATGAATGCAGAAGATGAAATAAGTTGAGAAATGAGAACAGGTAAATGAAATTTGATAAAGCTATAAGAGGCAGTATGAGTGAGGAAGGAAGCCCATTGTTCTAGATTCGGTGAGGCTGAATCCTTTTTAAATTTTTCACCTGTTTCTGTCTAACATCAAGACACTTTTCTGTCGCTTCTGCAGAACATGAATTCGGTGTTTGCCACAGTGCTGGACCTCACCTATCCCATAACTTCCATGTTCTCGGGCTCTGCCTTCAACACCAGCATTCACAAGGTGTTCCAGGACAAGCAGATTGAGGTATGCTCCCAGGGCCACCATGAGGGATGCCTGTGCATGTCTCTTCCACTGCTATTTTGATCTGTATCATGGCAGCTTTGTGTCTGGCAAAGGGCCTGGGTCAGGGCCGGCTTGTGCGTGAGGCCAGGTGAGGCGGCTGCCTCGGGCGGCAGCATCCACAGAAGCAGCAGATCTGGCCTCCAAGGAACAAAATGCCCGCTGGAGTCTTGGCCTACCCTTTCCTGATGGCGAGGTTCTGCAAGCGCTTTTCCTTGAGAACATATCGGCAGGGTTCGGATCTGCGGTGTGGTGTGTTTTGCCCCCAGCACCGAAACATCCTGTGCTAACCCTTTTACTGCCAAAATGCAGGATGTTGAGATCTGGGGATTGCAGAATCCATAATTTTGGTGGTGCCTGCTTTGTGGCTCGTTCTCCTAATTACCACATGTGGAATTCTGGTTCTAGATGCAGCATAAGATGTCTCTATAGTATATTTATTTTTAAATGGGGTTTCAGAGTTTTTAGGGGGTTTTGAATGTTTTATGTAGATTTTCAATTTCATTGTTCTGTATGGGACAATGACAATAAAGATATTGTATGGAAGCTGCCGTGTTAAATGTCTGGAGCCACGTGCAGTAGAGATTCATTGGTTTACATCAGTGAGGATAAACCTGTGAGCCAGGTGTGGCCTGCCAGACCACAGGAAGGAGCTCACCAACCCTGGCAGCGCTCTAACCCCCCAGCCCCCCGGCTGATCTGAGCAGGAGATAAAGCTTTTCTGTTCTTTAAAGAGCAACTTCTAAAGGGCAATCAGCCCTCTTTATTGGGAGTTTTAAAATCCCTCTGGCTGCCCTTTTGGAGAGAATCTATAAATAGCAGTCAGAAGGATCTGTTATCCCTGGTTTTAGCACTAAGCACCGCAACACTCGGTCTGGAGATTAACCTCAGAGAGCAGGCAGGAGGCTTTAAGGTAGCATTTCCTTCTGCCAGCACGGAGAATGGACTTGAGCATGTGTGGAAATGCTGCTGTTTGCTTTTCACAAATCCTTCTATGCAAAGTAAAAGGCGAGGTTTTCCTGCAATTCCACCTCAGTCCTGGAGGGAGGAGCACTGGGAATGCTCAGTACATGGTTTGTTTGTTTGTTTGTGTGTGTGTGTGTGTGTGTGTGTGTGTCTGTCTGTGAAAATGTATGTATGAGTGTATCTTCTTTAGCGATCGCTTGTAGCCGAGTAAGATTGTCTTCCATGAACACAGTCTTAACAGTGAGTCCGTAAGTGACTATGGAGGCCAATTCTGGATCCACACGTCCTTCCACAGTGGGGACATAGATTTCCGGGCAGAAGTTGATCACAGTGAGGGTTTGCCAAGTGTCCCTTCCTCTTAGCACATTTTGACCTGAGTTCAAGTGTCTTCAAAGCCCATAACACCTTTGGTAAAGGCTGTTCTCCAACTGGAGCGCTCCCAGGCCAGTGTTTCCCAGTTGTTGGGGTTTATACTACACTTTTTTAGATTTGCCTCGAGAGAGTCTTTAAACCTCTTTTGTTGACCACCAGCATTACACTTCCCATTTTTAAGTTCGGAAATAGAGTAGTTGCTTTGGAAGATGATAATCAGGCATCTGCACAACATGACCAGTCCAATAAAGTTGATGTTGAAGAATCATTGCTTTTGACACTGGTAATCTTTGCTTCTTCCAGTACACTAGCATTAGTTTGCCTGTCTTCCTGAGTGAGCATGAGTATGAGTGTGTACGCATATGTGTGTGGGTAAAAGAGCAAGATATTCTATGTCTGGTGGGTGTGAACTGCAAGTGTGTGTGTTAAATGCCCAGTGCATATGTGGCATGTGAGTGTATCAGTATACTGACCACATCCCTTGCTGCAGTCCTCGTAGGGCTGGCTGACCATCAAAGCAGCTGTCTGGCTGAAGAAAGGTTATCCATCCCTTCTCTGCAAGGCTCTGCATGTTTCCCTTAAGGCTACCAGGAACATAGCAAATCAAGTAGAGACAGCAATATGCCTAAATTGTACCAGCTGCAGAATTTGACTGGTATAGAACTCGGGCGAGGGCAAGTGAGTTCACATGTGCAGGTCAGATGTGTCCTCTTGGCAGCTTTCCTCGCCACCCCCTCCTCACAGCCCTTGAAGACGGGATTCCTGTGTGTGTGATCTCTGTCCCACTCTGCTGTGTCCAATGCAGGATCTGTGGCTCCCGTATTTTAATGTGACGACAGACATCACAGCTTCCGCCATGCGAGTCCACAAAGATGGTAAGTGTGCATTTCCTCTTCTGGCCCAGGGGGCTTGGGTTCGAAACACACACACTCACTCACCAGGCCCCTGAAGTTCAGCGACGGCCCATGATGTCCAAACACTTCTGGCCTTGAACCCCCCAATTGGAAGGAAATGTGGTTTCGGGAATGCCCTAGAGAGAGGCCCCTGGGGTGTTGGAGGTAATGAGACTGAAGGGGAAACGGGTGTCTCCAGAGAACCCTGGTTTCCTGCTCAAAATAGGTCTGTTGCACTGCTGTTCCAGGCCTCAGTTTTGGTTCTTGCCTGCATCCCCATTTGAGGACCATAACACTCAATTCCTGGCACAGGAAGAGGTGTGGTGGTCCTACTGATGTACCCTTAGAGTCTCCTGCAGAATCCCAGGCCCCTCAGGTTGGGGGGTACAGATGTGAGGGCCCGTTGCTTGCCCAAGCGAGAGCAGACTGTGTCATCCTGCCCCAGAGTATGCATAATTTTCTGTGGCAGATGCTTACCTTCAGTTCTCAAGGCCATTCAACGCCCCTTTCACAGCCAAGACAAGGCGCCCTTCAGAGCAAAGCCTCGTTTAATGAACAACATTTTGGGGAGGAGGGAAACCTTGAGAAGCCACAATAAAACATCTTGACATCATGACACCACAACAGGAAGGACCCATGGGGTGATTGAGATAGAGAGAGAAATAGATATATAAAAGAATGATAATTGGGGGGGGAGGGTCCTTGAGAGGGCCACACAAAAAATTGGAGGAGGCAGATGTGGCCTACAGGCCCCCACTTAACTATCCTGCTTTAGAGAGAAGTTTCTTCTTTGCAAAGATCCTGGCCAGGCCTTTATGGCCTCACACTTGTCTCTGGTCAAAGAGCCCCCACATTAGAGCAAGGCCCGAGTTTCTTTCTCTCCTGCCAGCACAATCTGGCGAAGCTAGGTCTTCAGCTTGCTGAAAGGCAGGCCAGGAGAAGCTGAGAAGACCTACGTCGCCGCCCAAATCTGGGGTGGCCCCTCAGGGAGGCTGGCCTTTCCTTAATATAGAAGACTTGGCTGGAGATGAGTCCTTCGCATCCTGCCTTTCTCTAGAGCAGCCTTTCTCAACCTGTGGGTCCCCAGATGTTGTTGAACTACAACTCCCATCACCCCTAGTTGGCAAGGCCAGAGCTCAGGGATGATGGGAGTTGTAGTCCAACAACATCTGGGGACCCACAGGTTGCTGCTCTAGAGGTAACTAGAGAAGGTCAGAAAGAACTAAGGTTGCACCTACTTTCCTTGGATTGCAAAAAGGGGCGTTTTGAGGGGCGGGGAGACAGGGGTTTGTTGAGTCCTGGCATTCATTGGGTCCCATTCCTCCATCTCCAATGGCAGTGCTGGCAGAGTGAAGAGAGCACTCTGTGATCTGTTTTACCGTGGCCTCCTCACTCTCCAGCCCACCCTTGGGGCCTGCTTTTCCTTGTAACCCTTCTGCTCTGCACTAAACTCACTAACTGTTGCCATATTTGCGCCGGATTCCCATGTCCTGGGGGATCCAGGCAGCAAGGGGGGGCTAGAGCTCTCCCCTCCCTGCCTTCCCAAGGGGGGAGAGGCAATGGGTGCCTGCCAGCTGCGTCCTGCTGGGGCAGAGAGGGGTGGACAAGCGGTCTTAACGCAGTGAACTGCAATGAATGAATGAGCTTTGTAACCTGCTTCAGAAGGGGGATGGATCGTGTCTGGGGCAGAGAAGGGAGGCGGGGGGGGGGTTGCCGTGTCCCCTTCGGGCCCCACTGTTGCAAACATCAGATCTCACCTGGGACATTGTCACAGCAGCCGTGCCCGTCTGCAGGGCAGGGGTACCGGGAGGCTATAACTGCCTGGCTTTCTTCATTCTCTGCCCACTTTTCTGTCCTTCCTAACACAGCTAACACCTTCTTCCCCATCCCCAGGTAGTCAGGCTGTGTGTGTGTGTGTGTGCACGTTTGTGTGTGTGTACAGTGGTACCTAGGGTTACAGACACTTCAGGTTACAGACTCCACTAACCCAGAAATAGTACCTTGGGTTAAGAACTTGGCTTCAGGATGAGGCCCCATTAGCTAAAGTGGTACCTCAAGTTAAGAACAGTTTCAGAACGAATTAAGTTCTTAACCCGAGGTACCACTGTATATATCTTTTCATACCTAGGGAGTCGGATCTTTCAAACTAAGGTGGAGGAGGGCCCTTCATTGCAGATCCCGCCATCTGCAAGAGATTGGCTATAGAGCAGCGTTTCCCAAACTCCAGCTGTTTTTAGACCACAACTCCCATCATCCCTAGCTAGCAGGGTCAGTGGTCAGGGATGATGGGAATTGTAGTCAAAAAAATAGCTGGAGAGGAGACCCAGGTTTGGGAAACCCCTGCAGAGGAAAGCTGCTACGTTCTCTTCTATGGGGGGCTGAAAATTCCAGTGTTTCCTATGAAGTGCTGCTCCTGGTAGCATCCTGCTCTCTTTTTTCCTAGTCTGGGGGTGGGGAGCCAACCAAGGCAGGGCAGGTTATCTGCCCTTGCCTTAGACTTGGTGGTGGCAGCCTGTCTGCATCATGTCTGCTGCCAAAGGACTCCAACACTCCTCTTTGCAAAGTCCCCTGGGAGAGTCTCCTACTGACCCCCCCCCCAGTGAAGGGGATGTCCCACCTCTCTCTGGTTGTTGTGTTGTTGGTTTAGTGGCCTTGTGTTTTCTTGAACTGTTTAGATGGTTCGTCACCCAGAGAACCCTGGTTAGGGGTGACTGTTAACCTCAAGAAACAAATGAATCTCATTGCAACCCCCATTCCATGCAACATAAGTTCCTCATCGTTTTTGCCCTAATCCCGCTTCTTATGGCCCAGGTAACTATGGTTGCTGCTCCATAGGCAGGGGCTCTCTGGTTTCCCAGTGCTTTGGGATCCAGAACCAGCCTCCCTGTTTCAGAACTCTGCCATCTCTTGGCCATGATGGCTGCCCTGAAGACTCTGCCGTGTCCTTTAATCCAGCGATTGAGAGCTTTTGGCCCTCAGACCTAGTTTGGCCTGCTGTACAGTAGAGGTTGGGATGCGGGTGGCGCTGTGGTCTAAGCCACTGAGCCTCTTGGGCTTGCCGATCAGAAGGTCGGTGGTTCGAATCCCCGCGACGGGGTGAGCTCCCGTTGCTCTGTCCCTGCTCCTGCCAACCTAGCAGTTCGAAAGCACGTCAGAGTGCAAGTAGATAAATAGGTACCGCTCCAGCGGGAAGGTAAATGGCATTTCCGTGCGCTGCTCTGGCATACAGCTTCCGAGTCATGTGGCCAGCAAACCAGAGCAGCCCACAGAAACACCATTTACCTTCCCACCGGAGCAGTACCTATTTATCTACTTGCACTTTTACGTGCGTTCGAACTGCTATTTTACGTGCTTTCGAACTGCTAGGTTGGCAGGAGCAGGGACCGAGCAACGGGAGCTCACCCCGTCGCAGGGATTTGAACCGCGACATTTCGATCGGCAAGCCCTAGGCTCAGTGGTTTAGACTACAGCCCCACCTGCGTCCCTTCGGATGGTACTTGGAGTTTAAACAGGAGGAGAGGCCAGGAAACAAATTCGGTGACACGGCACGGCAGTGGGTAGGTGGCAGGGTTGTGCAAGGGATAGGAAGCACAGCCGCATTCCCAGAGGGCTCGATTTCAGCAAGACGCCTGCTCTGTTTCTTGGCCTCTCACATCGAATGGATTGATGGATGCACACCCTGGTCCTCCTCCAGTGAAGAAAGCCTTCCCAGAATCCTTTTCTCCACCCTCACTCCCCCACCACGTGCACGTTGTATTTCTGAAGCTTCTGTCATGATGTCATTTCCTGTCCTGTGCTCCTTCCCCTCTCCCTTCCCCTCCCCTCCCCTCTCTCCCTTTGATTGAATCTCCCGTCTTCCATCCGGCAGGGAGCGTGTGGCGCTACGTCCGAGCCAGTGCATCTTACACCCCTTATTTGCCTCCTCTCTGCGACCCCAAGGACAGTCACTTGCTTGTGGATGGCTGCTATGTTAACAATGTCCCAGGTCAGCATCGCGTTCGCCTCGCTACCTTGGCTGCTGGGCGCAGTGGGGATGGAGACAGTCAGTTGACTTGGGACACGCTTTTCACCCTTCCGAACCGCTGCCGCCGCCCTTCGTCTGCTACGACAAGCCTGTCTCCTGCCCACGGGCACCCTTTCCCCGGGCTGGCGGTTCTGCATGGTAAGGGAAGCTGGTGCCCCGTGGAGGACCGTTCCCAATATGGGAAGGCGGGCCGAGATGGAAAGGGAACAGTTCTTCCCTACTGCTGCTGCTGGGCTTAGAAGGGGAGGCAAATTGGTACCGTATTTTTCACTCTATAGGACGCACTTTTTCCCCTCCAAAAATGAAGGGGAAATGTGTGTGCGTCTTATGGAGCGAATGCAGGTTCCTTGGCTTCAGCAATATCAACGCGAAGCCTCCGAAGTTCAGCGGGAGAGCTCCCCCCGCACTCCAGAGGCTTCGCGTTGCTTTCGCTGAAGCTGCCTGAAGCCCCCGGAGTGCAGCGGGAACTTCCGCTGCACTCCGGGGGCTTCAGGCGGCTATCTGCAAGCCTTCGGAGCGCAGCAGGAGTTCCCGTCTGAAGCCTGGAGAGCGAGAGGGGTCAGTGCACACCGATCCTTCTTGCTCTCCAGGCTTCACTTCGCTGGAGAGGTGCTACACAGCTTTCCCTCTCTGTGCAGCGCCCCTTCAGCGAAGCGGGAGGAGAAATGGAAGGGGCTCTGCTGAGCAGAGAGGGGGAGAAATTTTTTTTCCTGTTCTCCCCCTCCTATGGTCCGGTGCGTCCTATAGAGGGAAAAATACGGTAGGTTTGGGGCCAGAAGAGTTTGCCCTACCAGAGCCATGCAGAATTCTCCCGCCAGGGGAAAGGTGGCCTTGGGAGCCGTGCTGGGGGCCTCTTTCTCCATCCCTCTTCCGAAGGGCTCGTTGCTGCTCTGGGTTTCTCTCTCTTCTACTGATTGCATTTGTTCCCACATTGGTTAGGCTCGCTGTGGCGGTACGTGCGAGCTAGCATGACCCTTTCCGGGTACCTACCGCCACTCTGCGACCCCAAGGACGGCAATTTGCTGATGGACGGCGGCTACATCAACAACCTCCCAGGCAAGTATCGGCCGGTCACGGAGGACAAGGAGCAGGGTTGTGGAAACCCCGCCTTGCCTCCCAACCCCCTGAAACATCTCATTTTCAGCAGCGGGCACCCACCTTTAGCAGCCCTCGCGAGGAGGACACGGGCTGGGATTGGGGAACCGACTAAAGCCCCGCCTTGCCGAAAGTTATGGAAGTGAACAAACAGTAATGGCCTGGGAACTTTGTGTGTGCCTTATGATGGCTGCCGCTCACACAAAGGGATTCACCCTAATAAACTAACATCTGCTGTTGGGAAGAGTATGCAGAAAAATTCAGCACTGAATTCCACATCCCCTGAGCTGAGGGAGGGCAGGATAAGGCTGCCCAGGACTGCTAGCTGTTATTATTTACTTATTGAAATTATATACCGCCCTATACCCGGGGACAATTCACAGAATAAAGGGCGGTTCACAGAATAATGGGTATGCTGTGCCTCTGCGGCCGGAGACAGCCCTGCTTCTGAATTCCCGTTGCTTGGAATCACAAGCAGAGTGCTCTCACACTCGAATCCTGCTTGCAGGTTTCTAACAGGCCCCTGTGGCCATTTTGAGAGCAGGAGGCTGGACTGAGCTGGTCATGCAGGAGGCCCTTTTTATAGTGCAGTCATAAGAAGAGGAAGGCATCATATGGTCACAGTTCATACCTGCTTGTGACTTCATCTCCCACAGGTCTCCTGCCTGCCCCGTTGCTCCTCAGTGTCAGTGAGGGGAAAACCTGTGGGGGATTTCCACTTTGAGCCCCCGTGGACTAAGGCCCACATGCTCATTTCTATTTATTCAGAGAGAGAGAGAGGAGAGGAATTGTTGAGTTAGAAGGGACCCCAAGCGTCATCCAGTCTGAACCCCTGCAATGCAGGAATCTCAGCTAAAGCATCCTTGACAGATGGCTATCCAACTTCTGCTTAAAAACCTATCTCCGGAGGGAGAGTGCTCCGCTGTCAAGCAGCTTTTACCCTCAGAAACTTCTTCCTGATGTTTAGTCAGAATCTCCTTTCTTGCGACTTTAATAATAATAATAATACAATGGTACCTTGGGTTACAGACGCTTCAGGTTACAGACTCCGCTAACCCAGAAATAGTACCTCGGGTTAAGAACTTTGCTTCAGGATGAGAACAGAAAACGCTCGGCGGCAGCAGGAGGCCCCATTAGCTAAAGTGGTACCTCAGGTTAAGAACAGTTTCAGGTTAAGAACGGACCTCCAGAACGAATTAAGTTCTTAACCTGAGGTACCACAATACTAATAATAATAATAATAATAATAATAATAATAATAATAATTTATTTATACCCCACCCTTCCCGGTTTAAAACCGGGCTCAGGGCGGCTAACAGCAAATATAAAACATTGATTAAAATGAGACTTAGAAACAGCATAAAATACAACATAAAATGCAGCATCAATATCAATAAAATTCAAAAATTCAGGGGTCATTTTTTTGGGGGGGGGGGGACGGGACCCAGTCAGTAGACATCAAATGATCACCAGGGCTAACTGGCCAAGTTGGTCCTACTAGGGCCAGCAAGGAGACCAGGGAAGAATTTAAATGTGGGATCCCAGAAAGGGTTTATTCATAGAAGAGGAAAGGGAATAGGGGATCAGGCTAATTCAAATTGAAGGCCAGGCGGAATAGCTCTGTCTTACAGAACCTGCGGAAAGAGATCAAGTCCTGCAGGGCCCTAGTCTCGTGGGACAGAGCATTCCACCAGGTCGGAGCTGTCACTGAAGCCATTGGTTTGAGTCCTACCCTCCGGAGCAGGAGAAAACAAGCTTGCTCCATCTTCCACGGGACAGCCCTTGAGATATTTGAAGATTTCCTCTCAGTTTCCTCTTTTCTCATCTTGTCCCACCGCTTCAGGTGGTTTGCTTCTCTGAATGAACAACAACAGTTTGTTTTTGTTTAAAAAAATCATGTCAGATCAGCGACAGGAGAAACTTCCAGCCAGCATACAACCAAAAGGTCTGAAAGGGCTGAGAAAATACAAGGGGGTTTCACTCACACACAAAAAACCCCCAAGCAGAACAGCGTTGGCACCAGCAGAGTCTCCCAGGGGAGCGCATTCTAAATCTGGGGCACCACAACCAAGAAAGCCTTGTGCCAGATTGTTCATTTTACATTTACAAATACAATGTTTTCAATTTATCTCTGCAGCTAATTAGGACTAACATTTTTGTAGACCATCCACCTATGAGCATCTCCTGTGCAAGTCCCATTCAGTGTTCCAGGAAAATTATGCCCCTACGCCAATCATGATTTCTTTAAAAAGAAAAAGAAAAAAAAGCTGGCTGTCTCTTAGGAACTAACAGTCATGCCACAAAAAAATCCCTTTGGAGCCTTTGCACATCTCAGATTTGGGACACCTCAACCAGGAGGGCCCTATCCTGGATTGCTAGGCATTGCCCATTGCTTAAAAAAAAAAAAATCACAATCCTTGGCTGTAACAGTGGAGGAATAAAACCCAGAACAAGACATGGGTCTTCCTCAAAAGCTGTCACACCGTACAGAACAAAGAGGCTGCCTGATTATGGTTACTCATTCCTCTATGCCAATTTTCTGATGCAAATTCTCCCCAACAACTCTGGAACTGCTGTTGATCACAGAACAAAAAATATAGGGCACGATATATATATTTACCTGTATGTTTCCCCCTCTGTCACTGATGGGAGCCCAGGTGGGCAGGATTTTTAGTTGGGAAAGGGTTAAAGGAACCTTTCTGCCTCATTCTCAGTTCATATCAGCCCTGTCCCAAAGCATGACTACTTTTAGCAAAAGGAAGGCGACGCTAGAAGATCGGATGGTGACTCTTCCGCACTGCACTTAGTTTGGCTCTGAGTATTCACCAGACTATAATTCCCAGGTTTCCTCCTGGTTCAAGTTTGCACTGCAGATGGACTTATGATGGGTTACTTCCTATTTTGCCCAATGCCTGCACTGCAAGAGGCAGGTATGTAACACGGCAGAAGGAAAATGTGGGCGTCCCTCTTGTTCTCAAGGTCTTGTGCAGCAATGCCCACTCCGGAGCAACAGCTGGGCCGCAAGGCAGCCCTTTCAAAAGTCATTTCCCGTAGGCTACTGCATGTTGCTGGACACCTGTGTTTCTGCTTCTGGTCTATTGCTGAACTCTCTCTTAACACTTATCCTTTCCCTGCCTTTGTAAAATTCAGACTTGTGGTTTTTTCCCTCTGTTTGGTGGAGCTGACGCACACTCTTCTTTTCTCTTCTTCCTTTCGTATATCAGGAAAGGCTGTGTAGCCTTTTATCTGTATAGCCTTTGTCTGATCTTCCCCCTGCCCTGTTCCCCCCATTCTCGGCTTCCCACCAGATTTGTGATAACGAAATTGCAACCTCCTGGACAAGGTCATCTCAGTGCGGATGCTTCCCCCAAGCTGCCTTGGTTTTGTCCGATGCTTCTGTCCCTGCAGCCTTGGATTTCTGTGCTTGCAGCACCCGATTGGCCTGATTGACTGGTGCTCAGCTGCAACCAGAGCTCTTGTGATGGCTGAGCAATAAAAAGCCATGTTCTGATACCAGAATAGATTATGCATTATTTCAATATATTCTGCTGATGATTACACAGAATTTTCCCCTCTAAAACATCTCCCTCTCCTTAACCACTTAGCACCTTCAGAGATGTCACCATTCACTGCCCATGCGGTTGTTTTTCTAAATCTGTTCAACACCGTAAGGGCTAGAAACTTATTTTAAAGAAAGTTCAGAATGCTGAATCCAATTATATTCTAGACATTAAACGCAGTGGATGCCAGTTTAGACTTTTCTTCAAACCATGTGAGCAAGATGTTGAATCCGAATCAGGACTTGTTAAAAGAAATGGTTGAAAACCATTTTGCGAACCTGATTAACATCCCTGGATGTTAAATTTCAGGTTCTTTCATTTCCTAGAGCTTATAGGAGGAGAGTCTGGGTGAAGGGCTTGGCTCGGCTACCTTAACTGCCCCTCTGCAAGCTATGCTGCCGTTCCTCCAATTCAGGCAGGCCGGTAAGCTCAAGCTGTCTTGTTGAGCGAAGCCGAGGGAGAAGTTGGCCTTGTTTTCTGGCTTGCTTTTCCCTTCTCCAAAAACCAATAGAGAAAAGAGATGTGCTGTCTTGTGAGGCTGCTTAGCTACTGGCCCAAAATTTCGGCATCTTTAATAGCTGTGCGGCAAAAAAGAGATTTGGCAGGTGACTCTAGTGACTCTTCCATCCACTCTCAAACCCTAGAGAGGTTTGAGACGAGAGAGATTCCCCTTCTGCAACTCGGGGTACCGGCAACGCTCTGCCCTCTCCCACCGTAGCTCTCTGATATTGTTGTGATGCTCTTAGGCATCTCCTGTGGCCCATCCCTTCGGAAATCCAGGTTGCTTCCATCTCCCTGAGGCATCTCTCTCTCTCTTTCTCCCCTTGATGCAGCTGACATTGCCCGCAACATGGGTGCCAAGACAGTGATTGCCATCGATGTGGGTAGTCAGGATGAAACAGACCTGTGCAACTACGGAGACTGCCTGTCCGGTTGGTGGCTGCTTTGGAAGCGCCTCAACCCCTGGGCTGAAAAGGTCAAGGTAAGGCCACCCCCCAACTTCCTGGTGAAGATTCCTGTCTGGGTGGGGCTCATTAGTTATCAATCTGTCATATCATTCTTCTTTCTAGGCTTTCAAAAGTTGTTGAATCTCTTGTTTGTTGTCTAGAAAGCACGAATCAGGAAGAAGTCCTCCACCTTAGCATTACTTCCCTTTTCAAATATTGTTGGAGGGGTGGTCCTCTAAATGCGTAGATCTTTTCTTTGTGAGGGATCCAGTGACTTCTCTGCCCAGGAATGTCAATGTAAATAGCGAAACATTAATTACTCACATTACTGCTTTTATATGTTGCGATATAGAACTAGATGACTAGGGACGCGGGTGGCGCTGTGGTCTAAACCACTGAGCCTCTTGGGCCTACGGATCAGAAGGTTGGCGGTTCAAATCCCCGCCACAGGTGAGCTCCCGTTGCTCTGTCCCAGCTCCTGCCAACCTAGCAGTTCAAAAGCACACCAGTGCAAGTAGATAAATAGGTACCGCTGTGGCAGGAAAGTAAACGGCGTTTCCATGTGCTCTGGTTTCCGTCACGGTGTGGCAGAATGTGGCAGCTAGACTGGTGACTGGGAGTGGTCGCCGAGACCACATAACACCAGTCCTAAAAGATGTACATTGGCTCCCAGTACATTTCCGAGCACAAATCAAAGTGTTGGTGCTGACCTTTAAAGCCCTAAACGGCCTCAGCCCAGTATACCTGAAGGATATCCCCATCCTTCAGCCCGGACACTGAGGTCCAGCACTGATGGCCTTCTGGCGGTTCCCTCACTGCAAGAAGTGAGGTTACAGGGAATCAGGCAGAGGGCCTTCTTGGTAGTGGTGCCCGCTCTGTGGAACGCCCTCCCATCAGATGTCAAAGAAATAAACAACTACCCGACTTTTAGGAAACATCTGAAGGCAGCCCTGTTTAGGGAAGTTTTTAATGTTTGATGTTTTTTGTGTTTTTAATATTCTGTGCCCAGAGTGGCTGGGGAATAAATAAATTATTATTATTATTGTTGTTATTGTTATTATTATTCCTTGCACTACACAAGGTTTGGGGGGAAACAGGGAATTGGGAAATGGCTAAAGGGAAAACACACAGACACACACGCACGCACCTTGTCTCTTTGTGGCCACAGAGTGCCTTTGCACTTTCCTTCCAGGTGCCTGACATGGCCGAAATCCAGTCTCGCCTGGCCTATGTCTCTTGCGTGCGGCAGCTGGAGGTGGTGAAGAGCAGTTCGTACTGTGAGTACATCCGCCCTCCCATCGATCGCTTCAAAACCATGGACTTCGGCAAGTTTGACGAAATCTACGTGAGTCCTGGGACCCCAGCTGGGCCTGTTCACATCCTTAGATATCAGGAGCTTCGTCCAGTCATAATGGCTGCCTTTTCGGAAGGCTAAACCTCTCCAGACCACGCATGCCTCCTTGGGAGAGTTGAGCCTTGGAAGGGATTCCCAATGTTCAATCTAAACCTGGTCTAAGCTGTGTTTTCACAGTGCTCAAATTCTTGAAAGAAAGAGATGTCAGGCCTCCTGGCCGCCGACAAAAGATTGGCAGCATCTCCAGTTGCCGGGTGGGGTGCAAATTAATCGCCAGCCCCGGAAATTGTGCTCATCTCCTTGAAACTCTTTTGGAGTCCTTTCATTTATTTATTTGGTTTTTCGAATTACAGTCTTACAATCACATATCCAACATACAACAAACAAGATTCCTCGGAATCTCCTGGACTTCCCTCCTCCCCTTTGTGGGTCCTATTGCTAGTCATTTCCTCCTGCATCTTTTATAATACTCCACATCATTTTGGTCTCCATTATATCCAAAATTCACCATTAAACTACAAGTGTTGCTCCAATCCTACTAACAAATTTATCTGTTTACAATGGTTTTTAAGATAAATTATAAATTTTCCTCGTTCTTTATTTAAAAATGTAAGGTAAGTTTTAAATTTTCCCCATTCTTTATTAAAATTTTGGTCTTCCTGGTTTCTGATTCTTCCGGTCATTTTAGCCATTTCGACTTAATCCATCAACTTAATCTGCCATTCTTCTCTGGTCGGGACTTTATCTTCTTTCTACCTCTGGGCCAATAACCTCCGAGTCCTAGGATGTTCTTTAAAGTTTCTTCACTGTTTGTATGACAAGGGACCCCCACCCACCCATTTGTTTCAAATTCCGTGTGATGTGTCGTTTCTATGGCAACTGCAGTCTCCAGTCAAAAGGTCTTGGGGTCTGCTGCAAAACCCCCAGAAGAACCCTCTTCAAACTTCCTTATAAACCCAGGAAACTTTTAATTTACTTTCCTCTGCCCTTCTCCCATAGGACGTAGGGTACCAGCATGGGAAGGTGGTGTTTGACGGCTGGTGCCGTGGCGACATCATTGAAAAAATGGTCAAGGATCGGCATTCGGCAGACTTCTATGAGAGTAAACGCATGGATGTAAGTGTGGGGATGGGGGATTGGGAAGGAGTCAAAACAGCCCTCACCTGGGGTTCTTTCTGCTGGGCCCAGTTATGGTTGCCTCGACTCAAAAAGGGTACGAAAGAGCTGGAAAATTCAGGAAAGGGCAGCCAAGAAGTTTTTAATGTTTGAAGTTTTAGCGTGTTTTTAATATTCTGTTGGGAGCTGCCCAGAGCGGCTGAAACTAAAACCCTGTGAAGGAAGGTTGCAGCGTTTGGGACTTTTCAGTTTAGGGAAAAGGCGAGTCAGCGATTACACAATAGAAGTTTGTAAAACGATACACAGTATAGTCATACCTTGGGTTGAAGTAGCTTCGGGATAAGTATTTTTGGGTTGTGCGCTGCGCAGTCAAAATGATGTCACACACATGCGCAGAAGCAGTGAATCGCAACCCACGCGGACGTGGGTTGCATTCGCTTCTGGATGTGAACAGGGCTCCGGAACGGATCCCGTTCGCATCCAGAGGTACCACTGTACGGAGAAGGCAGATAGAGAAAAGTTTCTCTCGTAATTAATCTTCTAACTCGTGGACGTCGAACGAAGCCAGACGTTGGAAGATCCAGGACAGATAAAAGAAAGGACCTCTTCATGCTGCACTTAAGTTAAATTATGGAACTCATTCCCACAGGAGTCACTAATGGCCTCCAACATAGATGGCTTTAAAAGAGAATTAGGCCGATTTGTGGAGGAGAGGGCTGTCAGTGGCTACTTGCCAGGGTGGCTATGGTCTGCTCTCCACAGTTGGAGCCAATAAATGCTTCTGAATACCACTGTATTCAGTGTATTCTTGTGCTCAGGCCCTGCCTGTGGGTTTCCCACAAGCCACTGTGAGTATAGGATGCTGGACTCAATAGGCTGTCGGCCTGATCTGGCAGGCTCTTCCTGTAGACTTAAGTTTTTAGCTCCAGGCCCCACTTTATGCAAAATAAGAAAGTGTTGCTCAAAATATTGGACGTACGTAGGACCTTTTGTGACAGGGCAGAAAATAAATCCAAATATGTAAATAAACAAATATTTCCTACTGGAATGATTTGCTTCCAAACTAGGGAAAGTTTTGCAGGCAGAACACCAACCACCCTGATTTTGCACCTGCTAATTACAGTTGTACCTTGGAAGTCAAACAGCTTAGTTCTCGAATGTTTTTTCTCCCGAATACCGCACCCCCGGAAGTGATTGTTGCAGTTTGCGAACTAATTTTGGAAGCCGAACATCCGACGGGGCTTCCGTGGCTTCTGATTGGCTGCAGGAGCTTCCTGAAACCAATCGGATGCTGCATTTTGGTTTCCAAATGTTTTGGAAGTCGAACAGACTTCTGGAACAGATTCCGTTCCACTTCCAAGCTACGGCTGTACTGGCACGCACTACTTCTCCACCTCTGTGTTGTGCATAGACAGTCTCAGCTGCTCTGGCAAACTTCCTTTCCTTTCCTCAGGTACTGATGTGCCCCAGCGCAGGATTCACAGACCTGGCTGAGATTGTGTCCCGTATCGAGCCAGCCAAGAGCTACCTGTCAGACAGCTATGCCGATGGTGAGTACTTATTGCTTAGCAGGTTCAACTTAGTTCAGGTCCCGCTTTTAGCAATGGACCCGGGATGCTTCCAGCTGGAGGTATTTGGGAGCAGAATGTGGCATGCCTGGCACCACAGTTCCCATGTTCATCAAGTTAGCAAGTATATCTTTTAGAAGACATCTGAAGGCAGCCCAGTTTAGGGAAGCTTTTAATGTTGGATGCATTACTGTATTTTAATATTTTGTTGGAAGCCGCCCAAAGTGGCTGGGGAAGCCCAGCCAGATGTGCGGGCTATAAATAAATTATTATTATTATTATTATTATTATTATTATTATTATCATTATCATTATCATTATCATTATCATTATATCATTATTATTATCTCTATGTACATCAAGTAACCAGTGGCAAGACCTTAGCAATGTTTGCTGGTGTTTGTTCTATCTCACTCTTTCGTGCACACAAGCACACACACATAGGCTGTGTGAGCACACCTGGAAATTTACAAAAATCCCACACTAGGGGATTAGGAGCTGCGGCGGCAGCAGTGGGAGGTTAGGCTGAGGGAAGGGTACTGCTTTTTGTCCAGCAACCAAAACCACAGCAATGAAGCTTCTTCTGTGTGCCTGCAAACCAGGGGAAGAGTCAGACTACTTGACTGAGTACGAGGACGAAGGAATGGACACCGTGCGAGAGGAAGAAGGGCAGGAGCTGCTCTTTGCCCCAGCAGAGCCGAATGCTGTCTTTGAAACAGTAAGTCGCCAAAGTACTCTGATTATAGGGCAGCCTCTGAAAATGTTCGTCTGTAGCTATAAATAAACAAAATAGGTTTCCTCTGACTGTAAGGGCCAGCCTGTGCAGGGGAGCCAAAGTCTAGCCTTGAACGCCAGAGGGGGACATGGCCTCCCTTTTCCTGGGTCAGGGGCATTCAAGGCTGTCCAACTGCTCATCCCTTGCTTGGGGCATCTTCACCAACAAAACTGTCCTGCTGGTGCAGAGCATGTTTCAGGGACTGGACGGAGGAGGAATGGTGGGGACTGACCCCTCCTCTTCCTGAACCTTCCCGAGAAGAGGACAGCATAGATTTAGAACAGCGGTTTGCAGAAGGGCATAGTTCAGAGGCTGCAGTGGGGAGAAGCTGGGAAATATTGGGAGAGGAGCTGGAAGAAGCAGCAGACCAGGGGAGAGACAGCTGACAGACTCAGTGTCTTTAGAAAGCATGCCAGACGCCACCACCCCCAGGACCCGGCGTGCATTGAGAGTAGTGGAACAGAAAGCTCAGAGGCAGAAAGCAGAGATCAACCGGCGCAGGGATGATGTAGAATAGGAGAGACAGAGGGGTGGGGCTTTACTTGGAGCAACGCCATTACTGCAATATAGAGGCACTTTCCAAAGCCTCTCTCTGTGTTTATTGAATAAAGGACTTGGTAAGAACTCTTCTAGAGGGACGCAAGTGATGCTGTGGGTTAAACCACAGAGCCTAGGACTTGCCAATCAGAAGGTCGCCGGTTCGAATCCCCGTGACGGGGTGAGCTCCCATTGCTCGGTCCCTGTTCCTGCCAACCTAGCAGTTCGAAAGCACATCAAAGTGCAAGTAGATAAATAGGTACCACTCTGGCGGGAAGGTAAACAGTGTTTCTGTGCGCTGCTCTGGTTCTCCAGAAGCGGCTTAGTCATGCTGGCCACATGACCCGGAAGCTGTACGCCAGCTCCCTCGGCCAGTAAAGCGAGATTAGCGCCGCAACCCCAGAGTCGGCCACAACTGGACCTAATGGTCAGGGGTCCCTTTACCCTTTACCTTTTAAGAACTCTTCTTGTTGTCTACTCCTTGGCTGCCCACCGTGGGAGGGATCAGATTCCCTTGAAGCCTGACAGCATCCCACTGGTGTGTCTGCCATGATGGCAAGGTTTCTGTTCTCCCGCAGTCGTCACGCCTTCGATACTGGATTGCGCCCTGAATGTCACATCAAGTCAATGCCTCTCTGCAGTTCTCTTCCATAAACACTGGTTTCACAGCAGCATTTCCCCCTTCTTTCAGGATGAGGAAAAGAGCCTACGATATCGCCGTGGGACTCATCAGGAAGCCGCTGCCCTTCCGACTACCCCCACCCCCTGAGAGGGGTGCTGCTACTTGAGCTAGAGAAACTGAGACCAAACCTTGCACTTGCCCTCCTGGAAGCTGCAGCGAGGAGCCCTCCAGATCACACCGTTTGTAACTTTTTGCCGCCTGGCTAGCAGGCACGCTGGCCCTGGTGTGCTCCTTGATCCTCTTGCGCCACGCCAGAAGGTGACCCGCTGGACGGAACTGTAGACCTCCCAGCACAAACCGAAGGATGCTGCCAAGCAGATGCTGCTCAGAGTTACCTGCCCAGGTGTGGGGATGGAGCCGGCCACTTTGGCGCCCGAGTGCTTTCAGGGTTCCTTGGCTGGACTGCTGCCTTTCTCCTCCAGCTTTCCCCTACTTGAAACAGCCCTGAAGTGGGCCGGAGAGTGGGGAAGGGGAGGAGAGGGCAGCATTTTACTTACACTACACTCCATTTTTAGGAAGGGGCCAGGGAGAAGACGTTGCAGGTTCCTCCTGCGTTGGCCTAGTACCACGAGGGACCGGTTTCGAATCCTGCCCGTCCCCAGGCAGTGCCCTTTTAGCACAACCAGCTTAGGGAGGGATCTTGCACAGTGACCTGACAAAAGGGAGGCTCTCTCCAATGCTGAGCGTTCCTAGTCAAAGCATTAACCGTTACGGAAGAACCACCGCCGTGAATAGGGTACAGAAACATACCTTGTCCCTATGTTGACTTAACTTAATCCTGCTTTGAGCTGAGCCCTGACACTCCTTGGCATTTATGTTCCTAGCCTGCCTGAGGTTTCGGGCTGTGGCCACACAGACTGTTCTTTATTTTATATTTAAAAAGGGGAAAAAAGAAACGAATGAAAAACCCACTTTTTCTTTGCTTCGGATTTACAGGAAAGAAATGCAGGGCTTATGTTTGGTGGGGAGGGGGGTGTTTATCATGTACTGTATTTATTTATTCCCTTTCCGCTTGGAATGCAAAAGTGCTGCCCATGGGGTTGTCTGGCAGCCCCCCATCCAGACCTTGGGCAGAGCCAGGTCTGCTCATCTGCCTTCAAACCATACATATCCTGGGACCATAAAGTATCTACAAGAAAACAGAGGCACCAAGTTGCCCCCAAGATTGAGGGGGCCTAGCATGCATGGCTCCCCTAGATTTGGCATGCCTGCAAGGAAAACTCGGGAGGGGGGCACAGCGGTTATCACCTTCAGAGCCACCCTTCTTTCAAGAAGATTATTCAGAAGCATTCTTCAAAAAAAGGAGCTTTCAAGGTAGGCAGCTGGCAGGTAGGGTAAGAGAAAGGGCAATTGAATCTTAGGCCGCTGACATCATCATCATCATTATTAGAATTAGAATTTATATACCGCCCTATACCTGAGTGTCTCAGGGTGGTTCACAGAATAAAATCAAGATATAAAACCACAAAATACCTAATAAAAACAACAACCCAATATCGCCCCCCCGAACCAAAAAACACATTTTTAAAGGGCATAGGATGTAAATTGGATCAACCAAAGGCCTGATTAAAAAGGAATGTTTTTGCCTGGTGCCTAAAGGTGTCTAATGAAGGCACCAGACAAACTTCCCTGGGGAGAGCATTCCACAGACGGGGAGCCACTGCAGAGAAGGCCCCGTTCTCGTTTTGCTGACCTCTCAAGGAGACACACGAAGGAGGACCTCAGAAGATGATCTCAGAGTCCGGGTAGGTTCATATGGAAAGGGGCGGTCCTTGAGATATTGCAGTCCTGAGCTGTTTAGAAAAGCAATAAATAGAAATGCATGCTAGAAAAGCAATACTAGTGGGCAGTGGAGATAAAGATCAGGCTGCCAGGTGGCAGGAATAGAGCCTGAAAAGGTTAGATGTCGAAGCTTGGCTCCAGCCTCTTGGATTCTGGGCTTGGGTGGCACTTTGTGTATGTGTGCTTGTGTGTGACTGATTGTCAGCAATGCAGCCAGCTGGGTGGAAAGGGGGACAGGACACAGGGCTGGAGAAGTGATAAGAGGCACACAGCCACCAGGCAGCTGGCTGTTTCCGCCACCTCTTCTGATTCTGGGCTTGACTTCTTGGCATCGGGCAAGAACCAGGCTGCTGATTAGACAGAGGCAGCTTCCTGTTCAGACCCAAGACAGGGTGTGCAATGTGCTTTTCCTGCCTATCTTGTGCACCCAGGATCTTCCCTTCCTTCCGGCCCGGCACTCAAATAAACACTTAGCAGCCTCTCCCCCTATTGCTCACCCCCAACCTCTAGTTCAGGGGGTGGGTATCTAACCTGTGTCTTTCCAGATGTCCCTGAACTACCATTTCCATCGTCCCTGACCATTGACCATGCAGGCCAGGGCTCCTGGGGTGGAAATGCGGGGGCTCACATGAGCCACCCTTACCCAGGAAGCAACATGGACTAATTTTTTAAAAATCTATTCATGTTGGATGTGTGCTGTATTGATGCAGATGGGTGAAACAGGTGAGTCTGTAGTTTCTCGGGATGGCAGGTTAGATCTTGCCGCACCTTGCCTCCTCTCCTTGGCACAGCTTTTTTGTCCATATCCTACGGGGCTCATCTGGGTGTTTCACAGGGCGGGTGCCACTACCGAGAAGGCCCTCTGCCTGGTTCCCTGTAACCTCACTTCTCACAGCGAGGAAACCGCCAGAAGGCCCTCGGCGCTGGACCTCAGTGTCTGGGCTGAAAAATGGGGGTAGAGGCGCTCCTTCAGGTATACAGGACTGAGGCCGTTTAGGGCTTTAAAGGTCAGCACCAACACTTTGTCCAATGTGACCAGCATGGCAGCAACTTGATAGGCAAACATTTAATTCAAAGAAAACTGTTTTGCTGCCTGAGTGTTTGATTGTGGTTCTCTTTGCCAGAAGGTTAAAAACGTAGCAAGACTTGGCCGCCGAACTAATCCTCTGCCCGGACCTCCACAGCTGCTGGCACTGCATGACTTCCTACTGGAAAAGGATGGTTGTCAACCCATAAAAGAGATTGACTAGTACTATTGTATGCACCTGGGCATTTAATTGTTTACATTTCTGTCCTAAGCTGCACTTTAAAATGGCAATGATTATCATAATATGGCAATGCACTCAGCTGCCATATATATCTCACGAAGGCAGAAATCTCTGCAGATTGCTGCTGTTATGCAGGTAGGATTCATCCACACACCAGCAGATTCAGGTTTGGCATTCTTGTGCAATGAACCTGGTGCTGCTGCTGGAAAAGAACAAGAATACTTCTACCTGTAAGAAAAGTGACTGGAAAATGCATTGACCTAACAGTTGCTTGACACAATGTCTTTTAACCAAACCGGAAATAATTTCAATAAGCATCTGACATTGTGAACCCTCCCTGCAAACTTTGTGCAAGCAAATCGGGATGAACGCTCAAGAAACACGTTGTCCGGAAGACACCTAACAGTTCCAGTCCCAGCTTAAAAGCAAGCCCGTGTTCAAGATGGTTTAACACTTACAGAGAAAGCCTTTGGCTTTAAATTTCACGGGAAACATCCACCCTCATCCAGAGAGCCTTGTTTGCAGCAGTGAACTGCAAGGCTGCTGCATGCAAATATATCCCTTTCAAACAGAGATAGTGCCATAGGATGGAGTCATTTGGGAGGAAGGAAGTAGATTCACTCAGGGTTGAATGCAGATTAGGCAGGCCCGTGAGTAAACCGGGCTGATGTGAAGAAATGGACTTTTGCTGTGTGAGCTAAAACCATTCTGTGAAATGCTGATATGTGGTTATTGGCTGGTTGATAATACATTACCAAAAGTGTTCGTTTTGGTTTTTTTGTTCTTTGCGTACATACACACACAAAAAAATAGGAAATTTTAAATTAAATTTGAAGCTCTGTCTGGGTTTCCTCTCTCAAGATCTCAGCTTTCGCCCATCAGGTGGTGGCAACCAACATTTGCCCACCAAACAGCTGCTGTCTAGTTTAGGGCACCATGGGAGAGGTCTCATTGGTTGCACTTTGCAGCGAGGACCTGAGAGCCATCCTTTGAATGCATCATTTCCTTCCTGGAAGCCAGCCATGGTCTTTGTGGCATCCTCCTGCTCCTTGCCTTTTGGCCCCGCAGTTCTCTGTTTATCAGCCGGCAAGCATCCTCTGTTGGGCTTTCCGAGGAGCCTTCTGCTGTGATGGCATCGTGGAAGGGACTCTACAGAAATGTTGACCTTGGGCTAGAAGACCCAAAGGCCCCTGAGCAGAGGAGTCAAGCAGGTATGTGGCACAGAGTGAGGCACATTAGGTTAGCCATATTTATTTGTATGCTGTTGGTGGATTTTTGTCATTGTCTTCTTGGGCTGTGTATGTGATAAAGGGGAGCTATACCGGGGTGAAGGCGTCTTCAATCTGTCCCCATGTCAGTTTCAGTTTATTGGTTAATTTTTCTAGTAGGGCTGTTTCCCATACTATTTGGTACCATTGGTCCATGCTTACACCTGACAGGTCTCTCCAGTGTCTGGCTATGATGCTTCTGGCTGCTGAAAGTAGGTGGGTTATGAGTTCTTTGTGGTGTAAATGGGCATTGTTGTCTTGGGAGATGTTTAGTAAGGCCAATTCTGGGGTAATTTCCACCCTACTCACACATGAAAACAAAGACCACCACAGCCAACCACAAATGAATAACCACACCCTAGGCCAACCCTAACCTCTCTCACCACCCAAGCAACACAAGTGAACAGCAAAGAACCTGCACAAGCAACACTGACACCAAACCCTACATATAGTAAGTAAAATAGAAACATCGCCACCCCCACCCATCTATCCCCCCCACCACTTTCCCCCTTTTCTTTCTAATGTCTCAACAAATGAAACTGATTTGTAAAAATTTTACATGGGGGGCGGGAATACGAGAGAGAGAGGCATTGCACACATTTTTGTAAATCAAGAAAATCTTTAATAAATAAACAGAGTGAGGCGCATAGGAAAAGGGTCCATTGCTGAGGATTATTAGGAGATGGCAAGGGTCCTGGTGGAGCAATCCCAGAGTTGATGATCTTACTCCTGCCTCCATTCCTAGCTCCGTACAGGATGCAGCTTCAACCAAGGCTGTTGTGTTTTTATCTCTCCCCCCCCCCCACCCATCCCTAATTGTGCCCACTTATTTTCTCCCAACGGCACACAACTTCTGTAGGCGCGGCAGACCCCTGATAATGGTCTAGCCCTAAAGTGGAGCTTTCCAAACATTTTCATGTCGGTGGCACACTTTCTGGACATGCACCGTTTCATGACATGGTACCGTATTTTTCTGTGTATAAGATGAGGTTATTTTATTTAGAAATTATGCTAAAAATTGGGGGGTCATCTTATACACGGATAGTGGAGAGGTGAGACTGGCGTTTGGTGGCTGCCGGTAACAAGAGATTGTAAGCGGCGTTTTTGTGGGTGATTGGTGGGTGTGGCAAACTCCACTGGCTATTGACTGCTGCAGCAATTGGGTGGGGTGATTGGCACTTGCTTTTGTTAGGCGGGCGTGCCGATGATGGGTGGTTTTGTTGATGTGGTTGTGGCGGTCCTGTGGGTGAGTGATATTCAGCAACCCCCCCCTCCCCAAAAAAGCTAAACAACTGGGCAATCTCCCCCCATTTTCTCAGTCTGGAGTCCCAAATTATACAGGGGAGGAGGCATGTTATACACAGAAAAATAAAGCAATTCAGTTTTGCTGGCAAACGAAAGGTTAATCTAACCCCTTTCCAGCTCTGGGAGGATCAAGGGGAGCATTCACACAACACACCTACACACTGCATCCGACACACTTAACATGTCGCAACACACAGTTTGGAAAGCTTTGCCCCAAAAGGTTTATGACTCTAGTTGAATTCAAAAACATTTCTTTGTCCATGAAAGCCAACAACTGCTCTCGCCCAATGGGTTAGGTTTTTGGATTTGGGTATCAAGAGGCATCGTCTGCTTCCACACCAAAGGCAAAATGCTCCCAGGTTTCCTGAGAAGCCCAAAGCCTTGAAGGAGTCAGACAGGCAGCTGAAGCACAGCTGGCAAAACACAGAACCAACACTCCACTTTCCATGGCAGAGAAGTCTCTTAACTGCTTTACATTTGAGTGACACTTTGGCTGAAATAGCTGCAAAGCAGACATGGGGAAGGGTTAGGGAGTGAGAGGCGTTTTAACTTAATGTGCAGCAAAAACACAATAAATTAAATGAATTAAACAACACACAGTTTTTGCATGGTTTGCATAATCTGTCCCCCCCCCCCAATGGAATTTCAGCTTCTCTCCTCACACAAATGTTAGGTTAACTTGATGCAAAGTGCTTTTTTCAGTTAGTTTTTTGTACAGACCACAACAAGTTCACTGTCAGACCCTCCAAATGTCCCTATTTTCCAGGGACAGTTCTAGATTTACAGAATCTTCCCCGGTTTCTCATTTGATCCTGGAATGTCCCACTTTTCCTTAGGACATCCGTATTTTCATCGGAGACCTGAGTTTTCTGACCCCCGAGCCATCTGAAGGCAGCCCTGTACAGGGAAGGGTTTTTTTAATGTTTTATTATTATTTTTTATATGTTGGGAGCCGCCCAGAATGGCTGGGGCAACCCAGTCAGATGGGTGGGGTATAAATAGTAAAATTATTATTATTAAGGAATAGGATGTCCCATTTTCCATTGGAGAAATGTTGGAAGGTATGTTATTGAGGTCATAGGGACCACACTTACAGATGCATTTCCTTGTCCTTTTCCTTATCATGAAAAGACTGTTTCTGCCAGGGAGGTGAGTTTGTCAAGCACATCACCAACAATACATGCACAACCTGGCTTGGCCTGTATGTGGCCGGATGACACCCCAAAATAGTGACAGTCTGGAAATGCCCTAACTTAGCTCCTGCTTTCCTCCATGCAGGCACCAAGGAGTACCCCGAGGAAGAGAGTGTCTATGAGCCCTTTGATGCTGTGGCCAGTTTGGAGGGCAAGCAAGCAGGACAGGTGGCTGTTCCATGGCACCCAGGTATGTCCGGCCTGAGCTTCAGGGGGATCCTCAGGGGGTCTGGAGTTCACTCACAAGTCACCACGTATTGCCCTGGGGCTGTTCTTTAGGCAGTGGGCTGGGGGGGGGGGGCGGGAAGTCCCATTAGCAGTGGAGAATATTGGAGCCTCACCACTAAGAAGGCCATGCAAAGGACCTACTTATTTATTTGGGGAAGAAAAGATAAGAAAATGGAGAATGATTTGTGCAAAGTAGGAAATGGGAAGCCTTCCATATTGTGCAGGGCAGTGATGGCCAAACGTGGCTATCCAGCTGTTTTGGGACAACAATTCCCATCATCCCTGACCATTGGTCCTGTTAGCTAGGGATGATGGGAGTTGTAGTTCCAAAACAGCTGGCCATCACTGGTGTAGGGAGATGATTTCTTGAGCCTGGTGTTCATTTACCTCCATTCGTCCCCCAACCCCGCCCAAACCCAGGGCTGTATTTTACAATGAACCCCAATGTTCTAGACTCCCCCCATTGTTAAATTGTATTTTGGAGGTTGCTTCCTTTTTAGTTTGCTTACTACTGCCTTTTTTGTGTCATAAAATCTGATGCTGCTGCTGCTGCTGAAACAAATAAATAGCAAATGGCCCCAAAGCAATAAACTTATAGAGTTAAGAGTGCATTGCAGAGGGTTGGGTTAGAGGACCCTTTGAGCTTTCTCCCGATTGAGGTGCAGAGTGTTTGAGGACATTCGCAGGGAAACCAAAATGCTTGTTTACAAAGCTAATGTACTACTAACCTTACTGTATGCTTGTGAAACATGGAGCACTTATAAACACCATCTCCAGCTCCTCAAAAGATTGTCTCTGAAATCAACGGTGTGTCTGAAAAATTTTGCACATTACTTGGGAAGACAGGCAAACTAATGTCAGTGTACTGGAAGAAGCAAAGATCACCATTGATACTGAAGCAATGATTCTTCAACATCAACTTGGTTGGACTGGTCATGTTTTGCAGATGCCTGATTATCGTCTTCCAAAGCAACTACTCTATTCTGAACTTAAAAACGGAAAGCGTAATGCTGGTGGTCAACAAAAGAGGTTGAAAGACTCTCTTGAGGCAAATCTTTAAAAAATGTAATATAAACCCTGGCAACAGGGAAACACTGGCCTGCGAGTGCTCCAACAGGAGAAAAGCCTTTACCAAAGGTGTCATGGGCTTTGAAGACACTTGAACTCAGGACCAAAGGGAGAAACGTGCTAAGAGGAAGGCACGCTTGGCAAACCCTCACTGTGTTCAACTCCTGCTTGGGAACCTGTGTCCCCACTGTGGAAGGTCGTGTGGATCCAGAATTGGCCTCCATGATCACTTATGGACTCACTGTTAAAACCTTGTTTACAGAAGACAATCTTACTCGGCTAGGAGTGATTGCGAAGAAGAAGAAGAAGAAGAAGAAGAAGAAGAAGAAGAAGAAGAAGAAGAATTCTGTGATACCGCAGGGATTGGTGTGGCAGGTGAGGGGAAGCTGGTGACAGAGCGGAGGTGGAGAACAGGCAGAATGACTCTCTCTCTCTCTCTCTCTCTCTCTCTCTCTCTCTCTCTCCCTTTCTCAGCTGGGAAGCCATCTTGGACACGCAAGGTGGTTTTAGTAGCTGTTGCTGCTCTGCTGGCTACCTCGGTGTTCCTGAATGTGCTGCTGCTTGCTGTGGGAATTATGCGCTGTAAGTGGTCTGCTGGGTCTCTAAAGGCTGCTGGGGTGCCAGGTAGGGGTTTGCCAGACTGATATACTTTCTTCCTGTATCATTCAGAAGACATGCATGGGACCCTGGATGTCTGCCTGGATTCTCAGCTGGGGGAAAGGCATAGTTTAGTGGTCGGGTGCATGCTTTGCATGCCATAGGTTCCTCCCAGGTTTGGCCCCTCACACCACCTCCATGTGGGGCTGACAAAGACCCCTGCCTGAAACCCCAAAAGCTGCTGCCAGCCAGTGTAGACAATACTGAGGTAGGCTGACAGTGGTCTAAGCCAGTGGTTCCCAACCATTTTTTGGCCATGCCCCACCTAAGCATCTCTAAAATCCTGATACCCCCACCACCATGACATATCATTCTTATTATTCAAAAAGTGAACTCTTATTCATGTGGAGGCAGCCGAAAAGGCCATTAACTTGGTCTAAACAAGCTTCCAAATTTCCCCCCTTAAAAATCTAATTGCCCCTCTGTGGGGCATGTGCCTCATGTTAGGAACCATGGGTCTAAGCTCAGTATACAGCGGTTTCCTCTGCTCCCCAAGGTGGAGCTTCATTCAAAGTGCATTATAGTCAATTGCACAACATTGAAGTGCATTGAAGCAGTGTGTGTGTGTGAGAGAGAGAGAGAGAGAGAGTGAGGGAGAGTTTAAGGAGAGTTAACTTAACTCTATGCAACAATTTTCCTGGCATACACTGATTAAAAAAAACCAGCAACCAAGAAAGGGAGCACTAAAATGGTACGAAAAGTGATGGTTGACACTTTCAGATGTAAGTTCCATATGGCCACTTGGTCAGTGAGGCTTGGTGAGTACCACGCTCCCTTTTCAAGCCAGTGGTAGGATATCACTTTTAGGTAACGCCGCTAAGACTGACACACGCACCCCGGGGCCTTCAAAGTTTCTTTTTCACCAGTTGCTACTGTGAAGGTAGCCTCCGGCGCTGATCCTTCAGCCAGCCTGTAGTAATAATAATAATAATAATAATAATAATAATAATAATACAGTGGTACCTCTGGATACGAACGGGATCCGTTCCGGAGCCCTGTTCACATCCTGAAGTAAACGCAATCCGGGTCTGCGCGGATCGTGATTTGCCGCTTCCGCGCATGTGTGTGACATCATTTTGACCGTATGTGCATGCGCGAGCGGCGAAACCTAGAAGTAACGCGTTCCATTACTTCCGGGTCACTGCGGAGCGCAAACCGAAAGCACTCAACCTGAAGCAACTTCAACCTGAGGTATGACTGTAATAATAATAATAATAATAATAATAATAATAATAGTACCCCACCCATCTGGCTGTTTCATCAGCCACTCTGGGCGGCTCCCGACAGAATACAATAGTACCTCTGGTTACATACTTAATTTGTTCCGGAGGTCCTTTCTTAACCTGAAACCATTCTTAACCTGAGGTACCACTTTAGCTAATGGGGCCTCCCACAGCTGCCTCACCACCACCGCACAATTTCTGTTCTCATCCTGAGGTAAAGTTCTTAACCTGTGGTACTACTTCCGGGTTAGCGGAGTCTGTAACCCAAAGTGTTTGTAACCAGAGGTGTTTGTAACCCGAGGTACCACTGTATTAAAAACACAATAAAACACCAAACATTAAAAACTTCCCTAAACAGGGCTGCCTTCAGATGCCTTCTAAACGTCAGGTAGTTGTTTATTCCCTTGACATCTGATGGGAGGGCGTTCCACAGGGTGGGTGCCACTACCGAGAAGGCCCTCTGCCTGGTTCCCTGTAATCTCACTTCTCGCAGTGAGGGAACCGCCAGAAGACCCTTGGAGCTGGACCTCAGAGGGTGGAGATGCTCCTTCAGGTATACTGGGGCCGAGGCCATTTAGGGCTTTAAAGGTCAGCACCAACTTCTTCTTGTTGGCTCCCTGCACAGATTCTAAGATGTCTGCTGCTTTGGAGCAAGCGCGTGCTGAGAACAGGAAGCTCCAAGAGGCAGGTGAGTGTCTGTGGGAGTTGTGGCGGACCTTGTGGAGGAGCTCAAGACCCCCTGGCTCTGCCCCTGCTGCCCCAAGGCTGGAAGGTGGTGCTCAGCTCCACATTTCAGGCTAGGCGCACGAGTGCAGGTTTTCTGGAGAGCAGAATAAAAGTTCTGTCTTGGTACTTCCCAAAAGCTCTGCAGAACAGTGATGTGCTTGGCTGTGAAATATCTTTTACTTCTCGTTTGAAAACGATATACCTGCTGATAGCCAGCCTAGGTGGCTGACTGGAACCAGAGCCAGCCCACCCATGAGGCAGGGTGAAGCAGCTGCCTCAGGCGGCGGAAGTGGTGATGCAGGCAGGGCGGCAGAAGGCACCTCGGGTGGCAAAATGGGCTGGGCTGCCCCTGACTGGAACCAACAGGGGACCACTAATAAACAAGAGGGAGAACGATGGGCTTGCTGAGGAGAATCCAGAAGTATGCAGATGTTTAAAGTGTCAAAATGGGTGGGAAATAAAAGACTCCAGGGACGACCAAATAATTCTGTAAAGAATTATCTCTGCAATTCTCAGGTGCAGCAGGGAAGTCTATCCCATCATGAGTGCTGAAGTAAGAGTCATCCGTCAGCACAGTCAGCTTCTGGAAAGGGAAGGGTGCCATTTTGTCATTTGCCTCAGTCGGCAAAATGTTTTAGGCCAGCCCTATTTATCCCAATCACAAATCATTGTGTTTCTCAATTAAATGACCAGTTGTCTCAGTTAATATTAAACAGAAATTAGTCTCTTCAGTCCAACAGGGCTGCTTTTTACTGTCTCTGTCAGAAGCTCCATGTTCCAAAAATGCCTCTCGGGGTTGTTCCGTGTTTCTAGATGTTCCTTCCGCCTGCTGGTGAGAGCTTCAGATCTCATGAGCTCCTTCAAACCAAACTATGATGACCTCCAGCTCAGTTTTGGAGCAGTTCAAGCACCCTGACGGCTTGACCAGATTATCCATAGATGTATCTGGGACTGCTTTATTCAAATTCTAGACTAGATGCTCAGATGGAACATGGACAAGAGTCTAAGCTCTCTTATTACAGTAGGTTTCTATTCTACGTACTTGCAGTGAAGAGAATAGTACTCATTAAATATTGTTTTAGTGGCAAGCACGTGGCTATTTTGCCAGAACCAAACGCCTCTAGAGTAATTGACAAGGAATTGTATGTCTCCTTACAGCCTCCCCATCTATCTCATCCTTTTCACTATTTCATCTATCTCATCCTTTTCATCTATTGTTCTTTTGAAGGACTCCGTGCTCACATTCATTTTTCCCAGCTGGGAGTAGGGGGAAGAAGCAGCTCCTTTTGCAAAGCCATCTTGGACATTCCCTAGTCACTGGGGGCCATTTGCCTGCAAAAGAGAGGATATCCCAACAGGGCATGTCATTTTAGGGGGTGAAACTTAATTTTTGCAAATTTGTCAGCGAGGGGGTGTTAAAAACATGTTTTTGGGTGTGAGGAAATCAAAACTGCTATTATTTTTGTGACTGGACAACATTTAGCTTACCAAGTCTACATCTGAATAAGAATCAAATAAACTGCTTTGAGAAAACCAAATAATTTAAATTTTTACCTTCTGAAAGTGTCAGGTAATATAAAATATGTATAACATATAAATCAAACTAATATAAATATATAACATAACTGCAAGTACTTGGCAATCATTTTTAATGATTTCTATGTGATTTTACACACATTTTATTTACCAAACAGAACTAAGTTATATCAGTTTAACCAAAATATCTTTTAGATTCCTGAGTCATTTTACAACTTTTTATCACCCCTCATTTTTTGGAATTGGAAAGTTGACAAGTTTGAAATGCCCTGCTTCCCCAGGCTAGGATAGGATAATTTCCAGCAGTCCTATAAAAAATGGAGCAACCAGCTCAGCAAAACCCACTCCTACAATCACAGAATCACAAGTATGGTAAGGACCCCAAGACATCATCCAGCCCCAAGCCCTAACTCAGAATATTGCTAAGGAATATAGCAACATCTGAGCTGGCAATTAGTCCCAAACTTATTAGTTAGGTGCAAGATTAATAGCGCCAATAACATCTCACTGGAAATCCACAAAATTTCCAAGAATCATAGACTGGGTTTGAATGTTCTGGAAGATAGCTTCCCACAAAATTAACACATTTTGTCATGCCCTCCTCAAACCAATACATATACGGGAAAAGGGGCTCCCTTAATCCATTTTTGGAACACATTTCGAAGATAAAATTAAGCCCCGTATTTGTTTCTCATCGTTACTCTCTGCCTACTAAAAATATTATAATATATTGTCAGGGCAAGTCATTATTTTTGTCAAAATGTCTATATTTTAAACCTTGCCGTACTTAAAAAACATATGTTTAATGCTAATTTAAAATGGCTATATTGAAATTGAAATGTTGAGTGAGTTCTGAACATTGGCAGATGCTGTTCTAAATAGTCTTCACTGGCTACAGGGACGTGGGTGGTGCTGTGGTCTAAACCACTGAGCCTCTTGGGCCTGCCGATTAGAAGGTCAGCAGTTCGAATCCCCGTGACGGGGTGAGCTCCCGTTGCTGTCCCAGCTCCTGCCAACCTAGCAGTTCGAAAGCACACCAGTGCAAGTAGATAAATAGGTACTGCTGTGGTGGGAAAGTAAACGGCTTTTCCGTGCACTCTGGCTTCTGTCAATGTGTCCCGTTGCGCCAGAAGCAGTTTAGTCCTGCTGGCCACGTGACCCGGAAAGCTGTTTGTGGACAAACGCTGGCTCCCTCAGCCTGAAAGCGAGATAAGCGCCGCAACCCCATAGTTGCCTTTGACTGGACTCAACCATCCGGGGGTCCTTTTTACCTTTACCATTTTACTGGTTATCGATGCCTAGCCTGGACTGTTGCTTTGTCTTGCACTTTATATACAGTGAGCGCTCGGGTTGCGAATGTGATCCGTGCGGGATGCATGTTCGCAACCCGCGTCTGCGCATGCGCGGGTTGCGATTCGGTGCTTTTGCGTATGTGCAAAGCTCGATTTAGCGCTTCTGCACATGCACGACTGCTGAAACCTGGAAGGAACCTGTTCCAGTACTTTCAGGTTTTGGCGGTCCGCAACCCAAAACAACGCAACCTGAAGCGGCTGTAACCTGAGGTATGACTGTACTTTACTGTCTCAGTCCTGTTCTCTGGTAAGAAGCTGCAGAGACCTGACTCCATTTGTTCTCTCGCTCTCAGTCCCTTTCATCCTCTTGTCCATTCACTGCCTGCCTGCCTCTGGCTGCTGTCATTCCTCCATGCTAACTCTGTTCCCCTTGCCAGTCCCCAGCTCCTTCTTGCTGTACAATGAGAACCGCAGTCATTGTGTGACGAGGAAGGAGCCCAGCTCTCTCACACAAGCGCCCTGTGACCCTAGGAACTGGCTGCAGCATTTTCGGTGGTTCTCCAGAGGCCTCCTCCTTCACATGCATTCACTGCTCTGCGTAGCAGCACCCAAGGCCAAAAGAAAGGAGACCGTCCGTCTGGAACCCTGCAATGGGACGAACCCGCTTCAGCGGTGGGAATGCCGCGATCACGATCTGCTGGCCCTGGAGGGCAAGGATCTGTATTTCAACTACGGCAACAGTCTTGACCGGGTGGTGATGCTGTTTGACGGCAACGGGCCCTGGAGTCGCTGGGTCACCTACAGCACCCGCCAAAACATCTGCAGCAGTGAGTCCTGACAGGGTACTTCCCCCTTTCAGCGCATGCCCTCCAACATTTCTGCAATGAAAATAAGTGGTGGTTAAACTACAGAGCCTAGGACTTGCCGATCAAAAGGTCGGCGGTTCGAATCCCTGCGACGGGGTGAGCTCCCGTTGCTCAGTCCCTGCTCCTGCCCACCTAGCAGTTTGAAAGCACATCAAAGTGCAAGTAGATAAATAGGTACCGCTCCAGCGGGAAGGTAAACGGCATTTCCATGTGCTGCTCTGGTTCGCCAGAAGCGGCTTAGTCATGCTGGCCACATGACCCGGAAGCTGTATGCTGGCTCCCTCGGCCAATAAAGCGAGATGAGCGCCGCAACCCCAGAGTCAGTCTCGACTGGACCTAACGGTCAGGGGTCCTTTACCTTTTTATTCAATAATAATAATAATAATAATAATAATAATAATAATAATAACCCTTCTACCTGGGTTGCCCCAGCCACTCTGGGTGGCTTCCAACATATATAAAAGCACAATAAAACATGAAACATGAAAAAAAACTTCCCAATGCAGGGCTGCCTTCAGATGTCTTCTGAAGGCCATGTAGTTACTTATCTCTTTGGCTCGGCGGTCGCATAACTCCATACCCTCCAATATTTCTCTGATGAAAATTGGGACATCCGAAGGGAAAGCGGGACTTTCCGGGATCAAATCAGAAACTGGGGTAGCATCTGTAATTCCGGGACCGTCCCTGGAAAATAGGGACACTGGGAGTGTCTGGGGTGGGTGTGTTGGGGGTGAAAGCCCGTGCCAAAGGCTATGGGATGCTAAGAACCGACAGCTAAACATGCTATTTGTGTCCTTCCCATCCCGAGACATGTTTCTGTTGTACTGCAACCATTTCTGTCTGCAGACACTCTGGCTCTCAAAAAGCTCAGCAAAGACGGATGCTAAAACTCATCAGCATCTGTTTTGGGGTTGGCACGGCTCAGATAAACAGCTGCCCTGGACCTGCACCTCCATGGACAGCTATGAGTCCAAAATGACTCCCAGGCTGCGCACCTGGTCCTTCAGGGGCACAGTTTCCCCATTCAGGACCAGAGAGCCCCACACACCTGCCTGCCCCCTGTCCCCCCAAAACAGTACTTCTATCTTTTCAGAATTCAATCTCAATCTGTTAGCCGCCATCCATCCTCCAGCCGCCTCCAGACACTCACACAGGACATTTGCCGTCTTCACTGGTTCTGATTTAAAAGAGAGGTAGAGCTGGGTCTCAGTGTTGTGAATGTGTTATAAACATGCAACACCACCAGATGGCACTGTACAGCACAAAACTTTTCTATGTGATTTTACATAGCATTTCCCCCTTTGCTATAACGATTTAATTTATGACTTGTTTTTCCCCCTGTATGTAGATCCACCCTTGGTTTCCCTGCCTTCTGCCCCACCAGTCCAAAGGGCCCTAAGCACCACTGGGCATGGCGGACACCCTGTAGCATGAGAGGGAAGAAAGGTAGGCAACCTAGTCAAACCGAGTCTTTCTTCTTCCCAGTTTCCCAGTGCCGGATTTACATATAAGCTAAACAAGCTCTAGCTTAGGGTCCCACTCTCTTGGGGGGGCCCAAAAAAAATTTAAGGAAAAAAACCTGGATGTACATTTCCAAAATATAAGATAAAAAAACAAATAAAATAAAACCTACATACAGCAACAGTGTTTTGTGTTGTGTAGGCTCCTATGTTGTAAGTAATGGGCTCCGCCTGCTAGCCTGCTCCCCGAAATATCACTGGTTTGCTCATTTCTATATACAGTATAGGGTGCCTACATTCTGCTATTTATAATATAGTTTGCACCATATATTTACACCTATTATTATTTCATGCTATGGCAAGTTTCTAGAGACTAGATTATGACTAGATTATGAGTAAATTGTGTTTCTAAAGGAACTTTTGTTATTGCCAAAATCATTTTAAGTTAGAGCTTAATCATTATTTCACTATTAATGTACTTCTTCTTAATTGTATTTCACTATTAATATACTTACGGGACACGGGTGGCGCTGTGGGTTAAACCACAGAGCCTAGGGCTTGCTGATCAGAAGGTCAGCCGGGTGAGCTCCCATTGCCTGCCCACCTAGCAGTTCAAAAGCACATCAAAGTGCAAGTAGATAAATAGGTGCCGCTCTGGTGGGAAGGTAAACGGTGTTTCCGTGCGCTGCTCTGGTTCGCCAGAAGCGGCTTAGTCATGCTGGCCACATGACCCAGAAGCTGTACGCCGGCTCCCTTGGCCAATAAAGTGAGATGAGCGCCGCAACCCCAGAGTCGGTCACGACTGGACCTAATGGTCAGGGGTCCCTTTACCTTTACCTATTAATATACTTCTTAATTGTATTTCAGTTCAACAATTACTTTGATAAAATACATATGTTATTATGTGCAAATGGCTTTAGATACCTATTAGCTTCCTACATTACCATATAGCATATATTCAACACAAAAAACACCGACAATTTGTTGTTGACAAAGGGCTGCTGGACATATAAAAGGCCCCATTACCTTCAGTAGCTTAGGGCCTCATCAAACCTAAATCCAGCCCTTGTCCTGCCACCAAGTGGATATTTCTGGTTCAAGCAAACAGTCCTCTAACGTTTGGGACTTTAAGTGGCCTGGTATACTCCCTACACGGGCAGAGTGATATGGCGCTTGGTCATGGGCAGAAAAACAAGTTCTCAGGCTATTCCCCTCCCCCCCCCAAAAAAACCCCAACAATGATTTCACTTGATTAAACTATTTGACTTGTTGCTTTACTGAAAGCTTAATAGTTTTGAGGAATCGTTGGAGTATCTGGTATGTGATGCTGTTTTCCTTGGGTTTTTGTAGCTCTTGGCAACAAAACAAGTCCAGTCGTGGAGATATGAAGAATTGTGGCCTGATGGGAAACATCTGGATCTGTGAGGAACAGCTTCTGTTCAGTGAGGTGCAGTCGCCAACTTTGCCATCCTGCCCCCAGCTTTTTCGGCACCACCAAAATCACTTCCCGGCTCACTTCCATCTCCTGAATGAGGGGTGCTAAAAATTTGTAACATGACTTGGGAATTCAAAATATATTTAGGTAAAATTAATATCTTTTATTGTGCGTAAAATTGCACAGAAATCTTTAAAAATGATTGCCCAGTACTTGCAATTAAATTGATATTATTTCTATATATTATATATTGTTTTTATTGTTTCTTCTTATTTAGCATTACCGGACATTTTCAGAAGGTAAATTCTTTGGTTTTCCAAAACAGTTTATGTGCTTCTTTGCCAGCTGTAAACTTTACCAAGCTAAATGTTGTCCAGTCGCAAAAATAAGATGATTTGAATTCCTCACACCCAAGAACATATTTTTAGGATTCCTCAATGAAGAAATCTGCTAAAATTAAATTTCACCCCCCCCAAAATGACACACCCTATTCTCTCAGTCAAAACGGAATGCAAAGAAAATGAAAGTTTTCAGGCAAAACAAGTTCTGAAGAAGTCTGGGAAATGAATGTGAACTTGCTTATTTCACTGAAACATGCTCAGTGTGCTGTTATTGTCCTGTTTGTTCTTCTTCTACAATCTGCACATAGCACAGCTTTATTTTATTGGTATGAAGCTTCAGAAATTTCTGAATCTAGGGATTTGTAAAATGTTTCATTTTGCTTATTTGCACGTCACCATCATCTGTGGAAATTGTGCTTTAGGACAGATCCTGTCCCCCGACTCAGCTACACAGCTGCAAATAAATCGTTTTAAATGTGCTGTAAAGTGCAATATACAAATGTGACACTAGATGGCGATGGTGAGCTATACCAAATTCAATGTCTTTTTCAAAATGTTTTTTGTAAAAGCATTTTCACAGTGTTTTTTATACGTGTGTAGATTCCACTTCCATGACATCTAATATAAAGGATCAAAGTCATTATTTTGTGAATGCAAGTACACTTTTTTTCCACGTTTTGACCATCCGCACAATGAAGTGGTAGCGATGTGTATTCTACCACATCACGGTGTGTGTGTGTGTGTTTACTTTTTAATTGGGTTAAGAAAGGAACACTGGACTTCCCTATTAGAGAATTAAGGGTTTTGTGGTATGGAGGTTGGGTGGTTTTATATTTAGTTCAGCCAAGTGCTGGAATGGCGGAAAACGACTGTGGCGCAAAACAGGATCGAGGCCCCAAGATACATCATACGCACGTGAATACCATATGCCTTCTCCCACACTGACGTAAACAAAAACAGCCAGACTTGTACATTCACAGATATTTAATTGTCCATAAGGACATACAAATATTTTTTTTAAAAAGCCCACATCTTCCGTACCGCATTTCTTCATTAGGCTGGCTATGGCTTTGCGCTCCCGAGTTGTAGAACGTGGTCTCCTATCAGCTGAAAACTGCATCGCAAAGGCAGAATTAAGGGGAAACGATGGAAACCGAAAAGGATGTGGAAATAACCAACACACGCACACAGCATTCTGGGGATTGTGAAATGGAGTTCAGATTTCTCAGCTTGATTATGGCCTGGCACCCTAAGGGTCTAAAACTCTATTGCAGGGGACACAAACTGCTGGCACGTATCTTCTGGCGTTATTTGGTCAAAGGAGCACATGAGCTGCTCTCACACCCCTCTGCAGTTCTGTGGCAGCTGCTGGCAAGGGAGGTGCCAACTGTATTGGCATATCAGCAAGTGGGGAGGCGGGCACAGGCTGGGGCTGCCTCAGTCACATGTAGTTAGGCCCTCTGAGACACACCTTGCCCCATGGCATGCTTGCCCCACTTGTATAATAAAAGGTTTAACCAGGCCTATGGGAAGAGCGTCTTGGCCTAGCCGAATATGGCGGACTGAGATGAAGCGAGTGGCGGCCATTCTCCACTGGAGAACTTCCGCCTGCTATGAAAGAGAGGAACTAGCCAAACAGCCGGTGCCGCAAAGGACCGCCAGAAGCTGAGATGCTTCCAAAAAAGGTGTGCTCAGGTAGAGTCAGACTCACACTTCCTGTCACACAGGGGCACATCCCATGTTGGGGGGGGGGGCGGAATTATTGGAAAAGGGCTTGAATATAATACTGCCAATATCGCCGTGCCATTACAGAAGGCCTAAGGTGCAGCCACACTTGAAACACTGTGTAAAAAGTCCTGGTTGCCATGATTCAGAAAAGATATTGTAGAGCTGGGGAAAAGTTCAGGAAATGGCAACCAGAAGGAGCAAAGCCTCCACGAGGCTGCAACTTGGGAGTGGGGTTGTATAAGATTGTGCATGGAGAAAATGGATGGGGGTGTGTGTTCTCCCTCTCTTGTAATACAGTCGTACCTTTGAAGTCAAAGAAATCTGCTCCAGAAGTCCGTTTGCCTTCCAAAACGTTCGGAAACCGAAGCACGGTTTCTGATTGGCTGCAGGAAGCACATGCAGCCAATGGGAAGCCGTGCTGGACGTTCGGGTTCCAAAGAATATTCACCAACTGGAACAATCACTTCTGGGTTTGCGGCATTCAGGAGCCAAAACGTTCGACTTGCAAGGCGTTTGGGATCCAAGGTACAGCTGTTGGCTACCCAACGAAGCTGACCGTTGAAAGATTCGGGACAGACCAAAGAAAGTCTAGTGAACAGCTAATCGTGTGGAGCTTGTTGCCATAGGAGGTAGCGATGCCCACGCACCTTGGTGGCTTTCAAAGGATATTAGACAAATTAATGCAACATGAGCCTATCAATGGCTTCCATCCATGATGGCTACATTCTGGCTCCACCGCCAGAGGCAACAGGCCAGTCGCTGAGATGTTGTAACTCAGGTCCTCGTTGGCCACTGTGAGGGCAGGATACTGACCTAAATGGGATAGTGGGCTGATCCTGCAAGTACATGTTCTGATGCAAATGGGGGCAGGGTTATTTGTTTTTCTGGCAAGGTGGCACAATTCTCCTTTTCTCACATCCCACTTGGCAGCAGGCTATTTCTGCATTTTAGCAGAAATTTAGCAGTCAGGGGGCGCTAATGATGCCGTAGAAAGGTCTTGGCACCGGAGGGGGAATCTCAGCTGCGCAGCAATGCAGAACGAGAGGGAGAATCACACTGAAGCCCCTGTCACAGACGGGGCTGCAAGAATTTTCAGAGAATGAACTGGGATCCCAGCCCTTGCACTTTTAGTGTCTTCCAGGGCAGAGGAACAAGCTGGGTTTGGGGTTTCCTGCCTTGCCCCTCCTCCCAAGACTTGGGCATTTCATAGAGTTTAGCCTTTCATTTTCAGGTAGGGTTGCCATACATCCGGAATTTCCTGGATTACTGTAGCCACAAAGCAATGTCCGGGTGGAAATCGGCTAAATGTCAGCAGTGTCGCTTTTGCTCAGAAATAGCTCAAAAGCATCCAATTTTGCAAACTTTTCTGTCTGGATTTTCACTTTTTGAAATATGGCAACCCTACTTTCAGGCAGGAAGAAAGTGAAAATGAACTGCTCACTCAGTTCCACAGTCAAAACAAAAGCTGAGCCATTTTAAAAACCGTAAATTAGAATTAGGGGAACACGGTTAGGCCTGGCCTCAGCAGGCAGACCCCTTGAACCAACTGGTCAGCCTTGTCCCCCAGCAGCATAGCGTGGTTTGCTGGTGCCTGGAGCAGGCTGGGGTTCACCAGGGGGGTGTGGCATGGAGGGTGAATGGAGCCTGCTGCGCCAGCCCAGCCCTCACCACCAACGCTGCCAGAGTGCCCCCCACCCCATCGGAGCCAAGCAGGGCTGCACTGCCTGCCCTCCTGCACAGTGGGGAGCCTGGCCAGCCAACACGGCCCTGGGGCCATCTTGGGACTGCCAGGGGGCTATGAGAAGCCAAATGTGCAGCCCCCTCTTAAAAAATGCACCAAGGGACATCGCCCTGGCAGCCCACCCTTCCAAACTATGCCCCTGCTCTCCCCTGCATTGATGCCTGTCTTCGCCCCCCACCCCAAACATATTTTCAGTGCTCCAATCAGAACCAGGTGGCTTCGAGTTCTTGTTTTGATTTCCCAGAAAGCTCCAGTTTCATGCTCCTTCAGGGGCATTCTGGGAAACTGAAATGGAAGTTCTTGGCTGCCCAGACCACTGCCTCTGACAGATAAGCCCACCCACAAGAGGGCCTGGAGGACACTTTGCCAAGGGCATCCCTCAGACCTGAGCTCAGGCACAAACTCGCAGAGGAGCCTAGCCTTTGGCAAGCGACAGCTTCACAAACTTGTCTCCCATCTATAATAAAGGGAGGGTAATAATACTGACCCACCTTCGAGGGTTTGCTGGAAGTGCTCTGGATGATGAGGGGAAATGTGCTACTTAAATACTACCGATTCCACGTTATCAAGCAAAGAAAACAACATCTTGGTCAGCTCCTCTCTTCCTCGAAACCGCCGACACGCAGGAACAAGAAACGCTTCCTTCCTGTCCTCACACTAAATTTCACGGTGGGAATTTAGGAGGTTGAAAGCACTCTACAAACTGCACTCTGGTAGCCAGAGTCACAGCGAAAGCACCTCCCTTTGGGAAAAGACATACGAAAACAAAACGAAAGACGGACCACTTGGTTCGAAGTACCGTGATCCAAAAGAATACTGATAAGGAGGCAGGATCAACCGCCTGAGCTTGGCTTGGTCACAGCCTGGCTGTCCAAAGGGCCCGGCAGAGGCACACTCGGCCCTTCCTTAGGCCTCGCAATGTTCTGCCCCGAGAGAACGGCTCACAGGCAGACATTGATTTGCTTGGAAAGCTCTCGCTCGAGGTCCAAGATGAGGGCGTCAAAGTCCTTCAGGTTGAGCCTCGCGCTGAAGGGAGCCTCGGGGTCTTCCACCAAGGCGAAGTCCCCTACGAAGACGGCTCGGTTGTGGTGCGGCAGAGTCACCTCTCCGTTGTCCTCTTCGTTGTCGCTCTCGCTGCCAGCCACCTCGTCGTAGTCGGTGTCGCCGCCCGGCCTGGGCCCCGCCAAAAACTGCTGCTCACACACACTCCAGTCCCCAGCGTAGCGGTTGCTGGGAGGGCTTTCCAGGCCTCGAGGGCGGCTCCGGGCCACGACGGTGGTCTGCAGCAGTGGCAGGTCCAAGGGAGGGCGGCAGTGGCGTTGGGGTGGCTTGATGGGCAGGGGGCAGTCGCTCTCCTCTTCGGTTACCCTGCGTGGGGCTGAAGGGAAAGGGAAAGCAAGTTAAGAAAACCCAATGCATCTGGTTCACTAAGGCCTGAAGCACAGACCCTCCAAGTCTCCCTATTTTCCAGGGACAGTCTTGGATTTATAGAAGCCATTACAGTTTCTTTTATTTTCGGAGAGCAAGTGTGGTGTAGTGCTTAAGAGCAGTGAACTCGTAATCTGGTGAACCAGGTTCGATTCCCCACTCCTCCACATGCAGCTGCTGGGTGACCTTGGGCTAGTCACACTTCTCTGAAGTCTCTCAGCCTCACTCACCTCACAGAGTGTTTGTTGTGGGGCAAGAAGGGAAAGGAGATTGTTAGCCGCTTTGAGACTCCTTAGGGTAGTGATAAAGTGGGAAATCAAATCCAAACTATTATTATTATTATTATTATTATTATTATTATTATTATTAATTATTTCTCTTTGATTTCACAAATATAAATTTATAACCATACTAAATACACATCCATATAAAGAGATTACTCTGAATCTCAAGATCCCCCCCATGGGTCCTACTGTCAACATTTTCAACTACATATTATTTCATAATCTATATTTTGTATCCATCCATATTGTCCATAGTATTTGTTACATTACAAGTGAGATTAAAATCCTGCTAATGTTTCAGAGTGGCTGGGGTAGCCCAGTCAGATGGGCGACATATAAACAATAACATTACAGTCGTACCTTGGAAGTCGAACGGAATCCGTTTGGGAAGTCTGTTCGACTTCCAAAACGTTCGGAAGCTCCTGCAGCCAACTGGAAGCCACGGAAGCCGTGCCGGACGTTCGACTTCCGAAATTTGTTCGAAAACCAGAACACTCACTTCTGGGTTTCGATTGTTCGGGAGCCGATTTCTTCAGGAGCCAAGGCGTTTGAGATCCAAGGTATGACTGTATTGTTATTATTAAATTATTATTACTTCAGGGTGAGCGCTGGCAGGTGCCGGGCCCTCCATGTCACTGAAACTCAGAGTACCGCATGCCTCCAGCCAGCCCCTTCCTGGGCACCTGCCCTCTCTTGCCCACTAACCTCTCCACTTGGCACTCACCTGGCCAGGACTGCAGCAGGTAATGCAACACTTCGATGTGGTGCTTGAAGTCCATGGTGCTGGCAATGGTGCGGTGGTGGTGGCTGGGGCCACAGGGGCCCGGCCCCGCTGCTCCCTGGCTCAGCAACACAGGACCAAAACACACAGCCAGGTTCTGGGCGTTCATGCGGTTGAAGGCATGGAAAGCAGCAACCTGGCTGAGGTGATCCAACAGCATTGTCAGGGTGGCCTAGAAAATGGAAGAAGAGGCAGCTTGCTTCAGATCAACCTCATAGACGCTGGTCTGAGGCCGATACCCAAACAGGGAATGATCTTAAATTGGGAGGGGTTGGGGAAAGGGGAAAGGAGGTCCTGAAGCTGCAGGGATACAGTGTGGAGAAGATCCCTCACCTGAGATATATGGTTATGCCTCTCCTTGGTACTGTTCAGGTGAGCCCTGAAGTCAAGGCGGCTTTTTGTGAAGGGTTCTGCAAGGGGTAGTTGCCTGTCTCTTTTTCATCTGGGATGGTTTTAGTGTAGCAAGGTACAGTGGTACCTTGGTTCCCCAAATGCCAAAAACCAGGAAGTGTTCCGGTTTTTGAACGTTTTTTGGAAGCTGAACGTCTGATGTGGCTGTTGGCTATTGTTTCCGGGGTGCCTGCACCAATCAGAAGCTGCACCTTGGTTTTTGAAACTCAAATGGGCTTCTGGAACAGATTAAGTTTGGTGCTTTTGTTTTTGCTACTTATTTTGCGTTTTTGTTTTTGAGGCTTTTTTGGTTAATTTGTTTTTGTGACTGTGTGGAACCCAGTTCAGCTACTGATGGATTGATTGATTGTGTGATTTGGAAATGGATAAAAGCCCCCCATCCAAACAATGACTATCATCAGTGCAGATAAGAAAAAAATGTAATTTTAAATTTTATCATCTACAATACTGTCTTATTTTATAGTACAGTACATTGATTATATCTTTCATTTTATGGATCCATGGTGTCATTAAATAGTAGAATTCATGTTAAATTGTTGTTTTAAGGGTTGTTTTTAAAAGTCTGGAACAGATTAATCCATTTTGCATGACTTACTATGGGAAAGCATGCCTTGGTTTTGGAACACTTTGGTTTTGGAACGGACTTCCGGAACGGATTAAGTTTGCGAACCAAGGTACCACTATATATAGAAAGATCTCCGATATTTGATGTTCGTCAAAATGGCACTAGCTTCTGCAGGAAGATAACTGTTTTGAATGGAGTGGTTCATGCATTTATTAAACAAACGACAAGGACCTAGTTCTGGTGTTCCGATCCTTGGAGCCTGGTACCCATTTGCCCATCATGCACAAATCTTTTGAGTTTATGCTACTTGCTTAGCCAGAATGCCAGTGGCTTCCCATTGGAAATTCCAACACCTCCTTCCCAAAAGTAGGGGATGTTGCACTGTCAGGACACTTGACACAAAAACAGAGAGTCCTTAACAGACCACTTTTATTCGACTAGGTATACGTTTTTCTACAATGTTAACTCATCTGCATAGCCCACTAAACCCCCTGCTCCACAATAAAGGCTTTAGCAAGAACTAATTTGGCTCACCTTTTCCTTCTTATATGTGATAAATGTACGTGGCACTGCACTCTCAGTGGTCTCCGTGTTTTCCCCTCCCCTCTGTATTCTCATTTTATTTTTCTATTTGCATTTTTTTACATTCATTACTCTTACTACATTTTGCATGTGCTCATGTCAATAACCATTCTGTATAAAAAATGACGACAATAATAATGATGATGATGATGCTTTTTTTCAAAACAACAGCAGTGACAACAACAGGTAAAGACCTGGGAGGAATTTGATGGTCCCGGTTCTGATGGGAAGGAAATCACGTTTCCTTCAATGGGGAGTCCAAAACTCCTTCAAGGGCCACATTGTGGTCAGCCTGTTGAGGCTACTACACTACTGGGTATACTGGGTTGCAGGTGGCGCTGTGGTCTAAACCACTGAGCCCCTTGGGCTTGCCGATCCCAAGTTCGGCGGTTCGAATCCCCGCAACAGGGTGAGCTCCCATTGCTCAGTCCCTGCTCCTGCCAACCTAGCAGTTCGAAAGCACACCAGTGAGAGTAGATAAATAGGTACTGCTGTGGTGGGAAGGTAAACAGCGTTTCCATGCACTCTGGTTTCTGTCGCGGTGTCCCGTTGCGCCAGAAGCGGTTTAGTCCTGCTGGCCACATAACCCAGAAAGCTGTCTGTGGACGAACGCCGGCTCCCTCAGCCTGAAAGCGAGATGAGCGCCACAACCCTTTGACTGGACTTAACCGTCCAGGGATCCTTTACCTTTACTTTTTTTTTTTTACTACTGGGTGTGTCACCCTTGGCACAAGCAGAGAGGCCTGGGCTCAGAAGAGCTGCCATCCTGGGGGGGGGGGGGTCCTCACCTTCTCGGCCTCTGGCAGGCAGTCCAGGAGAGCTGTCGTTGTCGCCTCTTTCGCCTCCTGCCCAGCCGCCCGATTGGACATGGCTTCCAGGACCACTTGGTACAGTGGGTCAGTGATGAGAGGTGTGGGGAGCTCACGCAAATAATCCTTCAAGATTCCTGGCGGTGGGGACGAGTGGGGAGGAGGAAAGGAGAAAATACCTCAGTCCTTTTAACCATCACCGCGGGTCTCCTCCCATACTCAGTCCTTACTAGAGATGGCTCCTGTCATCATGGTGCTGAGAGAGTAGTTCTTGCCACACCTTAAACTGCCCTATCTCATCATAAGGGACATTTTCAGGCAAAAGCTTCCTTCACAGAGGGAGGACTGTGAGGGTGATGGAGGCAGGAGGGCTGGAAAGGGGCCAGTCCAGACCCCTTTTTTGCTACAGACCTACACAGCTGCTCTTCCAGACTGAAACAGAAGGATGATGCGGTTTTGATTTATTTTTATTAAAACTATTTTTATATATGCATTTCCCTGAGAGTTTCAAGACATCCCCATTTTCACGGGGTTTGCCAGTTCCTGGCCCTCTGCTCATAATCTCTCCATCTCTCCCTCTCTCCCTGTGCTGGGGAGATTTTTGCCCCACCTCTCACCTCACCATCTCTGGAGCTCCAGAAAGCGGAAGGAGAACCAGCGGGTGGAAATGGCAGGGTAGCGAAACCGTCAGAGAAATGGAGAAACCGCCCAAAACGGGCAGGGTTGCTTGACACAGGGGGGCAGATGGCCGCAGGAGGTGGAGGCATTTGCTCGAGGCATTTAAGCAAAGCCTGGATGGCCACCAGTCAGGGATGACGCAGTTGCATCCTGCACTTCGGGGCTGGGCTGGATGACCTCTGAGTTGCTTTCCAATGCCTATGATTTGGAGCTTGCCTCCCCATGCCCCTTCCCATGATCCTAACAATTGGCAGATTCTGCCTTCTCAGAAAAGCCCCGCCATACTCCAGGCCTGCCAACAGGCCACTTCTCCGACATCACATGCACACAGCCCTGAGCACTTGAGGTTTGGTCAGAAGTATTAAGGGCTGCAGAGAACTGCGATGCCCTGGAGGACCCCCTCATTGTCCCTTCAAAAACACCTGCCTCTCATAAGTCAAAATGCATGCAAATAGGGAGCAAGGCAATTTTGTGGATAAAGGACCAGTATTGACTTTGGAAGCAGTATAAAACCAGGAGTGCCTGTCAGTATCTCCAGCCAGGAGCAGACAGGAAGCACAGCTGCATAGATGTGTCTCTACCTGTCCCCAAAGACTCCGCGGAGCAGCCAGAGTCCACAGGGAAGAGTACGAAGCTGGGGGTCAAGCCCACTGACCTGTAATGACATTGATGTCTGGATAGAGGTCCTCTGAGAGAACCACGGCAGTGCTGTCCCGCTCAAAAGCATCACGCAACTCCTTTTTCACCGCCGCCGAGCCGCACAAGCGATACAAGCCCACAACCTACAAGCAGGACACAGCTGGTCACTTGGGCAAAAGGGCCCCCTCTCCAGAGGGCTGTTCCATAGACCGGGTGACCTGGCTGCAGGAAAACCTGGGAGAGAGGGAGGAGGTCTGGCCCGAAACCTGAGGCCCATTGGCTTAAGGCATTTCCCTGGCAGGTTCAGTAGTGCATTAGGGCATGCTGAGTTTTTCATCCTTCAAATTCCAAATGTGAAGGGTGCTAACAAGTTGTAACGTGACTTGGGAATCCAAAAGATATTTTGGTTAAATCAGTTTAGTTTCATTTGGTCAACAAAATGTGTATCGAAGTACAGTCGTACCTTGGATTTCAAACAGCTTAGTTCCCGAGCGTTTTGACTCCTGAAAGCCACAAACCCAGAAGTGACTGTTCTGGTTTGTGAATTATTTTTGGAAGCCAAACGTCAGACAGGGCTTCCACAGCTTCCGAATGGCTGCAGGAAGCTCCTGCAGCCAGTCAAAAGCCATGCTTTGGTTTCCGAACGTTTTGGAAGTTGAACGGACTTCTGAAATGGATTCCGTTCGACTTCCAAGGTATGACTGTATTAGAAAAGAGGGAGAAAAAAACCCTCCCTGTCCATTTTCTCCATGCACAATCTTATACACCCCCACTCCCAAGGTACAACTGTACACAGAAATCATTAAAATTGCCCAATACTTGGAGTTATATTTTATATTAGTATTAGTATTATTTATAAATCATACTGTATTTTACATTACCTGGCACTTTCAGAAAGTAAAATCAAAATCCTTTCCAAGAGCAGTTTATCTGCTTCTTAATCAAATGTAGACCTACCAAGCTAAATGTTGTCCAATCACAAAAATAATAGCAGATTTGATTTCCTTACACCCAAAAACGTGTTTTTAAGACTCCTCACTGACAAAAATTTGCAGTGATTAAGTTTCACCCCCTTAATGGCCCATGCTATGCCTTCTGGGAAGAGCCTAGGTCGAGTGGAGATGGGTGGATGGAGAGAAAGAGAGATAGAGAGAGGGCATTTACCTTTAATCCCCGCTTCTCAATCTGGGCAACACACTTCTGGATCAGCAATGGCACTTTGATGGCAGCCCCTTCCCTCTCCACCAGCTGGCTCAGCTTCACTCCGAAGACTTGGGGCTCCTGTTGGTTGCTGGCTGGATCCCACTGGTCTACCAGGGTGAGCTTGATGTAGAGGAGGCCCTGTGGCTCCAGCTGCATGGCAAGCTGTTGGCTCCTGCAACCTGGAAGGAGGGGCAGCCGAGAGAGATGCTGTGAGGATGGCCTGGTCCCTCAACTCCACCCCACGCCCTTCCCCTTGGCAAAGCCACACTATCAGGCCAGCTCCGGTGACATCTGTCTTTGTCAAGTGACAACCATGGAAGAGGCCTGTCCGGGCACTTCAGCACTTTGGACAGAAAACAGGGTCTGTGATCACATCTAGATCTGTCCTCACCCACCCCTTCTGTCACAGAATTAGCCACCACTCCCCCCACCCCCAAACCAGGTCATGTTTGGCCCAAACGTCCAGCGCTGAGGGCCTTCTGGCGGTTCCCTCGCTACGAGAAGCCAAGTTACAGGGAACCAGGCAGAGGGCCTTCTCGGTAGTGGTGCCTGCCCTGTGGAATGCCCTCCCATCAGATGTCAAGGAAATAAACTACCAAACTTTTAGAAGACATCTGAAGGCAGCCCTGTTTAGGGAAGCTTTTAATGTTTACTAGGTTATTGTATTTTAGTGTTTTGTTGGAAGCCGCCCAGAGTGTCTGGGGAAACCCAGCCAGATGGGCAGGGTATAAATAATAAATTATTATTATTATTATTATTATTATTATTTTATTACTTCTGTGACCCAGGCTATTCATCCCCTCTGGCCAATAAGGGGATATCAGCCCACATACAGGGGCAACACATTACCTGGTCTGGCTTCACCAGTTCAAATCCACTCTTCCCCAAGCCCCAGAGCCAAGATGTCAGGCTTCGGGGAATCCTATCCCTCCCACAGTGGCAGCCAGGAAGCAGATAAACAAGAAGAGTTCTTACCAAGTACATTATTTAATATTCACAGAGAGAGGAGAAGGAATGCAGTCTCTCTTACAAGTCCCACCCCCTCCATCTCTCCCATTCTGTGTCATCCCTGTACCGGCTGTTCTGAGCTTTCTGCCTCTGAGCTTTTTGTTCTACTACTCTCAATGCACGCCTGGTCCTGGGAGAAGGGAGGTCAGGAATGCTTTCCAAAGACACTGAGTCTGTCAGCTGTCTCTCCCCTGGTGCTGCTGCTTCTTCTTCCTGCTGTTCCTCTCCCAATATTTCCCAGCTTCTCCCCTCCACAGCCTTTGAACTATGCCCTTCTGCAAACCACTGTTCTAAATCTATACTGTCCTCCTGTTCTCAGGAAAGTTCAGGAGAAAGGGACACAGTCCCCACCATTCCACTTCAATCTAGCCCTGAATTTTGTTATTTTGTTATTGTCCTTTTTTTGGGGGGGGGGGGTATGCTGTCACTGTTGAAAATACAATGGAGAGTTATTTGCAGGAATTATTTTGATGGCCTTTGGAGAGGATTCTGTTCTGCAGTATATCAATGCCCAGGGAGGTGCAAGTAATAATACAGTGGTACCTTAATATATTACCACTGTGATATATTAATACTAGAATAATAATAATAATAATAATAATTAATAATAGTACCTTTACTTCCCTCAAACCTCTCTGCTTGCCCCCCTAGAAACAGACTTATCCACCTGCTGCTTAATAATAATAATAATAATAATAATTTATTTATTTATACCAGCCCATCAGGCCAGGTTTCCTCAGCTACTCTGGGCAGCTCCCAACAGAATATTAAAAACATGATAAAACATCAAAAATTAAAGACTTCCCTAAACAGAAAGAACCATTGCGATGTAGTGGTTAGAATGCTAGAAACTCAGCCATGAAACTCTCTGGGTGAACCTGAACCAGTCACTGCCTCCCAGTATGTTATAGCTAGATTTTTAACTGAATGATTTTTATTTTTATTTTTGGTAAGTTATTTGACATCCCTGGAGGAAAGTGTGATTATAAAGAATAATAATAAAGTCACTGCCTCTCTGCCTGACCTACCTCACAGGGTTGTTGTGGGAGTTAAATAAGGAGAGGGAAGAACCACACAAGCCACTTTGAGCTCCTTGGAGAAAAAAGGCTGGGTTTTCAATGGTGGGGGGGTGGGAGAAGATAATAAATCACCTTGGAAAACATGGGGCAGAAGGATGGAGCCGTGGCAGCAGACTCGGTTCTTGCCCGCCGCAGGGTCACACGAGAAGACCACGACTTTGAGGAGCTGGGCGTCCTCAAGCTCCAGCTGGAAGGAATGGTTGAGACTGAGGAAGGCTGCTTGGCAAGGCAGAAGGGCCGTGCGGGCCTTGTTGACCGAGTCCACCTGTAGGACACAGAAGACCTCCTTCGCTTCAGCCTTGGGGGGCCTGAAGTCCTGCACCCCCAGAAGGTGGATGCTGACCAGGCCGGACAGGTGCTGGAGGCAGCCAGGCTGCTCGGCGAAGCTGTACGGTCGGAAGGACCCCCCTTCGAGACCCAGGCAGGCCTCAGGCTTCGCCAGGAGGTCTGGGGAGTCTCCGTCGCTCAGGTAGCCCCCTTTGCTGGCGGCCTTGGCCCGCGCCAGGGTCTGCCGGGAAGCCACGCTGCTGTCGAGGTGGTAGCGGCTAATCACGTTGCCCGACTCCTTGGGAGAGGGGCCTCCGTCCGCCTCTCTGGTCCGGGAGCTGCGCAGGCTCAGCTTCCGCCTCAGTTCCGGAAGCTTCTTCATCTTCATCGAGAGGCTGCGCACGGGGCCCGGGGACTTCGCCTTGGAGAGGGAGTGGCCCTTCTTGGGGGCACTGGGGCTCTGGGCCGCTGACACGGCGCCCGCGGCCCTCTCCTCAGGCTCCGCACTAGCGACTGCCGCTTTCCCTGTGGAGAGAAACTGTATAAGATAGGTCAAACCAAGTGCCACTCACCCAGTGGGTATCACCCCCGAGGCGGGGAAAAGAGTGGCAGCTGGGCTCTGGGGTGCTGTTCCGACTGGGGCTGGTGGAAGCCGTAGTCCAAGACCCCTGGAGGGCACAACGTGGGCAAAGTCTCCGTTACAACGGCACTGCAAAGAAGAATATGCCAAAGCCAAACAAAACACGCACTAGAGAACCCACAATTCAGCACCGCAGGACCATTTTCACAGGCGATGGTTATTATTGACAGGTGTATCAGCAGCTTCTCAATAAAGATTCAGTCAAAGAAATGCACAAATATAGTGGTGCCTTGGTACTCAAACGCCTTGGTTCCCAAACGCCGAAAACCCAGAAGTAAGTGTTCCGGTTTTTGAATATTTTTCGGAAGCTGAACGTCCGATGTGGCTGTCGGCTATTGTTTCTGGGGCACTTGCACCAACCAGAAGCTGCGCCTTGGTTTTCAAACATTTCAGAAGTCAAACGGACTTCTGAAATGGATTAAGTTTGGCGCTTTCGTTTTTGCTGTTTATTTTGCATTTTTGTTTTTGAGGCTTTTTTGGTTAATTTGTTTTTGTGACTGTATGGAATCGAGTTCAGCTACAGATAGAAGATAGATAGATAGATAGATAGATAGATAGATAGATAGATAGATAGATGGATAAAAGCCCCCCATCCAAACAATGACTATCATCAGTGCAGGTAAGGGGGGGAAATAATTTTAATTTTTCTCATCTACAATACTGTCTTATTTCTTTTATAGTACAGTACAATGCTTATTGCTTTCATTTTATGGATCAATGGTCTTGTTAGATAGTAATATTCATGTTAAATTGCTGTTTTAGGGGTTGTTTTTAAAAGTCTGGAACAGATTAATCCATTTTGCATGACTTTCTATGGAAAAGAGAGCCTTGGTTTTGGAACGCTTTGGTTTTGGAAAGGACTTCTGGAATGGATTAAGTTTGAGAACCAAGGTACCACTGTAAAACCAGAGACTCCCAAACTTTTTTGAGCCACCGCCCCCTTGGTTCCATAAACTCGTCCCCAGGGCCCCCTCTGCTACCCCACAAGAAGCATTATTCAGAAGAGAGGTCTGCATGCACAATCCACTATGCAAGAAAGCAACACAATACAACAGCAACAACAAATTGCACATTTGTTCAAAATACGATCAAAACGAATTAATTCAGCAGAACTGAAGGAACCTGACCCAGTGATACCAGCTTTTCAAAGTCTGATAGTCATTTACACCTCCAGTGCCCCCCCCCACCGCAATCCCCTTGTGTCTTAGTGCCCCCCAATTAACCCCCCCTCCTCGCAGGAGGCAGTGCCAGCCACTCTGTGTGCCACTGATCTAAACGGACAATAAAGCAGCCTATTAAAATCTGCTTTAGACTGAGTTGGCCTGTATTGGAAGACACAAGATTTACCCACCCGGGAAGAATGGCAGATGAAGTTGATGGACTATATGGAATTGGCAGAAATGACTGGCAGAATCCGAGACCAGGGAGAAGAGTCGGTGGAAGAATACTGGAAAAAGTTTAAAGACTATTTACAGAAATATTGTAAAATTAATGAATGTTAGAAAAATGTTGGAATGAAGTTATATGGCTTTAGTAGAAATGTTATAAGGAATTAAGTATAAATAGATTAATAGAGTATCAAAGGGAAAAATAAGGCTAGAATCTGTTAAGATAATCAAAGGATAGAAAGAAGAGGAAGATGGAAAGGAATTGCTGAAACAATCAACAGAAGTGGAATACAAAAAGGGAGGTGTGAGGAGGCCACGGAAATAAGTGAATGAAAGATAAGATATTGAAATTGTTTGATTTTTTTTAAACTGTTTTTGTTTTGTTTTGTTAGTTTAATGTGTTATGTAGTGTTTTTGTACTGTATTGTATTGTTCTTTTTTCTTTTTCTTTTTTTATGTGTTTAAATTGTTGGAAAAGTAATAAATATTATTTTTTTTAAAAAAAATAGACTGAGTTGGCCTGTAGTGCAATGGGTGCTGTAAGATGCAAACGGGCAGCTGCCAGGCTGGGACTGTGGGGAAGATGAGGACAGAAGGGCCGCTCCCTGGCAATGAGACATCAAGCCAAAAGGAAGGCTGGGAACGGGCCACAAGGGCTGAGCAGCAAAGCCTTCCTGTTAAACCAGGGCAAGTGGTTCAACCATCTGAAGGCAGCCCTGTTTAGGGAAGCTTTTAATGTTTAATAGGTTATTGTATTTTAGTGTTCTGTTGGAAGCCGCCCAGAGTGGCTGGGGAAACCCAGCCAGATGGGCGGGGTATAAATAATAATAAGAAGAAGAGTTTGGATTTGATATCCTGCCTTTCACTCCCCTTCAGGAGTCTCAAAGCGGCCAACAATCTCCTTTCCCTTCCTCCCCCACAACAAACACTCTGTGAGGTGAGTGGGGCTGAGAGACTTCAGAGAAGTGTGACTGGCCCAAGGTCACCCAGCAGCTGCATGTGGAGGAGCGAAGACGCGAACCCGGTTCCCCAGATTACGAGACTACCGCTCTTAACCACTACACCACATTATTATTATTATTATTATTATTATCCAAGAGCAGTTCCACGTCAAAACCCTGATGTGGGATACTCGCAACGTCAGAGGAATGAAACTCACATGACGCCCCAAGGCGACCTGGCTTGCTGCCCTGGGACAGCTGTGCCAGAGGAGCAGTTAATTTGGCCCTGATATTATTATTTTTTAATGTATTTTTATAAAAGATTTTCTTAGTTTACAAAAGTATGTGCAATCTCTCTCTCTCTCTTTTTTTCTCCAAGTAACATTTTTTTTACAGATCAGTGTCATTTGTTGAGACATTAGGAAGAAGAAGGGGAAAGGGGGTGGGAGATGGGTGGGGGTGGGTGGCGAAGTTTCTATTATACTTAAGATATGTGGGGTTTTGTGTCATTAATTTGGTCCTGATGATGAGAAAGGAGAAATGTCATAAGAATGGGGCTTGGAGGCCATGGGGCGAGGGGGGGAGGCAATGGGTGAAGCATAGGGTGGATAAAAATCAATGGTTTTTTTAAAAAAAAATGATTTTTTTTATTTAAATAGTATTTTTAAAATGAAATGCTTTTGGAGGAAAAAATTTTCTAAAGATGGTTTTCTGTTTAAGTTACATTATAGTCCAAAGGCTATTCATCAGGAAATAAGGATTTAAATTTTTCATGTGTGCTAAAACTCAGTCTGAGTTTCTTTTTTAAATAATTGTTTAACCACATCAGTTAACAAAAAAGGTACCGTAAAAGGTAAAGGACCCCTGGATGGTTAAGTCCAGTCAAAGGCGACTATGGGGTTGCGGCTTGCAGGCTGAGGGAGCCAGCGTTTGTCTACAGACAGCTTTCCAGATCATGTGGCCAGCATGACTAAACCGCTTCTGGTGCAAAGGAACACCGTAACGGAAATCAGAGCGCATGGAAACACTGTTTACCTTCCCGCCACAGTGGTACCTATTTATCTACTTGCACTGGCGTGCTTTCAAAGTGCTAGGTTGGCAGAAGCTGGGATAGAGCAATGGGAGCTCACCCTGTTGTGCAGATTCAAACCGCCAACCTTCTGATCGGCAAGAGGCTCAGTGGTTTAAACCACAGTGCCAAATGATTGTTTTTCTCCTTCCAATAAAGTGCAGCAGAAAAGTTGTCTAAATATAAACCGTTAGCTTATTAAACCTCACAATAATTTCATAATTATCTCCCTATGTATTTCTAATAGTATAACCAAATCAGTAGTTTTTGATGTAAATGTAAAAACTACTCTGAAAATTGATTATTCCAAAAATGAAACCTGCATTGGGTTGTAAATATTAAGATTATTCCAGCAAGAATGAATCTTTCTGTAAAAAAAAAAAAAAATTAAAAAATTAATAAAGTCTTTACTAACTCGTGATTTAAATCAATTTGATTTAAATCAAATCCACCCTGGTAAAGCACCTGTAAGGCAGCAGGGGAAAGGGGGAAATACGGAGAAGTGATGCTGTAAACCAGGAAGGGAGAACCTGTGGTCTTCCACAGGTTAAAGGTAAAGGTAAAGGGACCCCTGACCATTAGGTCCAGTCATGACCGACTCTGGGGTTGCGGCGCTCATCTCGCTTTATTGGCCGAGGGAGCAGGCATACAGTTTCCGGGTCATGTGGCCAGCATGAATAAGCCGCTTCTGGCGAACCAGAGCAGCACACGGAAACGCCATTTACCTTCCCGCCGGAGCGGTACCTATTTATCTACTTGCACTGGCGTGCTTTTGAACTGCTAGGTTGGCAGGAGCAGGGACCGAGGAACGGGAGCTCCACCCCGTTGCGGGGATTCGAACCACTGACCTTCTGATCGGCAAGTCCTAGGCTCTGTGGTTTAACCCACAGCGCCACCCGCGTCCCCTTCCACAGGTTGCTAGACTACAACTCCCATCATCCCTGACCATCAGCCAATGCTTGCAGGCTTCGACGAGGGGCTGGAATCTGACAACATCCGGCCACAGCTCTCCCACCCCTATGGTAAAAACGTGGGGATTGCCTTAGAAAAATGATCTCTCACCAAAGGCCCGGGACTGGTGGCTGCTGCTTGGTTCCTCTGCTTGCTTTGCTGGCCTTGCATGGCTGGGCGAAGTCCGCACACCATCGCCACCTGCCTGCTGCAAGTCAGCCAGGTGGAGACCTTCACCCGCAGCCTTGGCCTCCCTTGGCTTCCCCTTCCTGCTCCTGTTCTCAGCGCCATTGCCCCACCTCTTGTCGCGGTCGGGGAGCTGCAGGTCCTCATCTTCCGGAATGGGATTGTACCAGATATCCCCTTCACTGCTGCAGAGAGGGCTGGGCTCCTGCTCCGTACTGGACCCGGCCCCCGGCTCTTCTGCCCCCTGGGTCTTCCCCGAGGAGAGCACCCAGTGTCGGCTGCTTCTCTCCAGGCTCTGCAGGTAAGCCCCCCGGCTGCTGCACTTGGCGCCGATGCTGGAGGTGCGGGTCTCTGCTGGGCCGACCAATGGTTCAGCGGCTTCCTTGGGCCCAGTTGCCGCTGAGCCAATGTGGGGATGGCTCTCTGGGGACAGCGTTTCGCTGAGGTCAGCAGGCATCTGTGCAGCATTTGGAGAGCTCAGCTTCCTGCTGCGAGGGTCTTCCTGGCTGCTCCAAGCAAACTTGGCCCAGGTTTGCTTCCTCGACACGGTGACGGTGGCCCCTTTGGCGCGTCCATCACCCGGTGGGAGAAGCCCACACTCCGTGGGGGACTCCAAAGCTGATGGAGCCTCGGAAGGAGAATCTGTGGGGAACAGAAACCAGCATGTTGTGTTTGTGCCTGGTTGTAACGGTCGAGTTCAAAGCACACTGAAATTGTTGCATTAAACATTAGGCAAGGCCTTGTTGAACAATAAGGCGGTTCACAACTGGAAGGGAACAGAGACTTGGCACAGGAAGCTCTCAGGGAAACTTTAGGTGCCAGCTATCCTGTTTGGGATGGAGCAGAACAGCTGGCCCGTGGACCAGGTGCAACAGACGGGGTCTCCTCATCTCCCCTTTTCAGGCTACCCCCCATGCAGACATAGGGCAGACTGTTTTGAAGCCACATGGAGGCATTTTCAGGGTGCTGAAGCAGATGTGGGGAGGGTCAACCTCTCCCCATGTACTGTGAAACCCTCCGCGCACACAGACACATAGGAATTAGGCTTGAAAACAGCCTCACATTGGAGCTACCCAACAAGAAAGGGTTGTGCCAACTGAACTCTGGGTCTCTCTTCAAAGTCCACTACAGTGGTGCCTTGGTTCTCAAACATCTTGGTACTCAAACGCCTTGGTTCCCAAACTTGGTTTTTGAACGTTTTTCGGAAGCCGAACGTCTGATGTGACTGTCGGCTATTGTTTCCGGGGTTCCTGCACCAATCAGAAGCTGTGCCTTGGTTTTCAAACATTTCAGAAGTCAAACAGACTTCCAGAATGGATTAAGTTTGGTGCTTTTGCTATTTATTCTGCGTTTTTGTTTTTGAGGCTTTTTTGGTTAATTTGTTTTTGTGATTGTGTGGAACCCAGTTCAGCTGCTGATTGATAGATTGTGTGACTGCGGAAATGGATAAAAGCCCCCCATCCAAACAATGACTATCATCAGTGCAGGTAAGAATTTTTTAAAATTTTAATCATCTACAATACTGCCTTATTTATTTTATAGTACAGTACATTGATTATTGCTTTCATTTTATGGATCAATGGTCTCGTTAGATAGTAAAGTTCATGTTAAATTGCTGTTTTGGGGGTAGTTTTTAAAAGTCCGGAACGGATTAATCGGTTTTGCATGACTTTCTATGGGAAAGCGTGCCTTGGTTTTGGAGCACTTTGGTTTTGGAACGGCCTTCCGGAACAGATTAAGTTTGAGAACCAAGGTACCACTGTACTCTGTTCCCTTCCAGCACTCAGCCTTTCTCCACAGACTGATACTATTAAGGGATTCAGGGCTGCTGAGGCAATCTGGCTAATATGCACGAATGTTCCTAGGGATGAGCTCACTGAGCCTTGAGTGCTTCTGTTTAAACTCTGGAGAAAACTTCTGAAACCATCCAGACAGCAAAGGAGCCCCCAGCAGAAGAAATCAGCAGGCACAAGCAGATTTTGGAGTACTGCATCCATGCTCTGAATAGAAGCAACCCACAGGAGCCTTGGGTGAGGACCAATTGGGGGGGGCAGAGGAAAGGTGATGGGGGAAAGGGTCCTGGAGGGGTTCAAGCCCACTCCTACCCGGGCTTGGCCTGAAGACATGCAGGCAAGGCCTGCAATGCAGCTGAGGCCAGGAGGTCCCTCCCATCTCCCAGCTGCTCAGACCCGGTGCCAAGTTGGATTTCCTGTTGTTTACTGCGCAGTCCCCTCCCCGGCCAAGACACAGAGCTCCCTTTGTAGGTCCACGAGTAACTCGGCACACGAAGAGCTCCATTGATCAGGGAGCAGCCCAAGAACGAACATACAAGCCACAGAGAAGGCAGCTGGGGAGCAAAGGGGGACGTGGAAGGAGCAGCAAATGATCATAGAACACAAGACTCATAGAGTTAGAAGGGACTCTGAGGCTCACCTCGTCCAACCCCTGCAATCCAGGAATATGAAGCTGTCCCACACAGGGATCGAACCTGCAACCTTGGCGTTATTAGCATTGTGTTCTGACCAAATGAGCTACCCAGGTGCTGCTTTGGGATGCGTTGTTCCCAGGAGATGCATTAGAGAACCTTATTTCATTTCAAATAACCTTATATCTGAATACTTATTTTTGTTTCCCCAGAGTTTTTACCTGCCCCTGAAAGACACAGTCAGATGCACAACTGGGAGTAAGAAGGAGGCACTATACTATGGCACATAATCAACAACCCAAGGGAAAGATTCCAGGAAACCTACCTTTTTTAAAAAAATTAAAAAATAGTTATTTTAGGGTGTGTGGTTTTTTAAAAAAACAGTTATTATCCAGCCCCTTAGTTCCATTAGAATTTTCAGGGAGGTTTACAGTTATAAAATAAAATAATAAAAACATAAAACTACAGTACAAAGTTAGAAACAGCAATTAACTTAAAGGGGGAGAAATTGGCAACTATTACAAGAACTTCAGAAAGAGATTCCCAGTGCCTGGGTAAGATCTTTGCCTGGCACTGAAAGGCTAGCAGACCCAGGACCAAGCAAGCTCTGCAAGCAGAGTACCACCGCTGAAAATGCCTTTGCACCTCAGCCCTGCAAGTTTGATTGTTGTTCTCATTTTACAGGAGGAGAACTGAGGCTGAGAAAGTGTGACTTCCCCCACCAGCTTTTCCAGAAAGAAACGAGGTGAACTCAGATCTCCCAGAATTTTGAGCCTGTGGGACTGAATGTTGTAGGGATACTGAATGAAGGTTGTTCTCAGTTGTATGGTTTGCCTAGAAAGCCAATTAAAAGAAACAGCAGCTGACATCTCCGGGGCTTGAATACCTGAATGGTACAATTCACACAGCCGTGGGCGCATTGACTGCGATGTGCAGGATTATGCTTTTGCCAGGCAGCCACAAAAACAGTGAGTGTGTGGGGAAAAAACACATTTGTGGTGACAAAACTACACCATGGCATCTACACTAGATTGGCATCATGTGGTGCTCTTGCGTCCATCAGGTGACCAGCAGTTGCATGCACCATCCACTCCCTGTCTGCCACATGCTCACCTGGATTGGGGCTGCACAACTCTGTCCTTGGGCTAAAGACACGATACTTCAGGGACAAAGCACTTCTTGTATCCCCCAGGCTGCCTGGAACTTGCCTGACTTGCCCGCCTGCCCGTTTTCTGCCTCCCCAACTCCTGCCCTCTAGCTGCCACCTTGGGCCAGCCCCTCCACTTTGCTCATGGAATGTGCTACTCAAGGCCAGCAGGACCACTGGGTAGAGGGAGCCAAGCACCTCAGGCAGCAGTTGTTGAGGGGCAGCTCTGCTTCTTCTGCTGGAGGGCACACAAGCGGGTGTGCCAGGCAGCCTGTCCTGCACCCACTAAACCAGCCAGCAGCCCTCAGGGGTGTGCCAGGGTCCTGTTGCCTGTGCTGAAGATGGAATCAGCCCAGTCACCTTCCAGTCACCTTCAGAACATGGAAGCAAGGAGGGGACCATCCTTTTTCCCCATATAATTTTATTTTTATTTTGACAAAGTAATAAAGTAAAGGTAAAGGGACCCCTGACCATTAGGTCCAGTCGTGACTGACTCTGGGGTTGCAGCGCTCATCTCACTTTATTGGCTTCCGGGTCATGTGGCCAGCATGACTAAGCCGCTTCTGGCGAACCAGAGCAGCGCACGGAAACGCCGTTTACCTTCCCGCCGGAGCGGTACCTATTTATCTACTTGCACTGTGATGTGCTTTCGAACTGCTAGGTTGGCAGGAGCAGGGACCGAGCAACAGGAGCTCACCCCGTCGCGGGGATTCGAACCACCAACCTTCTGATTGGCAACTCCTAGGCTCTGTGGTTTAACCCACAGCGCCACCCGCATCCCTGATAGACAAAGTAATAATCATAAATAAATAAGAATAAGAATGTGCACCCCACCCCCAAGACCATTCCATGGTAACTATCCAACCTCCCAAAATTTCAACACCTCTTGCGATGGTTTGGCCCCTTTCCGTTTTAACAGTACAAATTCTACAAACACCTTCCTCAAAATCATTTCTCCGGCATATTCCCCGTCTTACCTTAATAGCACAGCTTAATTTATCATTAATAGCTATATCCCACACCTCTTTATACTATTCACCTTGCCCTTCCTAGCTAGAAGAACTCCTGCAGCTGTCAATAAATTTGCCAGCAAATCCTTCATAACCTTCCACCCCATCGTAAATTGAAAATAATGCTACCTCTGGACTTTTGGTCAGCTTTAACCCAGCGATTTCTGTTACCTCCTTAAACACCCTTTGCCAATTTATATATATTTACACCCCCACCACATGTGAACATAATTCCTGGTTTCCTGGCACCCTCTCCTGGGGACCACCTTGCCCTTAGCCTCAGGCGGCAAAATGCCTTGGGCTGGCTCTGGCACTGCTGAGCCCAAACAGGCGACTGAGAAGTTGGCGGGTGAGATTGTGGCGGGGGGGGGGGGACTCTGACCAGGGCCTGTCAAGGTGGGAGCTGGAGGGATCTGTGACCTGTTTTTTGGGTAGGTGGGGGAGATCCCGGCAGAAGTGTCCCTCCACCTGGAGAGGAAAGAGCCCCCTCCAAGGAAAAACGGGATCCGCCGCCCATCCATCCATCCTTGGCCGCTCCTTCCCCTCGCTTCCTTTTGCCTATTTTAGCAGCAACGGCAGAGGAAATGCCGGAGATGCCTTCTGGCCCCAGCCCTCCAGCGGACCCCCCGCCTCTCGCCCGCGCAGGGTGGGGTGGGCTCCCTGGCGGGGGCGCACCCCCCCACCCCACCCCCGTCTCCCCCCTGGGCGCCGTTACCTGGCTCTTTGCGCTGCGCCGCCTTTTTGCGCCCCAGGCGCTCCTTGCCCCGCAGGCGGGAGAAAGTTTTCCGCAGCAGAGGCTGGGCCATCACTCGACGGGGCGGCGGCGTCCTCCCCCTTCTTCCTCCGGCCCCGTCGCCCCGCCTCGCCCGGACCCTGCGCCGCGCTCGGCGGGAGCGAATTCCTCGGATGCCTGCCGAGCCCTGAGCTGCTCCGGCGGCCGCGACTCGGGGGAGGCGGAGAGGAGAGAGGAGGGCCGCCCCGTCGGACTCAGCGCGGAGCCCGCCCAGCCTGGAGGGTCGGCCAGGCCTCTTTTTCGGGCTTCTAGCCGCCCCGAGGAGCGGGCGAGGGGAAGCCACTTCCGCTGGCGTCCCGAGGGGCGCCCGGTTCCTTCCCAGGCTCCATGCGAGGCGGGAGGGTGGCCCGCCGTCCTGGGCCGGGGAAGAGGAGGAGGAGTCGCAGGACTCAGGACCATCCCTCCGCCGCCCGCCAGCCCCGCTGCAGCCCACCCACAGTTGCAGAGGCAGCAGCGCCCAGCGGGCGGATCCAAGCTGCCCTCGGAGAACGGCGGAGATCGCAGTCGCACCGCATGGCCGGAGCCCAAGCGGGACGGACGGGGTCGCCCGGGGCAAAGCGTGCCCAGCTGGCATCACCTCCGACCGTGCAGCTCGAAGGGGCTGTCGGGCCGGCGACCCACCCGTGGGCTCAACCCCCGGGCTCCCCGTCCGCTTGCTGCTTGGGCCGGCGCTTGTGGGTTTCTTCCCGAGGGGCTGGTGTGATGCGGCCGCCCGCAAGGGTTGATCTGCAGGCTAGATCCAGGTGGGGCAGGGAATCCGCAGAGAAAAGTGTGGGGAGGGGGAAATGCGGGGGGGGGGGGCAGACGGGGAAGCGGAGAAAAGCCACTGTGGATACTGAAGGAGACACACAGAAGCAACTGGGTGGAGAAGTAATTTGTACGGTTTTAATAGATCAACAGATAAAAATAAAACTATCAATGTTTACTTATTTTAAGTTTTCCCCCTATATTTTTAGTTAATATTTTAATCTGTAACTGGCTCTGAGTCCTGCCACCTAAAAAGGTGGCATATAATTAATTGGTTGATATTAATATTATTATTATTATTAAAAATAAGAGGACTTGTTCAAACAGGCACAACACTTTTTCCTTTACTTTTGCAAGCAACCCCAGGTATCTCCAAGTGCGACTGTATAATTTCGACTAGGCCACAGAAAATCTGCAGGGCAAATCCACACTTGTCTCAGTTCATATATACTTAGCGGATCATTTTCATGCCAGCAACACCCCTCTCAGAACACCTGGGTAGTGTGGGGAGAGACTTGCCTACCACAAACATTACCCAAAGTGCAATGGATGAACATACCAGCATTGAAGGAGCCCACAATGTGGTGCCTTTCTCTGCTGGTTATTCAGAGGTGCAATTCTATTGTAGGAAATTCATGTTATGGACTCCATCTATGTGCCCAAGATTCTTTTACTCCAGAGGGGCACACAAATGGGCAGTTTGTGGCAGCATGGAGAAAACTCCGTATCTCAGCCATTGCACAAGCTTCATTCATACCACTGGTGTGGCAGAGTTAACACTTTTCCATGGCAAAACCCTACAGCACACACTTTCCTGGGATGGACTATGGAAAGTCCATGCTTTCCACTGATGCTCCCAAGAAAAAGCTCGGCTGATATGAAAAATGTACCCATTTCACATAATTCAGATGGCATTGATACCAACTGGGATCCAGTCATAGGAAAGCCACCACCACCACTGTTCTGGTAAACGTGAACTGGGCCACATGGTTCCCTCTGTAACAAAAAGCAAGTAAACGAACCTACACAAAGACCCAGTGATATGCACTCTGGCCCACTTAGCTGCTCTGGGATGTGGCCAAACATTGCACACACCACAGCCATATTATCAGCACTCCACTCAGCAGTCATGAGAATTTTTGCAGGAATGATGCCCAGATTTGGCTTGCAGCAACGGATGAGGCTGTGTTTGGGGGACATAATAAAAGTTTATTTAAAAAATTATGCAGTGTGGAGAAAGGAGATACAGTGGTACCTCGGGTTAAGTACTTAATTCGTTCCGGAGGTCCGTACTTAACCTGAAACTGTTCTTAACCTGAAGCACCACTTTAACTAATGGGGCCTCCTGCTGCCGCCACGCGATTTCTGTTCTCCTCCTGAAGCAAAGTTCTTAACCCGAGGTACTATTTCTGGGTTAGCGGAGTCTGTAACCTGAAGCATATGGAACCTGAAGCGTATGTAACCCGAGGTACCACTGTAATGTAGAAAGTTGTTCTCCCTCTCAATTTTCAAGCACAGCGTACACCAAGGACTGCTGACAGGCAGGAGAGTCAAAATGATAGGCTTCTGGCTGGCATCTGTCTCAGGAGACAACGGAAGAGTGTGCCTTCAGGACTGAAGTCAGACCTTTGCAGAGTTACAGCGCCTGCTGTGGCTGTAGAGACCGATATGGGAGAGACATGTTTTGTTGCAGAAGGGGCAGTTGAAGGTTGTGCCGATGCTGATGCATTTTCTCTGCACTCCTCTCAGTGGGCATTCTTCCATTGCTCACTGCTGCAGATACACAACCAGGTGCTACGTTCGTCTGCAAGGGATCCCCAGCTGGCAGGGTTAATGTTTCCACCCTTCGTGTCACATCTGCAGACATCTTTGTAACGCAGAGTTGGTCTGCCAACAGGTCTGGTCCCCGTAGAGCAAGTCCTTGGGGGTCCTGACATCTTCCATACTGTGGACATGACCCAAGCCAGCGCTGACGCTACTGAGTAAGGAGTGCAAACAAGGCAGGAATGTGGGATTGGGAGAGCACATCTTTGTTTGAGACTCTGGCTTGCCATGTGATGCCCAAAATCTCCCTGACTCAGTGAGTGTGGCATCACTCCTGGTGGATGTATGTTATAATAAAAAATAATAAATAAATAAATAAAAATACTAGTAATAATAATTTATTTATACCCTGCCCATCTGGCTGGGTTTCCCCAGCCACTTTGGGCGGCTTCCAACAGAATATTAAAATACAATAATCTATTAAACATTAAAAGCTTCCCTAAAGAGGGCTGCCCTCAGAGGTCTTCTAAAAGTCTGGTAGTTGTTTTTCTCTTTGACATTTTGTGGGAGGGTGTTCCACAGGGCGGGTGCCACTACTGAGAAGGCCCTCTGCCTGGTTCCCTGTAACTTGGCTTCTCGCAGTGAGGGAACCACCAGAAGGCCCTCTGGTGGACCTCAGTGTCTGGGCAGAATGACGGGGGTGGAGACGCTCCTTCAGGTATACTAGACCAAGGCAGTTTAGGGTTTTTAAGGTCAGCACCAACACTTTGAATTGTGTTTGGAAACGTACTGGGAGCCAGTGTAGGTCTTTCAAGACCAGTGTTATGTGTCTTGGCAGCCACTCCCAGTCACCAGTCCAGCTGCTGCATTCTGGATTAGTTGTAGTTTCTGGGTCACCTTCAAAGGTAGCCCCACATAGAGTGCATTGCAGTAGTCCAAGCGAGAGATAAGTTGCCCATGTCTCACTACAGGAAAGCAGCATGTTCAACATGCAAGCCTGCTAGACCTTCATTTTGGTACGTCTGTAATGAAATTTACAGCTACGAGATGGTGACTGTCACTAGTTTAAATTAAAGGGGAACTGGATAAATACATGTAGGAGAGATCTGATAAATGGCTACTAGTCATGATGCTTATATATTACCTCCAGTATCAAAGGCAGCAAGCTACTCCCAGTTGCAGGACAAGTTGTGTTCCTACAGGCTCTCTTGGAAGCATCGGCTTAACAACTAAAGGAAACAGAATGCAGGGCTAGACAGGCTGTTTGGGACCGATGGTAGGAATTGGATAAAGCCCACCTCGCCTCCTGCCAGCCTTTCTGCACCCACTCCACAAGGTGAAGCTGACAGACTGCAAGAATTAAGCAGAAGAATTCCTTTCCGCGATTTGTAAACTATGTCCTATTAATACACATTAGCATATTTGCAGCTGCATCACACTGCTGGCTTCTGTTCGACTTTTCATCACCTACAATCTAGAGATCCTCTTCACACGTATGACTGCCAAGCTATGTCTCCCACACCCTATAGCTATGCAGCTGTACATGCATACACAGAGAGCCAAATGCTAACAAGGCTAGGATTGTGCTACAATAAATATATTTGAACCTGTATAGACTAGCCACCAGATGAACCTTAGCTCATGTTGCTTGTGGGCTAAGTTGCCTACCGCTGAAAAAAATGTTTTGCTCTTTGCTGGGAAGACACTTGCGACTGACACATTTTACTTTTCATATGGGATAGATGTTTTTCAGAAAACACTATCTCCTGAACTCTCAGTGTGTTTTTTAATCACATAAACACCCCTGTGGCAAGCTTCCCTGCCCATTAGTAGGGCACGATCTTTCATGCGTTTCCCTGAATTCGAGCCTCTGAGACAGTTTACATTTGCTTTTCACATTTCAACAGAATCTCCCTCTCTGGGCATTAAAAGGTAAGTAGCTGTTCGTGCATGCTGTAATCTCACAATTATGAGAAACCAGCTAGAGGCCAGAAGGAAACATAAGTGCTTCCTACATTTCAACCAAATGCTCTCCACGGAGAACTAGCTGGTATAGCAGCAGCTGAGAATTGCCTCTTCATCCTCCTCAAAGACTGTATTTGCATGGAAACCAACCTCATAGCATTCAGAGGATTATAGACTCTCCTGGCACATTTCCATTACATTCTCTTGGCTTCAGTGTGTCTGGTTTGTGGCTGCCTCAGAGAGGTATTTTAATAGTACGTTTTGGCCTCTACCCAGCTGCTGCATGTGCATTAGCACTGTAAAAAAATTCAACAATTGTACCAAACAGCTGTTCAGGGGGAAGGAAGCAGGGGGTAGGGGGAGAGAGGAGACAAATACGCTAAGCCCCAGCACTCTGCCTCAGTAAATACTAGATCAGAAACCCCAGCATCATATTTTCATATTGATTCCATTGATTTGGAAGAACACTAAGCAAGTTACAGGACTCAATTCCCCTGCAACTAATTTGTTGGAGGGAAGAATCTCAGGGTTGTTATAGGTTGTTCTTGCTCTCTCCTTAACCCAGTAAGAGGACCTATTTGGAATTAAATTCTACTGAGTTTGACATGGTTTGCTTCTGAGTAAGCATACACAAGATCATTGCTGTAAGACAAATCCTTTATAATAATAATTAATAATAATAATAATAATAATAATAATACTTTTTTATTTATATCCTGCCCATCTCTGGGCAGCTTCCTACAAAATATTAAAATACAATAGTCTATTAAACATTAAAAGATTCCCTAAAACAGGGCTGCCTTCAGATGTCTTCTAAAAATCTGGAAGTTGTTTTGCTCTTTGACATCTGATGGGGAGTTCCACAGGGCAGGTGCCACTACTGAGAAGGCCCTCTGCCTGGTTCCCTGTAACTTTGCTTCTCGCAGTGAGGGAACCGCCAGAAGGCCCTCGGCACTGGACCTCAGTGTTCAGGCAAAACGATGGGGGTGGAGACACTCCTTCAGGTATACTGGACCGAGGCCGTTTAGGGCTTTAAAGGTCAGCACCAACACTTTGAATTGTGCTTGGAAACGTACTGGGAGCCAATGTAGGTCTTTCAAGACCAGTGATACGTGGTCTCGGCGGCCGCTCCCAGTCCCTAGTCTAGCTGCCGCATTCTGGATTAGTTGTAGTTTCCAGGTCACCTTCAAAGGTAGCCCCACATAGAGCGCATTGCAGTAGTCCAAGCGAGAGATAACTAGAGCATGAATCACTCTGGCGAGACAGTCTGTGGGCAGGTAGGGTCTCAGCCAGCGTTCCAGATGGAGCTGATAAACAGCTGCCCTGGACAGAGAATTGACCTGCACCTCCATGGACAGCTGGGAGTCCAAAATGACTCCCAGGCTGCGCACCAGGTCCTTTAGGGGCACAATTACCCCATTCAGGACTAGGGAGTCCTCCACACCTGCCCGCCTCCTGTCCCCCCAAAACAGTACTTCTGTCTTGTAAGGATTCAACCTCAATCTGTTAGCCACCATCCATCCTCCAACCGCCTCCAGACACTCACACAGGACCTTCACCGCCTTCACTGGTTCTGATTTGAAAGAGAGGTAGAGCTGGGTATCATCTGCATACTGATGAACACCCAGCCCAAGCTCCCTGATGATCTCTCCCAGGGGCTGCATGTAGATGTTGCATGGGGGAGAGGACAGAACCCTGAGGCACCCCACAAGTGAGAGATCAGGGGTCTGAACACTCATTCCCCACACCACTTTCTGAACACTGCCCAGGAGGAAGGAGCGGAACCACTGTATAACAGTGCCCCCAGCCCCTCTACACGGTCCAGAAGGATGTTATGGTCAATGGTGTCAAAAGCCACTGAGAGATCCAGCAGAACTAGGAAACAGCTCTCACCTTTGTCCCTAGCCCACCAGAGATCATTGACCAGTGCGACCAAGGCAGTTTCAGTCCTTTCCCAAGGACATGCAGGCATCAGGCCTGCCACATGTTCCAGAGAGATGGTGAGCACTTGTGAATTCACTGATGGAAGAACAGCTCCCTAGCGTTGATGCAAAGCTGGAACAGACAACACTCCAAAGGTAGCAAGAATTATTTCCCTTTATTGTATGCACTGCAAAACGCTGCATTGTAGCTTCTGCAGGGGCAGAGGCAAATATAGCAGTCCACAAAGTATTACTGGACACTCACTCATGTGTTGCCTGCTGCCCCCTCCCCTGAGAATGTTTGCCAAAGTGGCAGGGAAAATTAGACTTAAATAGATTTGGGGGTACAGTCTAAGAGAAAATTGACCACAGAACTAACACAGCCCTGGAACAGAACATGAGCAACTGCTGAGGCATTAAAGTAGTTGTGAGGATGGGACTAGGATTACAGGCCTATACGGCCCTAGGGAATGTAAGGTTGGGACTTAGAAACCTGTATTATCAGCTGAATTAGCATGGCTAGATGGTCACATGCACCAAAGATGCATGAGCAAAAGGACCCTTCTGAGGTCCAAGGTGGAAATAGAGGTCCTCATCTGTGGTGGGGTAGGGGGACGGCAGAAAGGTATCGTTTCTGTTTCAGACCAAATAGTATAGATTCACTTTTGCACTTCCTTTGGGAATGGTAAGTATCTACCGGTGTTGAAAAAGGGTGCACCGATTAATTAATGTGATATGATTGGATTGTTAAATGGAAAACTTAATAAAAATTATTTTAAAAAGAAAAGAAAAAGGGTGCACCTAAATCCTCAGATGAAGGAATGGCAAACTAGAGAGGCGTGTGTTCTTTTGTCCCAACTATGGTTATTAATGTATTAGCTGCGTCAATTAGTGAAGCCAACCTGTTAGACATAATAACCAAAAGGAACAAGTCAAAGTGATTCACGAAGAACTGCTTTGCTGCTCCCAATTCAGACAACAGCCGTGGTGTGATGGGTGGAGGAGGAACACGAGCTAGTGCTTCAGCAGCAAAACAAGAGTTGAAAAGTGGAGGAAATCAGCTATCTGAAGAACTACCCCAAGGAAGCCCAATGAGGGAGGGCATGAGACCTCAGGACTGCCAAGGCCCCATCCCTTTGCTTGAGATCAATTCAGATGAACCATATCTTCCATGCAAAGCAGTCACTTTGCTGTCCAGCCAAATCCCACATACTTGTATCTCCAAGCTAACCCCTACACAGATATGGAGCCTTCACGGAAGTCTGTTTTCCCAATGAGGACGTTGAGAAGGACAGGGTGCCCTTGCCTGCATTCAGACTGTGCTGTCCTGATAAGTTCCTCCGTTTGATCCTCATTCTCGCGGTTGAGCAGGAAGCCTTTCCCTCCTAAGCCTTTTGCCACCACATGGTAATCTGCAAAGAAAAGCAGCACATGAGCAAGGAGGAAAAACATACGGAAGGGAAGGTGGACTTTCTTCCTAAAATGAAAGGGGCTGGAGTTCAAGGCTGCTGCTGTTGGTGCCCCTAGAAACCCTTCTGGATTTACCCTTCAACAAGGAGTATGCAAAAGCTCCCTTCTACTTTTTATATTCCAGAGCATGTGACAGAACACTTCCAAGGTCAGGCAATGGTTCACTCAAATTAATAAGCTAAGTTACCTACCCTGAGCTTCATGGGCTTGTGGCAGCTGACCTCCTTGCCTGCTCCTTCAGTTGGACTCAAAATTCCTGAATGCTAACAAAATGTGTGTCTCCTTTTCTTATCTCTTATCCTTACAGAAAATATAAATTAGGCCTGTGATATTTTCCACTGGTTTTCTAAAGGATTTCGCTTTTCATACATCCCCCTTTTTATTGTAGTAACTGTGTTATGCAGGCTAGCAAATGCGTATTACAGGTGTAGGTTGCAAATCATGCGGGTAAAAAAAGTAAAGGTCAAGGACCCCTGGACGGTTAAGTCCAGTCGAATTCGACTATGGGATGCAGTGCTCATCTTCGCTTTCAGGCCAAGGGAGCCAGCGTTTGACCACAGACAGCTTTTCCAGGTCATGCGGCTAGCATGACTAAACCACAACGCGACACCGTGATGGAAGCCAGTGCACATGGAAATGCCATTTACCTTCCCGCCGCAGTATACCTATTTATCAACTTGCACTGGTATGCTTTCGAACTGCTAGGTTGGCAAGAGCTGGAGCAAAGCAACGGGAGCTCACCCATCACGGGCATTCGAACTTTACCACCGAGACTCGTGGTTTAGACTACAGCACCACCCGCATCCCAATAAATCGTTAAAATCATGCTGGACACAGATGAAGCAGCTAAGCCAGAAATCAGTAAAATTACTTGTGAGTAAATTTAATGAGTTTTATATTAAAAGGCTAACTGTTAATGTGGATGTCTCCAAATTCAGCTTCTGGGAAAGGGATATACCAAGTTAAAACTAATGCATGTGTCAATACTTTCTACTTGTCCAAATACGCAATGGTTCAAATATGCATATATTTGGACCAATGCATGCATTCTGACTTTCAGTACAGTATAGGAATAAAGTTCGTCTAGAGGTTAACTATTTATTTATGGCATTTTATATAAAATGTTCTCTGGGCAGCTCACACACAGAAATGGAAAATACAGTATTAAAAAAATAATCGATTTGCAGCATAGGAATTGTTGACAGATGAATCCAGTTATGCTGACATTTGAAGGGGATGTCTTCATAGACATCTCATATGCCATTGTAAACAATCAATGATGGGTTCTGTCTAGCTTGCACAGCAAAGAGGTTTAGGAACAGATATGTTTGATTAATATTCCCCCTGTATGATTGATCTTTTACCATAAGGATGCAACTGTGCAAATTTACTCACAAGTAACCCTAATGACAACCCTAATGTAGGCTATGAGAAAGTGTATCACATGGATGATTTGCAAACTAATTTACACTTGCAATATGCAGCTGTTCGGCAGAAAAGCACATACATGCCCTTTAAGTACCATGAACCACATTATACTGTGTTCTGTTCAAATGAGCCATGTTTGCCACTTGTTTGGCGGAGCTTAAACCCAGTTTTGTACCTGCAGCAAAAACCCAGGGTGCCCAGCAGTGAGCAGACAGTCCCTATAATGTCACAAATACCAACCCTCCCTGCTGATGCAATTTTGCAATTCTTTTCATGGCGCTTAAAAAAACCAACCCAATGACATGATGAAGTTTAACACAGTGCTTTAATAATAACTTTTGAAAAGGGAGATAGTGGGGGCAGCCTGTGGATCTGAGGTGCAAGTGTGAAAGTCCAATCGGATTATGATCCGTTTAAATTCCAATTGGGTGTGCTCACAAGAGTGGAGCAATTGCATCTCTCTGACACAGAGCATGAGGGGGAATTGCCCTAGAAGCAGAATTTGCTCTGTCCCAGAGGCCAGGCAAGACACTATCTTCCTGACCCTGCTTAAAAGAACAGCCAAGCCAAGCTTCTTTGCTTCAACTTTGCCAAAATCCACTTATGAATTTGTGTATAGGATGCCATATCCGGCACTAATAAGGCTGTTAACTCACCTATATAATCCAGGCCGCAGGCTACATTGCTGCCAAGCAGGGGAACTTGCTCCCGGGAAATCTGGCTCCAGCAAGCATCGTTCCCCACCAGGGCGATGACAGGTGTCTGACAGAGCAGAACAAAATGTTATAGAACTAAACAGGAATTAAGAAAGGGTACTCACAGTCTTCTACCCTACCTTTTTATATATTAGGATGCACAGTGACAAAAGGACAGTAAGAAATTATGGATGAGGTCATTATCCAGAGCTCCTACTGTGAGAGAAGGAAGAGAGACTATACTGCAATCTTGGATGTCTGAACTAAGCCCTCTCCACCTGTTGCCCAAATATGTAAAGAGAGGGAATTCTCTGTCATGTGGCTCACGGGCCCAATTCAGCCTGTTATCCTCATCTCTCCACACCACCTAAAACAGGAGAGCTGAGAAGGATGAAGAAACAGAAGCAAGAGGAAAGGAAGACCTGTCTATCTATCCTATTCCTGAGACATATTGGGGGTGGGGTGGGGGGACAGAAGAGGAAAAATATATCTGCCAGCAAGCAAGGAGGCAGTCACTTATCACTCAGTCTTGCTCCAGCAGCCCCCCAGACAGGTTTTAGGAAATGCACAGGTAAACCTCTCCTGTGACTTGGGAGGGGGAAGTTGGGTAGAAAATGTGCCTGGTTGGATTTGCTGGCAGGCTACGATAGGTAACGGAAGAAGACGCTTTGACTCTACTATTTCCTCTCAAAGCAGCTCACCCCCAAAACTGACTGCCAGACAAAATCTAGTTAAACAAGGTGATTCTTTTTTTCCTTTTCTTTTCTTTTAGGAAGAGAGAGAAGGCATGTTTGTGCAGGGCAATACCAGTGAATTGGCTTTTTAAAAAGTAAGTCCCAAGATATCTTAAAAACAGATAACATAAAAATTACATACATCAAATATATTTAACATGAAATCCTTCTGAAAATCTTTTGCAGTTAAATATTACAGTTATTTACTCAGTTCATATCTCTTTCTATACTAACAGATTTTTAAAATATACACAGATATAATACATAATATAAATAAATTCTCCTTGCAGTGCTGTAGTGAAATACCATTATCCTCAGGAAGAACATTAGCCACATTTTATTAATACGTTTTCTCGGATAAACAAGGTGATTCTGACCAGTGAAGTGATCTCTTGGCAAAGCTGCCAGCAGCCACAGCTTTCCAACCCTGACCATCTCCAGCTGCTTTCAATAACCCCACCCACAGATGGAGAGAGAACACAAATTGGGCAGAGCTAGGGTTACCTTGTGTCGCACAAAGGTGTCAAATTCCATGATGCTGAACCCAAGGGAGCCATCTCCGTATATGATCCAAACCTGCCAAGAATTTTTTTATTAAAGAGTGAGTGAGGGTCGATGCAGCAGCCAGTGAGGTGAAATGCAACATCACATGTTCTTATCACCCTACTGATTTTCCTACAAGTAAGAAACCATCACTGAGAAGGAGGGCTTATCGATTAGAACCCTCCAAATGAAGCATGGGAAGTCCTTTTAAAAAACTTAAAATTTGGCAGAATATTTGGGTTATTTGATATGTATATGTATAATTTGGAATATTTAATGTGATTTGACTGGATTGTTAATGTGGAAAATTTAATAAAAATGATTTTTTTAAAAAAGAGAAGGAGGGCTTATCAATCTGAAGGAGGGTCATATAAGCAAAAATTATTAATTATTGTTATTTACTACATCCGCATACCACCCTTCAACTGAAGACCTTAGGGCAGCTCACAACATAAAAATACAAAATGAGAACACAAAATACATAATAAAACAAAAGCAAACCAAAACCCCCTTCCACAAACACATTTTAAAAGACCACATTTAAAAGGCTTGGTTACAGAGAAATGTTTTCACCTGGCGCCTAAATATATGCAATGAAGGCGCCAGGCGAGCCCCCCTGGGGAGAGCATTCCGCAAATGGGGTGCCACAGCAGAAAGGCCCATTCTTGTGTTGCCACCCTCTGGACCTCTTGAGGAGGCACACACTGAAGGGCCTCAGATGATGATCACAGGATCCGTATCGGTTTATATGAGAGGCAGTCCTTGAGGGCTGGCTGATAGGACAACCGCATTTCCCCAAGTTGGAGGAGGGGCTGGCACACAGCACAGTCACTAGCTGCCTGTGTTGTGTGACCTGGCCTGCCCCCCTCCCCTGAACCACTGTGATTTGGGCTCCCCTTGTTCTCCCCAGTTCCTCTCTTCCCAGGCACACCTTTCAATTAAAAACAACAACAACCCGAATTTAAAAACACACAAATAAAAAAGCAGTTAAAACAATTTAAATCGATTGGGGCAGTAATAAAATACAAAACCCACTATGCAATAACCCAATGGGGACTCAGGCAATCAGCCCAATGACCTCTTTGGGGCAACAGGAGTTGTTTAACCACAGCTTCTATCCTTGGCTTCCCAATACTGTGCACTAACCTCTGAGTCTGGCCTGCAGAGCTTGGCTCCCAGCGCGAAGCCGCCACCAACCCCTAAGGTCCCAAAGGCTCCTAGAACGAGCAGAAGCAGAAGAACAGTGATTGAAGGAAGCCAGTAGGTTGCCTTGCTATCCCAGCAGCCCACAGTCTGACCCGTTCCTGCATTGATACCCTCTAGCTTTTTCAAAAGCAGACTTTGTTGGTTTGTTTTTTATTATATGGTTGTTGTTAAACTTTGCTGGGATTAGTCAACTTGGGCATCTCAGACATGAGACAGAAAGGCTGAATGTTAATATTTTCTTTTCTTTTCTTTTTTAATAGGAAAAATGAAGAAGAACAATCTTGTGGAAAATGGACAAAGACAATGCGAAAAGTCAAAGAGGACACAAAAAAGCCAGAAGAAGGAAGGAGGGAAGTCAGCTCAGGAGAGCAAGAACAAATGTGAAATATAATGTATGTGTATGTACAGTATGTAACTAAAAATTCAATAAAGATCATCTGGAGAGAAAAAAAGAATGTTAATATTTTCATAAAACAAAGACAAGGAGCTGTGTGCCAAGAAAAGAAACACAAAATCCAAGCAGTCCTGATGATAAGAACCTGCTCCAGCTTTTTCTTTAAGCTGGAACAGAACTCTTAAAGGAGTTAAGCAGAACTCTTAAAGGCATCTTAGGTCAATGCAGAACAATTCTTGAAGTTAGGAAACTTCTTCTGGTATTTTCCTCAATTCTAATTTCTGGAGGAAATTGCTCTTTCCAAAACCTTTTTAAAATTATGTTCTCCAGATGGTGCCTTCCACCATGGTTAATACAGGAAAGCAAAGCAGTGCAGCCTTCCTTAGACGTATCCATCCCACAGCCTCTATGAAGATGGGCTGGAATGTCTATTCCACAAGGCTCATTTCTATGGAATTGTGAAATTGGATGTGTGTTTAGCAAAACGACAGGTATCTGCTCAAAGGAAGGAGACATTTTTGCTGCTTCATATCGCAGCAGAACAGCAGTTCAGAAGCTGTATAACACAAGTAGATACCAGAATCAGCAGAATCAAACAACCCCCCCCCCCAGAATACATTACACTTCCCAACATCTCGCTAATGTCGTGTTACCTGGATCCAACCAGGTCAGTGGCCCCCTGGGCTTTACAATGTAGGCGGCACTTGCAACAAAGTCACCCCCGTCAGCAATCAACAAGCTGTCTTCAGGAAGCAAACTATCCAAATGGTGCAGCAGCTTCAGTGGGTTGAGGTGCTGCTCTGTCGGTTTTTCTGCCTTCTCCCTGGGGAGGAACATGGCCCACAGACTGATTCAAGACACGCCCAAAGCCAGCATTACTCTCTGAATATCAGTTATACAAGGACGAGAAAAAGGAACAGCGCACATGTGTGTTTCTCACCTGTTTGCCTTCTCCTTTATGCGATCCACCTCCTTCAGGCCTGTTATCCAGTCCTGGGGACACGAATAGCCCTTCAGCGCTTGGCACAAGGACACCAGGAAGCAGGCAGCATCCCCTGTAGGAAAGGAGTTGCAGGAGGCCTGAAAAGCGCAAGGCTCTGACCAGGAAGGGATGCACAATGCAGCCAATGTATCCCCTTCCTCAGGGTCACTGACTTCACCAAGCCACGCCACGAAGCACATCCTCTCTCCCTCCAGCAATAGGGCCACCCCCTCACAACCCCCATATTGCAGACCCTGGCAGGCCCCTCACCCTGAATGGCCACGGTGGGTTTCCAGAACACATGTGCGTTCTTCAGCAGCTGCTCCCGGTTCCTGTTGACAGCAATGATTTTGCTGCGTTTACTTAGGATCCCCCCGAATGACAGGCGAAAATCACAGACTGTGCCTAGAGAGTGGAACAGAAATTATGGGAATGAGACAAACTGCTTGCTTGCTGAGAGCCAGTGTGGTGTAGTGGTTAAGAGCGGTAGTCTCCTAATCTGGGGAACCGGGTTCGCGTCTCCGCTCCTCCACATGCAGCTGCTGGGTGACCTTGGGCTAGTCACACTTCTTTGAAGTCTCTCAGCCCCACTCACCTCACAGAGTGTTTGTTGTGGGGGAGGAAGGGAAAGGAGAATGTTAGCCACTTTGAGACTCCTTAAAGGGAGTGAAAGGCGGGATATCAAATCCAAACTCTTCTTCTTCTTCTTCTTCTTCTTCTGCTTGCTTGCTTGCTATCTATCTACCTACCTACCTACCTACCTACCTATCTATCTATCTACTGCCCTTCATCACAAGATCTTAGGGCTGTTCACATAATAACTAAAGACACCCATCACACACCCAAATAGGCCACCTACTTCCAGGCAGCCCCCCTTTAGCAACAGGTTAGCACTGGCAACTACAATGAGCATATCTACCTGCTAGAATGACCACATCTGCCTCCTTGAGTGCGTCCCGCCGGTTTTGACGGATGTGCAGTGGGCTATTTTTCCCCAGCATGCCGCGAGCCATGCCTCCAAGAAAACACGGGATCCCCAGTTCTTCTAAGGTATCTCTGGAAGGATAGGAGGATCTCACTGCAGAGACTTCAGCAACAATGTTCCATTATCGGCCAGCAACAGCACAGCTTTATCCGGCTGTGGCCCATAGCCTCAGTGCCCTCCAGAGCCCCAGCTTTACCCATTACACCAGACTCCTGCCCAACCCCAATCCCAATTCTCACGTCCTTACTGGTTTGGCTACCCCATCCCAGACTACTTCACCTAAGAAACGATGGCACTCCTCAGCTTTAGGGGTAGCCTCGCTAATGGCCGATACTGATTAGTGTGCCACAGACAAATGTAAATGGGATCTGAGGGGAGCCAAAATTGCAAGGTACCACCCCTCACCTGAGTATCTTTACTGGTGTTGGTGGTAGCGTCACCTGACTACCAAGGATGATGACTGGCTTCTTAGCTCGGCTGATGAGCTCCACACACTGTTGCACCTGCACAGAGGCATGCCCAGGTGAGGGTCAGTCTGAGAAAAATGACCAAGTTTTCAAAGCAACAACACAGCTATTACTGGGGGCGGGGGGAGGAGAGAGAATAGCTTCAAAAGAGGAAAACAGCGGCTCCTCGTTGGGGTGGGGGGGACGGTGACTGTGAAAAGGCAGTAAATCTAGGACTTTACAGGTAAGAGGATGAAAGCTACGTCATTCAGTCTCAATTTGCCCCTCTTTCCAGAGGAATAGTGAGTTGCCCTCTTTACAGAAGACAGTAAAGGCCAGAGGAAGTCAGAAGATATAGGAAGTCATGAAACACAATAGGGATACATCTAAATTTGCAGTTCAGTATAACAGGGACAGTACAGATATAGCAGCAATTAAAATATATAAATTAGATCTTACTCACTAAAATATAACCTGAAGTTGTCATTTAAAACCTTAATCATGATGATATCAAAGCTTGTTCCCTATGTTTTATGGCAATCACACAGAATTTGGCCATAAAAGGAAGGTAATATTTGTCTGAAATGTAGGACTTAATTATAATTGAGAAGTAAGATGCTCCCAGCTCCACACATTAACTTTGCTAGCTACGTTCAGTTGGAGCTGGGACTCTATGGATTCTCACCTGTCCCCTTGAAGCCTTTGGCAAGTTCACTGGCAGAGGTGAAAGGTCCTGCATCTCCCATGCCCCGGCAAAGAGGTTCCCTATGTAACTGCGCAGATACCTGGGTGACAACAAAAAGAATGTGGTCTTGAAGGCCAAGATCTTGCCATGGTAGTGATGAGGAGGAGGCTGTAGCCTATACCACAGAATGCAAGGTTTCAGTTTGCTACCCAAAATATGAGCACCAACCAGCTACCAAGAAGCTCAAGGTCTTCATGGTGGCAATCTGTCAAATACAGCAGAAGAGCAAGAGAAATCTTCCTCCCCGATATAGAGGACCAGATTGAAGAATTGGGGCATCTTGTAATTAAGGAGCAGGTGAATCAGTTTAAAAAGAGGGGGGAGGGTAAGAGAGAGACCTATAAAATTCTCCAGGGCTCCATCACTAGGCCCTCCACAGAACCGCTCACCAGTTAATACCTTTACTGATATGGGAGGGTGGAAGGCAGCTCACTCACCAGTTAACAATCTTTCCCAAAAGGCTTTTAGAAGTGAAGTTCTTGAAAATCTCTCTCTCTACTAGATGATAGGGATACAGGATATCCAAGGGGAACTCTACAAACACAGGCCCTACAAGACAAACAGGAAGTTCCATAACCACCTCACTCTGTAAAGAAAATCCCTGTTCCAAGGAACTGTCCAAAGAAAAATCTAGTTAGAAGCATGCACCGAGACCAACCCACTTGCTCACTCATGGACCTTGCAACCTTTTTTGGCACAAAACCACAAAAATCTTGAGCTCTACCTCCCATGTGGCAGCACCCAATTAGAAGGATCTCCCATATCAGAAGTGTCAGCCCTGGATTCCTGTATCCACCATTCCTCATCCATCAAAAAGTAAGTGACCTACCATGCTCAGAAGAGAGCCACAGTGATTCTCTAAAGTCAGCCTCAGAAACCTTTGAAACTCAGACATAAGGCTGCCGAAGCTGATAGTGGCCCATCAGTGAGCACCAAAGGGTCAAAATTGGCTTCATGTGAGGAGACAGGTTAACAAGTTCTACAAGTCCAGCATCAGAGTCAGGTGGGCAGGTAAGAGCCAATAAGATACTCAAAGAATAAGCTGTTATTCCCACACTCCCAGCCCTGAGATCTTGCACATGGGCATTAGGACGCTGGGCAGATGCCTTCAGGGGGTGAGGCTGGAAGAGATGTCTCCGTGACAAAATACTGTTCTACTGTGGTGAAAGCATTTTGTTCCACAGTGTAGGCAAATAGCCTACTGGGTGTTGAGAAAATTCAGAGATAACTTTTTGCTCTTCCATTCACAGTAAAAAATACTGTAAATAGTAAAAAAAGAAAGAAAAGCCTGACATTTTTTACTCAAACCTAGTCAACCTTTCAAGGCTTACTGGACAATAAAAGAAAGACATCTATAGCCCACACTGAGCCCTTGAACTTTTATTACTTCCTTGGCTTAAGTACAAAAACAGCCACAACCTAACAGCCACAATCCTCTGTGGGTGGAAGATACTTGTTGCAAGCCAACGGCATGGCAGCATACCTGGAGTGTCACACTGGGCAATGGCAATGGCCTTTCGCAACGCAGGGGCAATCTCTCGGACAGACGTCACGGAAGCACAGAATTTGCAGAGTGGTTTAAAGAGGGACAACTGATCAATGTCTTGGAGAGCTCCTCTGCCCTGGGGATGGAGAAAGGAGAAAGCTCGTTCACAATCCCACACAGCTGCAGCTCAATTGCCCTCAAAAATACACATGCAGAAAAATTGTCTGCTAAGCTGCTGCTGGGGAGAGTCGGTGTCAGTGAACACAGAAAGGCCAAAGTCCTACTTAAATCAAACAGGAGCAGCATCAAGTTCTAGCTACTCTGTCATTGTCCTTTGATTCTAGGGCCATCGGACTGAGCAGCCTACCTTCTGCAGCCTGGCTGTTGACCCTCCAATCAACAACACGGGAGACTCTGCCATCTGGGCATTTTTCATAGCTGTCACAGTGTTAGTCACTCCTGGTCCTGCTGTCGTTACAGCAACTCCCACTGTTCCTGCAACAGAAAAATGCAGAGGCAAGTGTCACTTTGTGCTCCTCCCTCTTCAGCAAGCAACAAACGGGGAGAAATGTGGTACCTGATAGCCTGGCCACTGCATCTGCTGCAAATACAGTCGTTGCCTCATGCCTCGTGTCCACAACACGAATGCCCAGCTTCTCGCAAGCCACCAAAATGGGAGAGATATGTCCACCCGGCAGCGTGAACACAAAGCGCACACCATGAGCTTTCAGAACTTCTGCCACAGTTTCTCCGCCATGCCGAGTGCTCTTGGTGTCCACCTGGAACAGACAAGTCTGTCTTTTGGTCCTGGCTTCCCATGAACAATGCAATAAAAGGTCAGGGGCTTAGAAACAAGGAAGACGCTAGGCCCTCAGCTCCCGGTACCCAGTCCTACCTTAAACTGCTTCTGAAGCATAAATCTTTAGCATTCGGTGTCCACAACCAATGAATTCTTCTCCCAGAAACAATACTCTTTTCAAGATAGCTGAGGTGCTCAAATGCAAAATCCACTCTCATCCTAAGTTTTGTGCACAGGAAACTGCTTGATGCAGAGTCAGACCGCTAGTCCAGGATTTTTGATAGGGTTTTTGCCTCAACCCTCCCTGAAAATGCCAGGGTTTGACCCTGCGACTTTTTTCCATGCAAAGCTCTACTGGTTAACTACAGTCCTTCCTCTACTACTTATTACTGTGCCTTTGATACAGAGCCAATGGGACTGAGGCGCAGGAAAGCAAAGGGCATCGACAGGACTAACTGTTGTTTAACATCCGGATGTCTGGTGAAAGACACCTGCTGCGAACTTTTCACCACCAAGATCATCTGAACAGAAATCGATTAATACTGGGCCCCAAAAGCAATACAGTATACATCCCTGCAAGGGGAGGGTGGGAGACATAATTCCATTTTGGACCTAAGCTATTCATACCCTGCCTACTCTCTCTTAAGGCCTTTGGCTCCCCTATAATGGAGATGGAGACCCTGTAGCCCTTCAAATGTTGTTGGACTCCAACCCCCACCAGCCCCAGCCAGCTGAATATTGAAGGATGGAATTTGTAATCCAGCAGCATCCAGAGGGTTGTGGGTTTCCCATCACTGCCCTACAGATAAAGAAGCCACATCTAAAGGCAGTCACTGATTTATGTTTTACCTGATGCCACAGCTGATAGATGAGCCCCAGTTTGTGAGCTACCCCAAGAAGAGTCACTGTAAGGCTTCCCAGCAGCACCAACAGCCATGTCGAGGAGCCTTCTAGGGCCGAGGTGGCAGCAGGCACGTCAGGATTCATTTGTGTCAGCTACAGATGAACTCCTGTCCCAAAAGGAAGACAAAACACAGAAGTACCATTCTGTAACTTGTTTGCCTCAGCTGCACGCCAGCAATGCTGTAGCAGTTCTATTCTGTAACACAAATACTTAGTTTATTTCTAGTTTTCTTGAGGTGACAGACAAGGGATTTTTTTTATTTAAAAAATGCAGGGCAAATTCTCTCCAACTGTGATTCAGTTTTATCTAACATACATAGTTATGCACCAAGAATTTGTAGAAGTTCAGTCTCTGGCAAGGCAGCAGAGACGGATGAAGGAAATGGCCTAGGCCAGGAGGCAGCGGCTTAGTGTCCACAGGTAGGAAAGAAAGAGAAAGCCAGGTGTTGTTGTTTTTAATAAAAATGAAAATTGGAAGAGAAAATATAGAAAGCCAGGAGCTTCAGAGATAAGAGAAACACGTTCACATGTTGCTTTGAATAACCTACCCAATCTTTGACCGCAGCCATCAGTTCTGTAACTTTGCAGCATGATCAGTGTGCAGGGAGCTTCCTTGCTATCTAGCCAAAGCCCAGAAACGAGATGTGTACTTCTATTTACTGATGTCTTACTGGGCACTAGACCTGGACAATTTTTCAACAAATCGTTCAAAACTGGTTATGAAGTCCACAGCACAATATGAGTTTCATAAAATGTTGTCCGTCAAGCATCACGGTTTTGAGAAAACTGTGTAGCCGGCTAGTATGTACTTCTTAGGGCTTCCGCTGCCTCCTGCAGGAGCAGTGAGAGACTGACACACAAGAGCAGGCATAGCCGAAGTCACTACGATTCTTTTGATTGTGCAACTGCCTCTACAAACACAAGTGACGATTATGAAAAAAGCTGGGAAAGCAGCAGCCAGCCAGCTTATCAGCCCTTATACTTCTTTTGATTTTGCAGAAAGCCCCGGTTCAGCAGTCTAGTAGCTGGTGGAACAAGTTGGTAGGTGCTGGTCTGGCCTGGCTCAGGGCTTCTTGCTGGGAGCCCTATTTCCCCTTCATTACCGCCATGAAAAAAGAAACAGGTTGTTTTCTTCAGAGTAAGAACAAAAAACGTTGCCCTGTTTTTAAACTCTTTTTCTTCACTCCCATCTCCTCTTCTGCCTGTGTTTGTGTGCACATGCGAGAAGCCTTTCTTTAACCTCTCTGATGCCTTTACTACCTACGGGACCGCCTCTCCTGGTATGCCCCACAGAGAAACTTACGGTCTTCAAATAAAAACATCTTGAAGGTCCCAGGCCACAGAGAAGTTAGGCTGGCCTCAACTAGAGCCAGGGCTTTTTCGGCTGTGGCTCCGATCTGGTGGAACACTCTGTCACAAGAGACCAGGGCCCTGCGGGACTTGACATCTTTCCACAGGGCCTGCAAGACAGAGCTGTTCCACCAGGCCTTTGGCCAGGGCACAGCCTGACTCCCTCCCTCGGCAATCTTCGCGGAGCTCTGGCCCAATGGTTGCCAGTGGCCTGAATTAATTTTATAATGAATGATTTTAGAGTGTTGTTTATGCTATACTTTTATACTGTTTTATTGTTGTTAGCCGCCCTGAGCCCGGCTTCGGCTGGGGAGGGCAGGATATAAATAAAATTTATTATTATTATTATCCGAGGGTGGAACAGGGAGCACTATTCCCCTTTTAAAATAAGAGCAAAAAAACCAAGTTGCCCTGTTGGCTCTGTTTATTCCCATCTCCCCTTCTTCCTTTCCTTTGATAAAAAGGGAGAGATTGGTAAGATAGGGGCTTTGGGGGGGCCCTTCTGTGCCACAATATGAGGAAATGAAGGGGGGAGATTTAACTGTTGCTGCTTTATGATTAAATGGGAGATTGGGTGGTTGTTGTAAGGTGAGAATGATGGGGAGTGTGAGTGCTTGTCATTAAGCAGAGCTAGCAAATGCGTGTCAAGTCAGAAATAAGCCTTGCTGAATTCAACAGGGCTGACTCCCAAGAAGGCAGAAGTTTAGGGGTTTTTCCTGTTTGCATCTCAAAACATTTATTTAGAAGCTAACATTGCAGTTGACACCTGCATTTTCCTTCCACCTTGTAGTACTGTGCAAAGGTGAGAAGTAGCAGTAGCTAAACACGCTGTTGAGACTGAATGAAGGAATTTGCTTTGAGGTACTGACTACAAGTAGGGGAACTTGGCCTTGGCCAAAGGCAAAAAAATATAAATATATCCACTCTAAATATCACAAAAACCATTTAACACTACAGTAGCTCAGGTGGGGCAACAGGGGACCAGTCAACATCAGGTAAACCGCAGACTCTACAAGACAAGAGCCATTTTAACATTGCTGTAAATCTTGCAGGTTACTTTATTTGACCCTGCTGCCAGTACAAATATAGAAGTGATTACTTTAAAGGCTGTGCACAGGAACATGTCTGGGAGGCGCTCTTATTCATCCCATGATCTACTGCTAAACATTGCTCAAAGCAGCCACACCTGGACGAACTTTACCTTCCAGGAATTCCAAGCCAGCACCAACCTCCAGTACTAACATGACTAACTTTCTCCTCGGTGCCCCATTTGGCACAGCATGTAGCAGTGTCTTCACCTCCAATGATGGTTCCTTTGGAAAACTTGTCCCACTCAAAGACACTGACTGGCTCGTTCCACACAATCAGCTTGGCCCTGCCCACAGCTTCCACCAACAGCTTAATGCTTTCAGAACCACAATCCAAACCCATCCATCCATCAGGGACCCCAGAGTCCACAGTGGCTTCTCCAGTGTTAGCATTCTCATAAAATTTACCTGCAGTGATGAGGTCAACAGGCAAAGTGATGCGTACACAATTATTCTCTGCTTTTGCCATCAGGTCCTTGACTATTTTTTATCCTTCCTCATCATACAAAGAGTTGCCAATTTTCATGTTTTTGAGCACTTTAAGGAAGGTAAAAGCCATCCCACAATAGATAACCATCTCATTGACTTGATCCAGCCGTTTTTGAACAGCTGGATCTTATCCTGAACTTTAGCGCCTCCCAGGATTGTTGAGAAGGGCTGCTCTGGGTTCTCTGGAGCTTTTGCAAAATACTCCAGTTTTTTCTTCATCAGGAAACCAGCAGCTTTGTGAGGCAGATTGACACTGTGAGCTCTGTGTGCAGTTTCAAATGCATCACAGATATAAACATCTCCAAGTTTAGAAAGCAACACTCTGAAAGCATCCACCTTTGCAGAATTGGCCTTGATCTTGTTCTTGAAGCGTCCTTTCCCTTTCCCTTGCCTTCCTCTTCCATGTGGAATCGGAAGTTTTCCAGAAGAAAGACTGAGCCAGTTGCTCAAGCAGCTTCCACATCTATACCCACACACTCATTCAGGAATGTGACATCCCTGCTTAGCAAAGCTCTGAGCTCTGCTGCTACTGGTTTCAGGGAGTATTTGTCAGGCATAGGAACCCCACCAGGCTGACCCAGGTGGCTCATCAGCACCACAGACTTGGCTCCATCGTCCAAGCAATGCTTAATGCTTAGGACAGCTGCCTTGATTCTTTGGTTGCTGGTTATTTTGTTGTCCTTCATTGGAACGTTGAAGTCAACCCGCATGACCACAAGCTTGCCCTTCACATCCACTTCACATCTGGACAGAGTAAGCTTGATGGAGACAGACATTTCACAGCAGGAGCAAATGGACTGCAACCTCTTCCTTGTTCACTGGCAGCAAGAGCAGAAGTAAGTTTAGTTGAACTGAGTGGGGCTTACTCATGCATAGAATTGGAGCTGGCCCTCTGAGTGGGGAAAGAGATGCGCTTGACACTAGCAAATTACATAAACTACTCGTAAATTAGTAGAAAACAGATTAAATTCTTAATCATATGCAAGTTTAATTAATATTTTTACTAAATCTACTACTTTTGTAAATTTGCCCCCAAAACTGCATAGAATATTAATATATTCTCCAGAAATATTTAATGGTTTAGTTGAAGCATGCTATCATTGAGTTAATTTTCATGTAATTATATGCATCAAGTTTAGAATCCCCCCCCCCCCGCCCCAGTATTTTCCCAGATTATTTGTGTTCACTATGACTCATTACTGTATTTTGGATTGTCCTGGACCTGAATACCACCATTTGGTATCCAAGCCCCAAACCAAAGTCCTGTTTGGATGCATTTTAGCTTGCCTGCTGATGAAAGTGATGATTTCATCAGTGTGTGGTGATTCAGACCCGCGACTTGGTAACAGTTGCCAAGACATTACCATGTTCACCTCTACGTAGCTCCATCTTATTTCAGATATCGTGATATATCAGTATATCTCAATGTTTAGCTGATGATATATTGTGATATTGAAAACCAGATATCGCCCAGCCCTACTGGGCATGCCTACACCTTTGCTATAGATGAAAATTATAAGTCATTGCTGATAGACAGCATCCACTCCACCATCCCCTTCCTTGATCCTTCCTCCCCACCTGTTGAGCAGCAGGTTTATCCCATCCCATTCTCACTCCATCACTACATATGTACACTGCTGCTCAACTGTGGAACTGTGCTGGAAAAAACCAGAAATAATGAAATCCCAGCACCAGATATATTAAATATTGTTGGTGCCAAAAATTCGTGATTCAGTTTCTAAAGAATAAGGCAAAGAAAAGAACTAGGAGGATTTTACCAGAAGGTGAAGCAACATAACCAAATCAATTGTATCTGTAATCTTTCTCTATGTAATCTATGATTATCTGTAATCATAATGGTGAGTCCAGAGTACACTCAGGGAACTTTCTCCCTGAAGGGACTTGGAACAAATCCTAGTGGCAATACTCAATCATTGCTTAATGTGGTTTAACCTTGGAACTAATTTAAACTAGTACAGTATCTTTCCAAACAGAGTCTTACTTCAATCTCAATATACGCCCACAGACCTGCTTTCCAAGTACACCTTTGCACCCTAAAAAAAGCTTTGGGCAACCCAAATTCTGCACTCCACTTACCACGAGAAAGTCCCCTATGAGCTGTCTCAGCATTAGCTACAGCCCATAGCTTCATTTTAGCACAACACACTAAATGGATGAATGAAACCCCTGTCTAATACATATGACTAAGGAAATGGCATTTCCTGTCCTTCTAGTCCCCATTTATAGATTTTTATTAATATACAAATATTAACCTTTTATCTCACTTTCTTTCGCTGGAGAGGAAGATCATCCTTCCTCTCCCTACCCCAAACCCCCCACCTCCACCATCTTTGTCTCCAATCCACCTTTACTCTTCCTCTTAACGTGCAAAGAGGAAGGCACGTTTGGCAAACCCTCATCGTGATCAACTTCCACCCGGATACCTATGTCCCCACTATGGAAGGACGCGTGGCTCCAGAATTGGCCTCCACAGTCATTTACGGACTCACTATTGAGACCGTGTTCACGGAAGACAATCTTACCCGGCTAAGAGTGATCGCCAAAGAAGAAGGTGGTGGGTAGGCGAGGCTGAGAGGGGCGACGACTGCCCGATCCTACCCCCGCCCCCAGTCGCACGAGCTCACCTGCCCAGCAAGCTTCCCTGCGGCTCCTGAGCGGTCAGGATTCGAACCCCGGTCCTAGCCCAGCTCTCTAACCACTGCGCTGACCACCGCTTCCCATCCCTGGCCGCCGCCAAAGTTTGCCAAAGCGACCCCCCAAACTTACAAAACCAGAGCGAAACGTCACCGCCACCGTCGGGGAGCCAGGAGAGAGTAGCGCCAGGATGGAAGAGGGAGAGGCAAGACAGACAGGCAGGCAGGCAGGCTGGAAGCGGCCCCGCCTCCGCCGTCGGGCCCTCCTTCCGCCAGGGAAGGGCTGCTCTCTGCAGGCGACGGGACGGGGTGGCTCCGGCAAATTTTGCCTCAGGGCCAGGGCGGGGCACTGGGGCAGAGGCCGCATTCACACGAACACGTAACACGCAACCCGCTTCAGTCGCCCCTCGGGCCGGTGAAGGCCGCCGGAGAGGGAGGGGGAAGAAGAGGGCTCTGTGCGTGCGCATCCCCCCACCCCTCCTCACGGGCTCGAGGCCTTGCTTCTAGGAAGCAGAAAACGGGCTGGCTCCTCCCCACAGACACGGGACTGCGCGTGCAGACGAGCGCTCCCCCCCAAAAAATTCCCCCACTCCCTTCCCCCCCCACATACAGGCCCCGCCGGCTGTTACCTAGCAACCCGCGCCGTGTCACTGGGGGCGCGGCGGCGTGACGTCACGCAGCGAGCGAACGATTCCTCGAGAGGGTGGCGGGCAGCGGGTGGCGAAAGCCGCTAGGTTGCTTGTCCCAAGTCGCGACTCGTAGCAAAACGCCGTCTGGTAATCCACGGAGGTTGAAAGGGAGGGAAATAGAGTAATGTTTGGGTAGAGATCTTCCGGCTTCGCATTTTTTTAATTCCCTCTGAAGAAGTGAGATGTATTTGTATTATATATATTTATATGAGCTTCTTTATTGCTTAACTGGTTGCACAAGCATTTACTATTATATTCAAGTTATTGTATATTTCTTCATCTTTTTTTTTAAAAAAAACAATTTTTCATTAAGAACATCCAATTAATATCAAAGCAAACCATAATTCAAGAAAAAAAAACCCAAATTACAATCCAAATTATTAATTATTAAATTTCAAACGGACTTTCCATATTCTAGACCTCTGAAGAATCATCTCACATAATTATATTTCTGCCTCCTTGTTGATCTCATAATTTCCACATTCCGATCTTAAACTCTCAAAGTCCCCAGTCCCTGGCTAATCAATTCTCAATCATGTATCCTTTCATCTGACAAGCACAGCTGTGTGTGTGTGTGTGTGTGTTCCCTTGTCTGTTTGCTAGCACAGCTTTTCCTTTACTGTTATCTTCCAGTCTGGGCTGTTGTCCAAGTCTGCCGTTTGAAGTTTTATGAGGCCTAATTCCAGAGTTGTTATTATGCATACTGTTTGCAAATATACCGTATTTTTCGCTCTATAGGACGCACCGGACCATAGGACATATCGGACCATAGGAGGGGGAGAACAGGGGGAAAAGAATTCTCCCCCTCTTTGCTCAGCGCCCCTTCAGCGAAGTGGCAGGAGAAACAAAGCCCTTCCATTTCTCCTCCCGCTTCATAGAAGCGCAGCTCTCCCTCTCTGCTGAAGCCAGGAGAGTCTTGCTCTCCCGGCTTCAGCAAAAGGAACCCGAAGCCTTTGGAGCGCAGCGCGAGGTCCCGCTGCGCTCCAAAGGCTTCAGGGATAGCCACCTGAAGCCTTTAGAGCGCAGCGGGAACTTGTGCTGTGCTCCAAAGGCTTCGGGTTCCTTTCACTGAAGCCAGGAGAGTCTTGCTTATTTTATTCCAGAGCCTCTCCCATAACCCAGCTTGTACAAAAAGTGCCAGGGAGGACCTCTCGTCCCACTAGAATTCGTATGTCACTAGAAATGTACCGTAAATTCCGGCGTATAAGACGACTTTTTAACCCGGGAAAAGAGGTTAAAAAGTCGGGGGTCGTCTTATACCCCGGGTATCCGCTCCCTGCTGCAGTACCTGGTGGCTCGGAAGCAGCAGAGGCGACGGCAGGCTCCGCTCCACTCCAGGCGGCTTTCTCCCAGCGCAGAGCCCCCCCCCCCCGCTGCTGCTCCCGGCGCAGAGCTGCCCAGCATATTAGGCAACTGGGCTTATAAGATGAATCCCCAAATTGCAGCTGCCGATTTGGGGGGTCGTCTAATATGCCCAATCGCCTAATAAGCCGGAATCTACAGTAGCTAGATTTTGTGCAACAGTCAAAGAAAGCAAAAGATTACACAGCTGCATAATGGCAGGTGCCATTTTGCAAGCAGTAACAGAGTGCTGGGGTGGGAGTGGGGCTTGCTAGGTCATTTCTGGTACAAACAAACAAACTTGCCCATCCTGGCAGAGTACCTTAGCATCACTAAGGATCTAGGTAAAAGAGAAGTGCTGCTTTTTTTGCATATTTCAGAGAGTCCAGCGAATGCTTTTTGACGTTTATCTCTTTAATAGTGGGTTGTAGTTTTATATACAAGGTTAGGATACCAGACTTGGAGGTTTCCTTCCTTCCTTTTTGCTGCATTCTGTGTGCCCCTTAAGCAAATGGAGGTGGAAGAAGAATGGGATATTTCTTCCTTAGTTCTTTGGGGTAGGAGATAGAACAGCCAAGACAACAACAGGGCAACTTACAACCATTCCATAGCCACTTAACGTGGCCCAAACCAGCAGGACAACTTTTTTTATTAAACAGCTTTATTTTGAAGCGGGGGGTCAGTTTTTGGCCCAAAGAGACATAATTTAATGGCATCATCAACATAAGCTCACATACAAGGATATACAGTGCACTTGTATGTCTGTCTAAAGACACTGAACTTTATACATGTACATGTAGACCGCCATTTCATGGGGGCTGGATTCCAGGCTAGGTTAGTCTCTGCCCTCAATAGCACAATAATGAATTAGATCTGTCTTTCCACCACTTTTTATCAGCATCTTGAAGGACTAAGTGGTCAGTATGAAGGTATTAGGAGGACCAGCCCCTGGGGGTGGAGGCTGGGACATAGAAACGGGCAGGTTGGAGTGAGCCTCGCAGAGAGAAAACACAGCACAAAGGTGGTGTTTTCCTTCAAAAAGAAGCCACGGACATTCTCCAAAAGAGCTCTTGCCTATCTCTATCTTCATATCTCTCCGGGGCACTCTCTAGTTCTAGCAAGACCTTGGTGGAGGGAAGGGTTGTTTCTATGGGTTTGGGGGCCTTGATTTTGCACAGAAGCAACAATGACTAGAAGGGTGGGCCTCCTGATCTTGTGATGAACTACTTTAGGCTACAGGGTGGAAGTAACTGGACTTTGTTATCATTCTAGGTGCTCAAGAAGATCCAGCCACTCAGGCTGCTTGGCCTAGCTACCAGGTTTCCAAATCAGTCTTTGCCTGGGCAAGAACCAGATTCGGTTCGGGTGCCAAGTACTAGGACACCCCTGGTTCCTTGTCCACTCCTCAAGTCTCCTGGTTTACCTGCTAGCCCTGCCTAGGTTTCCTCCCAAGATCTGCCATAGCATTTCCCTTCAGGGCCAGTCCCACTCTGCTGGGACTTGACCCCTCAGCCCCCTTCTTGACCCCTGGCTGCTCATACCGCACTACAGGCCGCTGGGGCAAGATAACCAAAGGACTTCAGTAGGCGGCCTTCAGCACCATTGCCTTGATGGCTTTGGGGGTGCTGTTCCCAAGTGACATGCTAACATTAGGCCCCTCATGCTGGTGTGACGAGCGCTCCGATTTGCTGGTGCTGCCCTCCAGTATGGGGAGACCAAAGCGCCTGGCGCGGCTCTCCTCCGTGCCAGGAGTGACTACCAGCAGGCAGCAGAGCAACTTGAGAATGGCCCGTCTCATGTCCTTACTGGTCAGGGTGTAAATGATGGGATTCAGGAGGGAGTTAATCATCGCCAGGCCCAGGAAATAGTCTGCTTTGTAGAGCATGCTGCAGGCCTGGGCCTGGCAGGCAACGTCCAACAACAGGAGGAGGAAGAGGGGTAGCCAGCAGGCGATGAAAGTGCCCACCACAATGGTCACCGTCTTCAGCAGGGCCATATACTTCTGGGACTTCTTGAGCATGCCTTTGCGGAGGCTGCCCAGCCGCTGCCCGTTGAACTTGACCATGCGGTAGATGCGGGCATAGAGCACCACAATGGAGACCAGGATGGCCAGGAAAACGGTGATGCAGAAGAGGACGTAATGCTTAGAATAGAGGGGCAACACTGTGGAACACTCGGGGAGGTTTTCGATGCAGTTCCAGCCCAGGATGGGCAGCACCCCGAGCAAGATGGAGGCCAGCCAGCTGGCCCCCACCAGCAGGAACATCCGCCCTTTCTTGTCCCCGTGGTAGAGTCTCATGCGGACCATTGTGACATGGCGCTCAATGGCAATTGCCAGGAGGCTGAGGACAGAGGCAGCCAGCGTGACAAAGACCCCACCTTCCCGCAGAAACCACTGCACAGGGGTGAGCTTAAGGGTGTTGGGCCCGGACATGATGATATTGGCAGTGTAGGCCACGCCAGCAAGCAGGTCCGACAGGGTCAAGTTCCCAATCAGGTAGTACATGGGCAAGTGAAACTTCTTGTTCCTCCAGATAGCCAGCAGGACCACGAGGTTCTCCACCACAATGAAGGCACACACCACCAGGAACACAATGGCATCCGCCTTGAGACTGCCCTTGTATTTGCTGCCATGGAGCTTGCCTGTGTAGTTGTAGTGCAAAGAAATCACATTGTTGTTGTGGTACTCTCGGTAGATCTGGGCCAGAGAGCGTGGGGTCTCCATGCTGGCAAATTCCATCCCACGGACACCTCTCCACCTTCAGTTTCATTGGTTCACATAGCACGGCATAGTCCTTTCCATCATGCTGTGCCAGTCTTGCGCATGCCCCACGCCGGAGAAGTTGGCATTTCACAAATGAGATTAATTTTCGTCAGTAGTTAACACGTCCACCGGTGGCCATTTTGGAGAAGCCATCACAGCATTAGCAGACTCTTTCCATTCTGACCAACCAAGAGGGAGCCTAGAAATTCAAGAGAAAGACTTGTGAGTGGAATGCTTGAAAAGCATGAAACCAACCCAGCTTTCCAGGCAGAAGCGTAGTGTGGGGAGGACCAGGCAGGCCCTGGGGGCATGATTTCAAGGGGATGCAAGCCAGGCGCCCCTTGGCAGGGATCCCCATCCTACCTGCCACTAGGGGACTTGCGGCCATGCCCCTGGCCCCCTTGCTGAATGTCACAGTTGGGGGATGCACCGGCCATGGGCCACATCTAGCCAGGCTCCTCACTGTGTCGCCCCATGAACCCTCTGTGCCCCACGCCGACCCAGAGGCAGCGGTGGCAAGGGTTGGGCTGGCATGGCAGGTTTCGTTTACCCTCCATGCCCAGCTCCTGGTCC